TTTTCTGTCAGAAGAAACGAGAACCTTTCAAGAACTTTTAGTTATTTCAGGGGTTTAAATGGGGGAAGAGCGAGCTGACTTTGTGCATTGATGATTATGTCAGTCCTGGTAAAGCCATACGCAATAAAAATGGATAGAGTTTTAGAACTGATCTTTCTTAAAAGTCTCCCACTGATGAATAAACTCAAAATAAACAGACAGAGATGTCCCCTCTAGTGATGTGTGCACAAAGTCATTCTCTTACTTGGCATTCATGGGGATGACACCTTTGGAGCCGACACCAACAGGAATGTGGTCAAACATAGCCTGGGCAAGCTGCTCTTTCACAGGCTGCACATCACTTTCATCCAAATTTGTACGCAGCAAGCGGACACCACAGTTGATGTCAAATCCTACACCACCTACAAGTGTAGAAAAAGCGATGACAGGGAGCATGTACTGAATAATGTGATCTCACACCTTCTTTCTGAAACAATACTGGGAAAAAAAAAGGCAGAACTGCATTAGGCTTCATTTTAACAGATTTCAAGACAGAGCTGTACAAGTATCTGCACAGCCCTCTGTTTACACAGTTACTCCAACAAGTAGACAAAAAGTAGACACAACTATAAAATACGCTGCCCAGAGAAAGTAGAAAGGGATATCACATGAGTCCAAGCCTCAAATGCAAGGGCAATTCTCCCTGTACTGTTCAGATGTTCTCAGTGTAACCACCTGCTCCATAAAGAATAAAGATTCTGAGTGCAAGAATTAAGCGCCTCTTAAGCCCCTATAATTCTTATATTTTAGCTTTAGTTCTGCATATGAAGTAGTGCAAAGTCCTGCCATTTTGAAAAAGTATTTTCATGCCATCCCCAGTATTTCTCAGAGCAGGTTAAGCCAGCCATCCTTACCTGGTGAAACCACTGCTTCTGGATCACTCATATCAAAGGCAGCCATGTTGCCAATGGCAAACCCATAGCCAGAATGGACATCTGGAAGGCCTATTGATCTCTGAAAGGGAATGAAGGCAATTTTGAAGTGTTATGAAACACAGTGCTGCAGAGTTACCTTGGCTACGCTTTGCCTTCGGGCAGGAGTTGTCACATTTGAAAGCAATATACCAAGAAGAGAATGGATCTTCAGATTAGACGGAGTGAACACAGCAACTCAGGTGAGTGTCTGAACTCCTGCACTTACAGGGCTGACCCTCGAAGAAAGCAGAGAGCAGATCTCACTCTGAAACAAACAGCCCTTGGCTAGTAAGCTGAGAAGCCCTCTTGACTCTATTGGCCAGATCTCAAAAAATCTTGGGAAGAGCTTAAGCACCTAAAAGTAGAAACTGTGATCTCAAACTGAATTCTAATCTGGCCTTTTCTTGTACTCAAGAGTCCTTGCATTCAAAACTCAGGCAGGCAATAGCTTATGAGCAGCATAAAGCAGAGACAGAAGAGTGAAAATGAGTTAATTTTTACCACGTTTCATCCAGAGACATCTGCAACATTTAAATACTGAAAACACAACAAGGGAAGAGTTCAATGCTATGAAATAAATAAAACAGTTGGTATTTTCTCTCCTTATCTGTGTCATCAACCCTGAACAAAGACTGCACCCTGTAGGGAGGAAAAAGTCACCTTCTGATTGAGATCCTGATGGGATAGGACACGATAGGAGCTGTGGCATTTTAAATTTAGATTGAGACACCATAAACAGCACTCTGCAGTCTATTTAAGCGAACAAAAAGAGCCCCAGACACCCAGAAAAATGTCAGAAATTGTAACTTTTCAATGTGTGTTAAACTGCTACCATACATTAAAAAGAACAGTACTTTTCAGTGGGATTTTGTGCTTCTTCTGCCTCCCCTTGCCATCACCAATAAATCTCTTGGCTTGGAAAAAAAATGTGAAGATTTGAATAGACACATGATTGTAGCATCTCTCCTACAAACTACCAGCCAGAGTTCTCATTTTAACAGGTTGTTACTAGTCTACTTTACTCCCTTTTTGGCTAACCACTAAGGCATTTTAACAGCATGATGGTCTGCCCTTTACTGCAGCCATAAATTCAAAATTTCTGCCAAGTCACCAAGGAAGACAATTAAAACCAATCCGTTATTTGTTACTTATTAATATATGCAATATTGAATGTGAAAGAGACAATTTCTACATCATACTTAACACTTCTTTAAAAGAGTCACAGGTTAGTATTTTCCTCCTGCATTATCAGATCTGACACTTTGCTTCCAAAAAGGCATGGGGAAAGGAGTGTTGAGTGCATGGGAGGACTCTCTACCCACATTAGGTCGGCAACAATAATACAAACAGTACCACCTCCTGCTCTCTTCTCACTCCTCCATGCATTCCAGGTCAGCAGAGGCAATTCAAAACCAGTCCATATGGACACTGAGGGAAAGGTGGCTCAAGCAAAAAGAAACAGCATAAAGCAATATGCTAAAAAAGCTTCATGTCAGAAAACAAGTCATGAAGTAAGTGGATGCTTCCCTTTTGGTCCATATATCTTCTCACAACAAAGTTCCCACTTGGAAAGCAGTAATTTTGGGCAAATAAGAAGAGAAAAAAACCAAATTTTCAGAGCAGTTACTCACGTGAACAATACCGGGTAATGCAGCCACATTCCCAATCTGTTTCATAGCAGGCAAGAAGCCACCTGCACCTGAAAAAGAGAAAAAAAAAAAAAGTGAAACAATCTGGTAACTTACCATGATAATCACAGTGAAGTGCTTTCTAAACAGGTTGATCAAAACACTGGCAATTTAGAGGTCAGCCACCACCAAGGCTTCTGATCTGGTGTAGAGTAACCAGCGACACGCACAATCTGTAGTTTCATTAAATGAAGTACTTATTACACTAAAGTCCAACTCATGCTGTGTTTGTACCGATGGAGCACAGTCTGCCCTAACAACAGCAGTGTCACCACCAGCCCAGCTGTCAGACCTGGACCCAGCCCTGCACCTCAGCCCCACACAGCACAGGCCTGGGCTGCAGTGCCATGGCCTAGTGGGCATCGTGGCGTTCGGTCACAGGCTGGGCTGGATGATCCCGGAGGTTTTTTCCAACCTAATTGATTCTGTCGACTCCGTGACACCCTCCCGGGTTCAGGGCGCCGTGCCGGACCCACCTCCTCCGCGGCAGGCATTGCGCAGCTCCTCGAACATCAGCTTCTCCAGCGGGTCGTTCACGTAGAAAACACCCTCCACCTGCGGGGAGAGCCGTCAGCCGCCGGGCCGCCCCTGCCCCGCTCCCCTGCCCCTGCCCCTGCCCCGGGCACCCAGCCCCCTCCCACGCACACGCATGTTGGGCACGAAGCCCTTCTTGATCCGCCAGCAGTTCTTGTCGATCTTGTCCAGGTACTGCAGCTCATCGTTGTAGCTGCGGCTCATGGCTGCGGATCCCCAGGCGGCACCGCCGGGCGGCAGGAACTGACGCGGCCCCGCCGCCTCAGCCGCGGCGGCAGCGGCCAACAGGAGCCGCCGAGGCTCAAACCTCCTCCCTGAGCCCTGCCTCCCTGAGCCCTGCCTCCCTGAGCCCTGCCTCCCTGAGCCCTGCCGAGGCCTGGCCCGGCCCCCAGCCAAGCTCCGTGCCCGGGCCATCTGGCAGGGGCCTGGAGAAGTGCGGCACCGCTTCCCGCGGTGTGAAAGGGAGCGCAGGGGGTCGGGTTTGTACCTGGCCGCCTCCTCCCGCACACCAGATAGGGCTTGTGGGCTGGTTTGCGGGAAAACAAAAACAAAATCAAACAAACAAACACAACAGAAGAAAAACCCCGCAAATGTTTTTTCACGTAGCTGTTACCCCGGGGCAGAGCAGTTTCGGCCCGTGGGTATTTAGGTACCGCTCTGCTGCAGATGGGATGAGAGTGTGCACAGCAGTCGGGCAAAAGCTGCCCGCGCCCCATCGTCGATCGCGTTTCTCAGCATGAGGGAAAGACCTGTTTGCTGCTCAGTCTTGGCTTGAAAAGGGCTCTGTTCCTCCGGGGTGGGGAGGGCTAGGGTCTGGGTGCCCTGCCAGGTGGATGGAGCTTTGTGCAGGGCTGGTTTGGAGCTCACAAAAGCAGCAGATGACAGCGGGATGGGGCGCCCCTGCCTTTGTTTCTTCCTTGTCAGTGCTGGTTTGAGAGGCCAGAGACAACTTCCCATCCGGGTTTGGCCAAAGCACAAGCTCCTAAGCATTGCAGGGCAGGTATGTCCCTCTGTAGAACTCTGTTCAGGTTTGGACACTAACCAAGTATTGGAAAAAAAGGAGGAAGAAGAAAGAAGATAGGATAACATACCAAAATGAAGTAAGAAAAAAGATATTTGTAACTATTTCAATTCAGAGAAAATACTGACAGATGTTGGAGAATTAGACTTAGGACTTACCTAGAAACACTGAAGGAGTTAAATCTATCTAACCTGGCTATGCAGCACTAAAGTAGGTGTGTGAGAGGCACAAGGATTTGAAGAGTCACAGGAAGAGAGGGACTATCAAAGGCAGTAGTAGTGCCACTTCATCTTTCTTCCTGAACTGCTTCTGCATCTTAAGATTGCAGTTAAGGAACTGCAAAGATTTTAGTTCCTGTTGTAATTGGGACAGTTCCCAGTATGATAATTCCATGGTTCTGGAGAGGGCTCACTCTATATTTCATGTATCAGGAACAGAAGGGATGTGTTTAAGATCATTACCATAAAAACAGATTAGCAGCCACATCTGCCTTAGCAGTATTTTGACAATGTACTTTTCCTTCTTTTAAGAGACTGCAGCACTTTTCTGTGTATAGACAAAACTGTATTTCAAGAGAGTCATGAATCTTAAAAACATTTTTGCATCAATTAAACACCAGAATAAATAACGTCAAGCATGTGTCCCATGTTCTCCCTTGGCTGTGTTTGCTACCACCGTTATACCAGCGAACCATTCCATCAGCTTTTTTTGCTTCCTGGTATCCCTCCTTGCTCCCAGCCAGGATGACATTGCCCTTGTCAGAGCTCAAGTTACACATTTCAGCAGAAGTGGACATGGTTTAGTCTTCAGAGTCACATTATTGACTTGATTTGAAGTTCATGCTTAACAAATGGTCTCTCTTTTCCTTTAGTGTTTGTAGTGGACATCAGTTGAAATCAATATGTATCCCTGTGGGGAGAAGAACAGTCACTGACATGCTGTGAATTAAAAATAAAAGTGTTACTTTGTTTAGTTGATTTTTTTTTTTTTTTTTTAAATTTCAAATCTGTCTTGGTGGTTAAGGTCAGAAAATCTACTGAGAACAGCTGAGCCTTGGAAGTCACAAGTTTTATTAAACTCTGTCCTTTGCAAAAATTGGCAAAAGGGCCCTATCTTTCCCTGGGTGCTATCCCTTTGCACCATGCTAGCAACAGAAGGGACATCTAAAGACCATAGAGCCTATCCAGGAAAGTTCATCTGAGCCTTGAGAAAACTAGGCAACCATCACAAGGTGGGATTATTTTTAGCCTAATCTGAGCTGCTTAAGAATTAGCTATTTAATCTAAACTTGTCCTTAAAGCTTCATCCATTGTCGATGCATACAGAGCAATGAACCTGCAGAGAGCAGCTCATCACAGTTATAAAATCACAGAATGGTTTGGGTTGGAAGGACCTAAAAGATCTTCTAGTTCCAACCCCTTTACCACGGGCAGGGACACCTTTCACTAGACCAGGTTGCTAAAACTCCCATCCAGTCTATCTATGAAAAGTGGGAAGAATTGTCTTTCTTCCTATAGACTGTAGAAAATAGACTAGGATTGGACATGGAAGCTTTTAGAACTAGCTCTAAAATAGGAATCCCATTCACACTGGTAGAGCACAGCAATTCTCCTGTGTCCTCTCTCATTCCTAGTTACTGATAAGGAGTCTGCTTAGAGAAAGTAAGGTGGGGAATAGGCACTACAAAACCACTAAAATCTTTCATTCTTAATTAGCCCATAAGACTGCTGGCAAGGAGAGTCATTGAAAGCAGTCTCCAAGCAATTATATTTTGTAGGGAATGGCATAGCTGGCTGCTACCAGATATAGGATGAAAAGAAAAATTAAAGACAAATTTTGCATTTCCTTTCCTGAGTTGTGTTTTGTGCTTAACCACAAACAAAGACTTAAGACTGTCTCTGCTAAGCTGAAAATAACTTTGAGAAGTTGGTAAACAAGTGGAGAAATATAACAGGCTTACCCGTTTTCTGGGCATTCAGTTGTCAGCAATGCCCTTGCACTGACTGATTGCCTAGCAACGTTTTGTTTGCTCAGATTAAGGGCTAGATTTGGAGAAGGGCAACCAGAAGGCAAAAAAATATTTTCGGAGAGCTCACTAACTAGTTTTGGCTAGTAGCCTCAGTCTTTATCACCAATTATTAACAAAATGCAGTCATCCTAGGTGCACAGAATGGAATTCACCTCACTCTCATATTTCAACTATTCAACAGGACTGTGTGGATAGCAATAACTCTAATTTGATGTGATTGGCCAAACTTGAACAATATGTTAAACCTGTTTTTACACTGAATTGCAACTTGCAAGGCTGAACAAGTCGTGAATTTGATCGCTCCATGGTTATATATTCAGTTCTAACTTTTCCTCTCAAATAAAGATAAATTTGTTTCTAATAGAATTTTACCATTATTACAGATCTCATTTTAAACCCAGGGCTTTTTACTACTTAAGTACCTCAAATGCAGCAAAGTTCTGGTACAAAAAGGTGAATAAATGCCTAGCCAAAAAAAAAGGGGGGAAAAAAAACAAACAACCTTTCATAAAGCCAAATCTTTCCTAAGTGCCAAAATCTCACCTGTGCAATTGTAATGTGAGGTCTCGTCAAGGTAACATTGGCCAAATTGGGAAGAGGGAATCCTTTTGACAGTTTAGCTTAAAAAAAAAAAAAAAAAAGAAGAGACGAACAGTGATTTAGTCGTGCATTAGAAAGCTAATAAACACCTGCCCTGCAAAAACACTGTATATGCAGAGACTTGGTCATTTACAACAACTGATCTCTTAGTCTTTACAAGCAGTTCTGGGAGGTAGATAGGATGTTCATTTACCAATGGGGAAAAAGAATTACAGGTACTTCTCTCTTGGCAGAGTATTGCAGGCAAACCAAGGCATTTCATGTTCAGCACATTACATACTCAGTGACTCGTCCCTAACGATCCCTGAGGGATCATTAATACAGCTCTAGCATCATTAGGACCTGTTTGTATACATTAACTAAGGAAGGTGATGTTCATCCCAGTACAGACGGCTGGCACAAAGCTATGTCTCCCTCCAGAGCCTTAAATAAGATTTATGAGAGACAGAAGCTCTGTGCTGGTCTAATAAAGGGGAATACATTTCACACATGGTAGCCCCAGGCAGGCGTGCAGATGAGAGAGACATGCTTCTCCCTGATGCATCAGAGCCAACTTGACTGAGATGAAGGCAGATGAATTATGAGTTCCCAAGTAATTTCTGCCCTTTTTGCAGAATAGTGCCCGTGAGAGGGCGCACTTACGCCCCTGCAGATCAATCTCCCACCGCTTACTGGCTGACGGTCATTTTCCTCTCTAATGGGAACTGGAAACTTAAACAGAAAGTCAGCAGGAGTTCCTAGAATCACCCACTCTGCTGGAAGCTGTTTAGCTGCTGCTTTGAAATACATCCTTACCATTAGCTGATGGAATTACTTCAGTCTGTAAAATGTAAGACAGGATATTCTCCAGAAGTGAGATCTGCCACAGACAAGAAAACTGAATTAGCCATGCTTCCTGATGATGGTAGAACTGTCTTGCCCTAATCCTGGGTGGAGTTAGTAGACTCATGTTCAAGTTTCAGCTCTTTTGACCTCAAAGAGTCATAAACTCAAGTGAACTTTGGATCTAAAGGCTTTGGAATGATGCAAAGGAAGTGAGACGCAAAATGCAAATGGATTTCAACATCCTTAGCCAACATTTTCATTTAAAACAGTCTATTTCCTTTATTTGTGAGATAATTTATCACCAACAGCAAGGCAGGATCAGAACAGTTTTAATCCTTTCTCCTCAGCTACTCGGAACTGATTGATAATACTGAGAATGAAATAAGTCTCTGCGGAGGCAGGGTTTTCCCCTGCCAGGCTACAACTGCACTATTTCAGGCATCTGAGATAAGCATCTTGGCTCCCCCTCCCTATTGTAATTCCGAGCGTCTGTGATGAGCACCACTGCAGCACATGGAGGGCCTGTGCCTCAGCCATCCATGTGACCATTAGATGGCACACTGCTCTGCTACCAAAGCTTAGATTACCGCTCTGTGTTTCACCGTGGTGATTCGAGAGATCTCTGCTTACTGCAGTTTGGGGAACTACAGAATGTCTCATTTGCAGAGCACTAACTTGCCCCAAAGAATATACTTTTAAGTCCGCAGAAGAGACGTGGCTGCCAGAAGGCAGGAAAAGAGCCATCTGAGAATGAAGCCAAATAATTTAGAAATACAGATAAAATGTAGCTGCTTACTCTTTAGCCTTCATATGACTGATATTCTTGGTTTACATTTCCTATAAGCTTCAACTATCCACTTACCTCGAAAAAACCAACATTGGAGTGGGCTAGGGAGAACTGGAGCCTGAGGGAGAGAAGTGAAACAAGATGAGCCTCTAAGAAAGGATAAACACAGTTATTCTATTCATGTGCAGTCATTGCTGTAGAGCTCCAGGCCTTAAAAGCATCTGTAAAGAGATTTTTGAAGCAATTTCACACAATGCATACTGCCCCATAGAGAAAGACGTGATCTTCTTAGGGCATCGCTGAGCATCCATGCAAAAGTGTGCTAGAAGGGCTGTAGCCAGCAATGTGAGTGTGCTTCTCCCTCTGTGCTATGTTTTGGAAATCCTACTGACAATTGATTTAACCAAGGATTTGCAGGCTGTCAGGTATTTTGCAAGGATTTTGGTACATCTGCATAATGTTTTGATGTGAGTCTTACCAGGGTGGGGAGAAAAAAAATCTGTTCATCATATGGTACTGATGCTGCTGGCTTTGTTGCTAAAGGTCTCTGTTTCCAAATTGAAATATTTATTCTGTATGTTACTCCCGTATCCAACACAAGATTTCAGGGTTTCCACAGCACCTGCACCCCAGGCCTCAAGGCCAGCTTCCAGCACACTCTAGATTTTTCTCTTTGAAAATTGCTGCTAAAAATGCTAACAGCACTATCCTCCTTAAATTCGTAATATCTCTCTGCCCTGACGAACTCCACATATTCTTAACCCTATAACAGTCTTCCCAAGGGACTTTTGTGAAAAAGGCGTCCCAGTCCCCAGCTGTGAGGTCCTGGTATAGAGAGCTTCTCTCTATAGAGTGTGACATGCTAGATGTCTAAATGTCCAAGTCTCTGGTCTCCAGCTTTTTCTGACCCTTGGAAGTTGCAGGACTTCATTTGGTGAATCTCTGCTCTAAGAATATTGGCATAGGGGACCTGCAGGGGCCCAGTTTCTTTGCTGTGTCCTGGACTGCTCTGAAGTTCTTTAATAGCACAGGTGGTCTAGAAAGCAGTGACATCTTGCCAGCTGGAAAGTGATGAGGAAAACTCTGAGATGACTCAGGGTCAACATAGTTGCCCTGCACGCTTAATTTATCTAGCTCAGAGGGGAGAGTAGATGTAAAATGCAGAGAAGTCCAGTGAGACCACTGCCCTGCAGCAATCTTCATTTACACTTCCTTGGTATACATTTCCTATGGTGGGCAGTTGTCACTCCTCTAAACTGTATAAATGCAGACAGAATTAGAGAATCTAATGCAGGTTAATTTACCAGGGAAACATACTTATCTGATCATATGCCTAAACGGCTAATGTTGGGATTGCTAACAGTGTTTTCCAAAGGCCTGGAAATTCTTTCCATCACAGGTTGAATTACCTGTTCAAACATAGTGAGCCCATCAGTTTCTGATCAAATATATTCAGAGAAATGCTGCTGTTGGCTGCCTGCAGAATAAAGAAACCATGGGTTACCAGACGTAAAAAAAGCAGGACCCTTGCTGTGAAATATCACAAATACATAAATACCATCCATACCACTTAGCCATGGAAGCTGTTTTAGGTAAATGCAAGGCTGCACACAATAAATATCTGTTTGTCTGAATGGCATTGACAAGACCTGAAATGTGGGTAATGAGCTTTCCCTAATAAAAGACGTGAACAAGTTGCCAAGAAGCATGACTCATACCCGCAGAACTGTCATTCCAGAGAACAAAACCTTGGTTAATCAGAGAGTGTTGATTTTTGTCCATCTATAGGAAAATGTTCTTTGCCACAGAAGTTAAGTGAGGCCGCACAGGCATCACCTGTGACTAAGGGGAATTTGCGTGTTTAAGTACTAGAAATTAAGCATTTTCTTTGTTTCTTGTGCAAGTTTTAACAGACGGAAGGAACAAACATATTTAACCCCAAGTTAAATGTCACATAGTTCGTTGTACTTACTACGTTCATTGTGAACAGCGACTGGGTGGTTGAGTCTGGCAGAACAGCCAACACCTCCATGGAGCCCTGAATCTCTACTGTGAAGGAATCCTGCTCTAAGCTGATGACAGGTATTTCAGTAGCCATTAGCTTCAACATTACCGGATAGGGTGTAACTGAGTATTTGGCTACCTGTAAGATTCCAGGACAAAAAAAAAAAACAACAGAAAAAAAAGACAGAAAAACACTTCTTGTAGAACAGAATACTGCATTTTCTCATTCTTGAAGCAATTATTTTGAAGTAGTTCCTTAAGATGAGATTAAGGATAGCTACTAACACAATATTCGTTCAGGGAAGCAGGAAATAGAGGTTTTCTGCTGTGATAAATTAATGATCTAGGCCACATAGTATGCAGTGGAAAGTTCCTTCCACTTGAGGAATACAAATTTTTCTATATCACTTTGAGAGAAATTAAATACTGATTTGTGAATAGAAGAGAAAAATGGACCACAAGTGTGACATTTAAAGTCACACAATAAAAGAGCTCAGGAGTCATTCACTTTGAAGGTCATTCATCTCACAAGACAGATTCCTCCTCTGGACTGTTCTTTTAGGAGCCTCACTCTTTGCATTGCCTGAGGAGTGAATAGGCTCACCAAGTTCATTATTCAAAACAGAGGGAGCGGGATATTATCAGCAATGCTCGTGGCATTTTATGGAGAAGACCATACGATGACTGCCCTTGGAGAATTTTATATTTCTGAGGAAGGAACTTAGTAACATCTGGGAAGCAAACAAGAATGTGAAGTTCTTTGAACCATTAGTCCAATTTCATCCGACCTCAGCATTCTTAGCCTAGGGGTTCTTATGCTCGTTTTTGGTTTCTCATTCTGTTTGAGAAGGCTGGTGGAAGCCATGCATACTCATATTCTCTGTCCTGTTATATTCATCTCCTCCACCTAAAATAAATGGAAATCCTGTGCATCTGCCTTGTCTGTTCCATAGGATGTAGTGTTTCCTCATCATATGTTAGCTGGATTTCCTGCACATAGTCTTTCTGCTAGTCAGTCACAGCAGAGCAGTGAAGCAAAGACAATTATGCAGGTTTGGACAGGAGGAAGGTATTCTTTCTGAGCTGAGGCCCTCTCAGAAATCTCTCAAGGCAGGACTCATGACTGAAAGCTTTTCTTTTTCCTGCATAGAGATAGTTTTAGGTGGGAACAGATGTGGGGCTTGGGCACAGTGCCCAGAGTAAATATCGATGTGCAAGGTTATGGGCCAAGATTATGTTTGGTAACAGTGCAAGTCATTCAACTCATCATGGGGGTGGGAAGTGACAAAGCCCATCTGCTCTGTTGTTATGAGGCATATACGTTGCCAGCTTCTCTAGTGCAGGAGCCCTGCTGGCCCTAACAGCCTTTGGGATATACCAGTAGTGAGGTGTCTTGACACCCACACTGGGTGGTTTCCTAAGACCTTGTGGAAGCAATGATACTCACCTCAGGGATGATACTGCCAAATATCTCCGTGCTTATATTAAAATAGCTGCAAGTCTGGAAGAAAAAATAAAAGAGAGAAAACAAATGAGTTACCAGATTTGACCTTCATGGTCAGTTTTTCTCTAAATGCATTATTACTGTCTTTTCCATAAATCTTTGATTTTATACCTCTCAGAAATATTCCTAAGAGACTCAGTATACTTTAAAGCTGATTCCCAATAATACATGCCATAGTAATTCCTGGGAAAGCAAATGCTTAATGTCATTATAGTCTGGGCTGCAATCTGTAGGTTTTGGGACTTACTGAACCTCCTGCAGTCAGGTAAGCCAAGTCAGGCATCCCCCACTCACAGCTACTGTACTTGGATATATGCTTTCCTTCCATGGCCCCTGTAATACTTTTATTCTATGAATATCCCTCAAAAAACAGCCACTGAGGCTGCAAAATTCCCCAAAGTCAATCCCTTGTCCACGTCAGAGAAGTCTAGGCCTCAGGTCTACAAAAACCTCATTTTTTGTGATAAAGTTTTGTATCTTGCTCAGCAGAACTTGGCATGCTTGCTTGTGGCCCGAGACCTCTATATAAAGAATAAATAAAAGAGAATAACGATACCCTTGTATTTATGAGCTACTGTCTCAGGGCTCTGCAGACCAATTAACAGCTTTATCTGGCTGCACACTGACATCTGGCAGATCAAAGTTCTATCTGAGCCACTCTGACCCCACTCCTCTGTGTCCTACTCACCTCCTCTGCAATGGTCATGTTGAAGGCCCCTGCGGTGTAGTAAGCAAATGAGGAGGTCTGAAAAAAGTACTCAGAGAAGGCCAGGAAGAGCATGGAGTCACTTTGGTCTGTGACACTGAAGGGAGCTGCCACGTAGGGAGAGGCAGTGTAATTTCCAGCTGGGAAGACTGTGCCCTGAAAGTCATTGTCAGAGATTGAAAAAGAGTCAAAATATAACTTTAACATGACTGCAGACGATGAATGCTACTTTCTTGTACTTTACCCAGCTTGTTCATTTGGTGTATAAATGAGTGCACAGGCTTCACTTCAAGGTAGTACACCTTGAAGGCTTGGTGCTTTCAAGAAGGCAAGTTCCAGCGTTTGGACACCTTCACAGATGACACCTGAGATCTGTCTTTTGAGATACTGATCACCTACTGAACACAACCCCCCACCCCAGAACAAAAACCCTTTAAAATTAAGGGTCCGTGTATTGCATGAAAAGCATGACTAGCGGTCCTCATTTTTGAGAAGCCTTACTTTCTCCTTTCCCTCCATCTACAGGGATTTGAATCTGGAACTGATGCTTAGAGCTATCCAATGTTCTCAATTACAAAATGGATTTCTAAAACCAGAGGTCTTTCTTGGTCAAAATCAGCACCGTGCTCTACCGAGAAGCAAGTTGGTAACTTATGCAGACAAAAGAAGACTTGAGAGAAAGGAAAGTTATGTCAGACAAACCTAAAATGCCTATGTTGTCTTCTGTGTTACCAATGAATTAGCCAAGACTTGCAGATCTAATGCTTCCAAACGCACACAGATTAAACAAAAAGGTAAAAACTGATTTAAAGTGATGAAGGCACTTAGAGGTTAAAGTTTTTTTTATCTCTTTTATCAGTTTCCTGTCTCTGTTTCATCTCAAATATATTCTGTATGTCTTTACTTTCTCATCCGACTCTAAATTTCCAGTTGCCTTTTAAGGACTAGCAAAATGCTTACGAAGTGCTGAATCACAGCTGGTGACCTCCCCATTCAATTCTCACTTGCTGGATTCACCAGTCACTTGCTTCTTGTATTTCCCCCATGTAACTTATGTGGGAGAGTAGCTCTTGTAAACAGCCATGACATTACATCTTTAGTCTGCTCAAGTTCCTGCTTAAAATCTAATTGCTGCAATACTCGGAAGAATTTGACAGCAGCTGCAGAGCTCGGTGTGCCAAGACCAGTGTCTACCATACAGATGCTAACTTTTTGTTCCTTTATGTTTCTACCTCTCTTATTTACCTGCTGACTTTTGTTAATACTTAATTTATAAAATCTTTGTAATGAATCTGTCTTCTCATTCCCCCTTTATAGAGCACCTAGCGCAAGGCAGCTTAAACTTAATTAAGGATCTTGGATACAGTGATGATGATGACGACTACCCTCAATCAAATCACCTTACATAGAATGACAATGAAGTAATTGTAAAATTAGGAACTAGTCAGATTTTAGTGTCAGTACATAAGGAGACTTTTTCCTTAATTTGAAAGAAACTTCCAGGTCTTCAGACTCAGCAGCACTCCTTGGACTCCCAGTGTTGTTTCAAGGGTCTTCGATCTTCCCATTTAGGAAGCCAGAGGCTGAATTCTTGGTCCTATAGTCTTGCTCTTTCTTTTCCTCTCTCGTCTGACAGCAGACACATCTAGTTAGTGCAATGTGTAGAATATTCCCCTGACTGACTGAACAAAGAAGTCCTAGACATTAATCAGTGAAAGATGATGTTGAATATTTTTTCTTTCCTTTCCTTTTCTCTTTCTTCTAACTTGCTTTGTCAGCTTTTACTGCTCTGTCTTTTCTATAACTAACTCAACAGCAATTAATAAAAAAGGATGTGGCTTTTCAATAATTCATTTTACAACAAGATTGTTACAAATTATTACAATAACAAATGCAATAATGCTTTGAAATGTCTGTCTTCTCAGATACTGAGCCTCTACGTTCAGAACAGCAATCATGGTCAGCTTAGAAAGTGGATCATACAGCAGTAAAACCCACAGCAATCTTGGCAAAGAGCACTGCAGGCAATTACTTACCTTTAAGTCCAGGTCAATGAATGGTTGGAATACTGCTGGCAAGCTACTTAAGGAGTAGTCTACTTCAGCCAAATCATCAATTGGCATTACAACTGTAAGGGTGGTAGATAAGGCAAGATACAGAATGTTACAAAAAAAACAGAAAGAATTTTATGTATACTTAAAACCAAGTCAGTTTCTGAAGGAGAATAACACCAATTGCTCCAGAGAGTAGGAAGAAACACGACTAGGAACTTCCTAACCTGCATTCTGAACTAAGGCTTGATGTTTCTACTGGCACCTTCTGTAAAGCACCGTCTTTGGTTCGTCTGTTGTTTTCTCACTGTGGAAAAGTCTGGTCTAGCAAAAAAGGGGAAATGGCCATCAGTGATTCAGGGCATGAGGAGGCACTGGGATTTCTTGTCAAGCAGTTCTAAGAGCACCCTGAGTGTCTCTAACTTGCAAATGCTTTCCCAGAAAGGAGGGTGCCTGATCTGCTTAGGTACTCGTGTTTTGCACATGGTATCTGACCAACACTTGCGATGTCTTAAAAGCCTGCAAATCTAACCCAAAATAGTTCAAGTGAGAAGGTTTTTTTGCCAAGGAGAATTTCCTTTTGCCTTTGACAAGTCTGACCTATAGGCAAGTAAAACTTAAATATTCAGGCAGGCTAGGAGAGCAGGCTTCAGCTTTTAAAGTCCTTTGTGGACTTGGAGCATGGAAGGGAAGGGAAAATTGCCTTTGTGTCAGTACTCTGCGGTCTATAAGTTGTATTTCTAACAACAGAAGTGCACACTGCTGCATTTGCAAGTTGAGAATTGCTACCAAGTCCTTGGCTCTTACAAATATAAATTTCTTGCCCAAGTAGCCCTGCCTTTATGTATCTGGTTCTGTCAGCAAAGCAGCAGACAGAGCAGAGGAGCTGATACCACTTCTGGAGGCATTGCTGAGCAGCAGCTGTTAAGGAAGCTGCAGAATTTCACTGATCAGGAGAGAAGAAGCAGAAGGAAAAGGTATCACTAGCGACTCACCGTTCAATGATCGGAGGTCTTCATCTATCAGCTGGATCCCAGCTCTGATGTTGGGACATGACTGTAATAAAAGGACACTCAAGTTATATCCTGATTAGCGTGGACATGTAAGCACCTCTTACGTGTGTGCTAGAAGTTTACGTGACACACATTGCAGCATTTGTTTATCAAAACACCTAATCTGGCTTTTCTGGATCCCCAAGGCTTCTGCTTGGTGCAATGCAAGCATATCCTATGTCAGAGCTGCAAAAAAGAGGGAAATTGCCAGAGGCAGCCTGGTGGGGGTGACAAAACCACAGCCTTAAACAGCATAAGGAAAACAGATCTCATATTGGTCTCACAGGAGAGATACCAGAATCATTCAGGTTGGAAAAGACCCTTAAGATCATCAAGTACAACCATAAATCCCTGTTCTGGGACAGAATCACAGCCATCTCAAGCTCTGTCTCCTCTCAGTGGCCTTGGTCAGGTTGTAGTCAGGACTGCTCACATCCCTAATACAATGAAATTTAAATATGTCATACTATCATTGATGTACTATAATTTCTCTATGCATAACCTAGTATATGTTTTGTCTGCCAAGTATAACATTTACCCATACTCCATGATGCCTGTAGGTACACAGGCAGAGACTTATTCTGCATTGGAATGAGAAAAGAACTACATTTTCTAGTCCTGCTGCTGCCTTGGTTGAACTAGCTATGGACTAGTCAGTATCTTGGCCATGAACTTTATCTGGAAGCATTTCTGGCTGGCAAAATGTTGCCTGTGCTGATCAGACCTGAATAGGCCTATTACCTGATTATTTTTCTAGTTCTTACTTTACCAAGTGGAGCCCCTGGTGGTCTAGTGGTAAGGGCGCGGCGCTGTCACCGCCGAGACCCGGGTTCGATTCCCGGTCAGGGCCACTCCCGGGCAGGTGGGGCTCGTTAGCCCTTAAAGGCAACCCACCTACGTCCTAAGGACCTCGCTGCTACCGTCCAAGCTCGCTTGGCCCCGGCAGATGAACCTTAGGATTAAAGGGTGGGCTCAGTTCCGCGCACACTGTGTCTCACCTAAAAAATCCAATGCGCAGGCTGGAAGGTGGAAAGACCTTCCCCGGATCTTCGCTCGCGAAGACTGGCCATTAATCTTAAATTAAAACTTTACCAAGTTCACAGCAGAGACTTGTGAATGTCATACTCCTTACACCCCTCCCCTACACAATGTGAAAGGCTTACATTAGTGACCAAGCTCCTGTGAATAGGTTTCTTCAGATACTTGATAAAGAAGTTATGCAGGAAGCTAGAGGGAAGGAAGAAAGCAATTCATGGGTCAAATACCATGGTCATTAACAGGAGATCAGCTATCTCTGTTGAACACTAATTTAATGTCCTTTGAGTGTGATATTCTAGTACACAAGAGAGCTTTCTGAAATGTAGAAACTATTAGAGAGCCACTATTTAAAAGGAGATAATTTCAGCATCTCAGCAATTAGCCAGGGTTGATTCATCTTTATGAAAAAGGAATTCTTCATAGTACCACCATCATATATGTACAAACATAGAACAAGTAAGTAGTGTCTGTACTAGGAACTTCTGATACAAGTAAAAACAAATAAACAAAACAAACCCAGGTGGCAAAAGTGGTATTCAGACAGTGAGAGAAGTACAAGGAAACAATGAAATATTGTTGCATGTATTCAGATACTTAACAGACAGAAGTCTGGTTCTGTTCAATTTTGATAGCACTGTGACTGGGGGAGTGAAACATCGTACAAGCATATAACTTCTACTTAGAGCTGAAGATTAGAATAGACGTTTGAAAGAAGTGGGTGGTGAAGAAGCACAAGGGATTGTTTGATTCTGTCTTTATCTTCTACCGTGCCCAAATACAAGGATAAATATCAATGTTGGCCATTTTAACACTGTATGAGGGCCCCAGTTCTCACCTGTGGGTGTCTATAGATGCCTAAAAGCAATTCTGCATGCCCTGTTTTGTGTGAAGTTGTCCCTGTGCTACTCATTGACAGTTATTTTCTCCCAGAGTTTATACAGATCTCTTCCACTTACCCACTTTTTCCATTCAGCTTAATATCTATGTCACCAGAAGTTGTCCGGCAGCTGGTAAGGGATATTGACATAGGACCTGTATTATCCTGAGGCACTGAAAAGATTGCAGTGACAAACACCTTGGAAATGTGCACTGTGCTTCTTCCACTGTCTTTGCTGCATAAAGTAAAAAGAAATAAAATACTGAAAAAAACCCATCTCTTCACTATGGACTTGCCTGGCAGTCTGGGCCATGGGACTGGGAGGGTGTGGACATGGCTCTAAAGATATTGCCATTTGCTCATCCATTTTCCCTCAGCTTTTGAACTATATCTCCTGGAGGCATAGCAGAAGGTTTCTAACAGTGTAACTGCACTGGAAGGTTTTATTATACTGGATTGTGACCCAGCACACTATGGTTTTTCTAAATGTGTCATTAGCTGGCAGGCTGGATAATGACAGCACTCAGCTAGAGCAGCAGTCCTGTATTATTCACAGTAGAGCTTCTCTGCCATGGGCTCTTTATCAGTGCTCATGTCTGAGGGGGCTGTCTCCCACCAGCAGACCTGTTGAGAAGAACCAGTCTGTGCTTCTGGGTTACTGCTGCTAGCTGATAAAGAACACCTTTGCCATGGAAGAGGTCACAAGAAAAGCCAAGCTTTGCATTTTTATCTTTATATGAAGAAAAAATCCCAGGACACATTAAGCTGTACGTACAACATCCAGGTCCTTATGTTCCAGTTCATGTCGATGGTTAGAGAAGCATTTCCTATCACCAGTTTTATCCCAGACCCAGGTAGGAGAGAGATGGAACCACTGGGTAATTCAACAGCAGTGACATGTATCCTAGAGCATGAGACAGGTAAGGGAGAGATAAGAAAAAGTTTGTATTTCATGAGTCAGAATGAACGCAAAACAAGATTCAAATTTCAGTCAAACATAAATTGCTCCTGGAGAGAATACGTACCCTGAGATGTTGTATTTGACATTACCAAGCCCAAATTTCTCATGGCCAGTCAAATCAGGGAAATGCTCCTTTTCCATATTCTGCTTCAGAATTTCCAGCCCAACCTCCTTGGCTACAGAAAAACAATGATCAGTTCAGTTGCCTTTGATACTGCCTGGGAATTTACAGTTATGTGTTTCTGGCTCAGGAGATGGGATGGACACAGAGTCAGGAGGATGAAGATATCTCACGTGAGACCCTCCTAGTTATGGCAGGAGCTGAACTGATTCAGTATCTGAAGTCAGATGAACCTCAGTATGATGTACAATGCAATCAAGCAGCTTACTGACTCTAAATTTTCCTTTATAGCCTGTGATCAGGTCATTTCCTCCCACTGCCCTCACTGTCCTGTGTTTCTCATATCAGGATTCAGTGCAATACCACCAGCAGCTCCTGAAAACATCGCACATACCATACTCTAAGCCCTTCTGGGTGATCCTCACTTTGAGTCCAGGATTGGCATTGATTTGTCCACTGAGCAAACTTAAGAGAAGGAGAGAACAGCAAATCTTCAGCATCTTCCTCGTTTTTTACAGGACCTGTTAATAAATATTTATAATGATAGCAAAGTTCATGCTATGTCACTTGGTGGTTTCACTCCTTTCCCCTCCACCCTAGACACCAGCTTTTCCTCTAGAGTGGAGAAAGTGGGAAGCTCAGCAGCCATGGAAGAGAGGCCCCATTCTGCACAGACTGTTACAAAAATAGAGATCCAGGGGGTAGGGGAGAAAAGTCAGCCTATTTACTGTCATAGAGACTGGGGAAAGCACTTGGGATAGATCCATCCAGACAAACCCTATCAAAAGGGACTTGACATTGAATTTTTAGGCTGTAATGTCCCCTCCCACCCCTTGCTAGTAAAATAAGTAGCCTATTTTTTCACAAAATATGTAAAGCTCTCAGTTCCTCCTGGTGATTCAGCAGACATCACTGCATCGTAGCACTTTGGAAAACCTGATCAGCTCACTTAATTACAGGCACAGATACCCCCACTTTTGGAACTACTTATTAAGATCTTAGTCACAATTTTGAAAAGTCCCTTATGTTCACTTCTGACAGTCAACAAAAGAAAATGATTTGGTGCCAGCAGACAATGTTTTCATATTCCCTAGACCACATGTTAATAAATGCATTAAGTTTTATCCAGAAACTCTCAGTGCAAACTCCATGGTCCAACAGATGTTTGGCTTTGCTTGTTTGCTGTTTCATTACCAAAAGTAATAATATACTTCAAAGCTCTAAAATATTTTCAGTTATGAAAACAATTTAAGCAAACTGCAAAATTGTAACATTGACTTAAATTTTTGTAAGAGTTTCAATCCCACAGAACACCTTCGCTTTTAAGTATGATAGTATTTTCTTTTTAATTTTTGACTTTTATCAAGATGTGAAAGAAACACACTTCATGTGTGGAATCCAGAGGTGAAAGAAACACAGTCCATGTATAGAACAAAAACGAAGTACCAGAAGGAAATGTGTATTTAACATAGGCATAGTTCTCAAATCATAAAATCTCAACATTTAACCAGATTTAGCTACATCTATCTCTGCCCAACAAAACCACTCCTCAACAAAGAGTAATCAAAACACATTTATTTTCATACCTGTCCTCTGAAGACTGAAGAGAAGACTCTTACTCTACCAGACCACAGGGCTGAGGATGATGCAGGGAAAATCATCTGCCACCACGACCCCGTCTTTTAAAGGAAAGAGCTGTGAGCTTGAAGACAGCCACTTGCTATCATCTTCAGCAGTATCACACAGGGAGTGGCCTCTCAGATAATCACATCCCAAACTATTTTGGGTGTCCCAGGTTAAATCTATAGAATTTCATTTAGGGATAAGCAGGGGGCAATGGGAACTGTTGGATGAGGGTGCTCAGGCACTGGGGTGCTGAGTTTGGGATGGCATGCTGCCTTTGTGGCAAACTGTTTCATCACTGGCTTTTCAGATGGACCTAAGAGAAAACTCCAGTGAGAATTCCAGTGCTTCCACAGGACAGACACTCAGAGCCAGGTTTGTATTTTGAAAGAAAGAAGTTAATGTGCAATTGCTATGAAGAACAGATGGAAAACAAGGCCCATCTGTCTGAAATTGCTCAGGATACAGAAACCCACAAACCATATAGTATTTATGTTATAGCATATGCGTATGTACGTACACACAGACACTATGGTGTCTGTGGTATATGTGTCATATGCATATATGGTGCAAACATATAGTATCAAGTCCTTGTAGTTAATATTTTCTATTTCTTGTGCCTACTGATCCAGTTAACCAGTACTTCAGCTAACCAGCACTTCTTGGCTTGTCAAGGAGGTGATTTAATCAATTAGCTTGCATGTACCAAGCACATTCCCTCAGGCATGGAGCACTTTGCTGGACAATCTGAGTCACTTCATTGTGCAATCCATGAATAGAAAAGGTAGAGACAGTTGTCAGTCAGTCAACAAATACTCATATTTACACAGATTTAACATTCACTGCAGGGAGTCACATGCATAATAATTTCATTATTTATATCTATGGCAACTGATGATGAATATCATTCACACCATCAGTTACATAAACCTCTATAAGTTCTTTTGGCACAAGTTCTGCAGTTCCTATAATGCAAGGGGAAAGTTCCATTGTTTCCATCCATGCAGATGTCCAAGATGTACGAACAATTGAATTGTCTGAAAACTATGTCAGCTTATCTTCATCATATCCTTCTAACATGTTATGATTCTTCTAATCTAAGAGTACCACCCAGTTTAGATAAGACTTTCAGCAAAAGTTAACACTAGGGCTTCCAGAAGAGTTCCATCATTTCTTTCTACAAATATAGGAATAAAAGGCAACTATCTACATACAGACACATTCAGATACATATATAAATACACTATAATTAGCATCTACATCCAAACTTTTCACCCTTCAAGGTGTTACAAAGAGCGTTTAAGAGGAGTGTTTTATTTCAGCTTTCTCTGAATCTTCTTTGATGTGTATGCTAAAGGAGATATAGATTTCAATCCCTTTTACTCAATACACAAGAAACCAAATGAAGTTATCAGTATGGCAGTACTACAAACTTGTTGCTGCATCTCTGCAGATCGCTGGCTTTGCATGCTTCCTGTCCCTGCCTCTGGTTCAGCACTCCAGTGGTCCCTTTTTCCTGCTCCCCAATTCTCCCTTTTCTCCATGCTCTCTATTCTGCAGCATATTGATGAATATGAATCATTTCCATTGTTCTATCAATCAGGAGACACCACCAGATCAAAAATGATTTAGTGACATGTAGGTAAGTATAGGATGATACAGGGGGAACTGTTGGTTTATATGACATCCTCTTTAGTCCTTAGAGAAATTACTACATCACTTTGTGAATAGCCAGAAGACTAGAGCTTAAGGGACAGTGTTGTGCTAAGCCATGACTCTGGCCTGAAAAGGTCCATCGAGCCATGGTACTTGGTCAGTCCTGCAATTTGTGTCTCTTCGGAAGAGAAAATAGATAGACACCAGGGCTTTAGTTTTCTTTTTCCCCTGTATCTCATGAATTGTCCTCCAAATAGCTAGAACAAAGTTCCTGGTATCAGTGAGGGACACCAAACTAACTAAAAATCTTCATTTCTTTTGAGTTCTTCTTCCATTCTTTTTATAGTCACTCTTCACCTACCACAGAATACAATGAATCAGATGCTGTGATTTACTGCTATTTGGTTTCAGGATGTTTTTTTTTAGTAAAAAACTATATCAGCCAGCTAGATAAATAAACTGATTCAGCTAAAACTATGGAAGCCACATCTCTGTCCCAAGCTGTAACTGAACTTTCTGTAGTGAGACATTTGCAGACTAGTTTTTCTTTCCACACACTTTTAATATCTCCTACTTGAGTGTCTCTGATGACACTGACATAAGACAAAATAAAGATTCGAGAGCCATTTTATAAATATTAGGAGAATGAAATTATTTGGACATTGATACCCTCAAAGAGGTGCAGCGACTCACAAACAAGGAACAACTGCTGGATGATATAGAGGCCAAGGACAGCCTTGGCTGAAGTGAGCATGAAACTGGGGAGTAGTTTCAGATTCTGAGAGCAGCAGCAAGACAAAGAACAGAATTACAACCATAGACTTCAGATGAGAAGATTACAGGGACCTGCTTGGCAGGATCTGTGGGAAATTGCCCTGGAGAGCAGAGGCCCAGAAGAGCTGGCTAATCTTCAAGGGCAGCCGCCTCAGAGCATATGAATAGTCCATTACAATGTTCAGACAGTTGAGCAACTATGGCAGAAAGCCATGATGGATGAACTTGGAGCTCCTGAGTGAGCTCAAACACAAAAAGGAAGCATACAGAAGATGGAAACCAAGACCAGATACTTGGAAGGAACACAAAGATCTTGTTTGCACATATAGGAATAAAGTCAGGAAAGCCAAAGTTCAGTTGGAGCTGAAGTGCAACAGGAAAGGTTTCCCTAAGTACATTTATAGCAGAAGAAGATGGGCTTATTGCTCAGTAAGGTGGGAGACTAATGACAAAAGACACAGAAAAGGCTGCTTTTACAAGCAAGGCTTCTCCTCTGGACTGCACCAACAGGTGCAGGTTCTCAAGGGGGCTTGAGAACATGAACTACAAGGAGAGTCTGAGAGATCAGGCCTGTTCAGTTTTGAGAAGAGAGGGCTTGAAAGGCCATTTTGTTGCCTGCAATGGTTTGGTCAGAGACTACAGAGAAAATGGATCCAGTCTCATCTTGGAAGTGTGTGAAAGTACAAAAGACCACAAAACAAGCTGGAACATGGGAAATGCTGATTTGATATTAGGAAAAAAAATTATTCTGAAGGGAGTTAAATAGTGGAACAGATTGCCTGGAGAGACTGTGGAACCTCCATCCTTGAAGGAGTTCAAGACTTGACTGGACACAGTGCTCAACAACCTTATATAATTAGTCCTGTTTTGAGCCAGTGTCTGAAGTAGACTATATGATTCTATAACTATATGGCAATTAACTGGATTTTATAAATTTCTTCCCACTCTTGCTATCCAGTTACAAAGGGACAAATTGTGAAACATTTACCAAGAATAAAATTTCACTCCATACACAAAATTTTGCTAACACAAATGGAGATAAATTGAATAATGCAAGAAATTGTTCCTAAAATTAACAAAATGTGGTGTCTATAACTCTAGTGAAAAGAACCAGTCACTCCTTCTGATCAAGCTGCAACAAATTTTCTGAAGCATCAATAACAATTAGCTACACTCACTGTACTAAAAACCGACACATTCACTTTGTGAAAAATGCTTAAAAAGTTTTACTAAAACACTAAAAATAGTGATGAAAAGCCATGCTCCTAATGTTATAGCATCTACTCCCTACAAGCCAACAGAAGGAAAACTACATTTTTCTTTTTTTATTCTTTAGAAGTAAAAAGACATCAGGAGTGGCTGTGGAGGTCCTCATCTTCCCTGTCCTCTGGCTGGTAGTGAACATCAGTGGAAATAACCAGATGACCCTGAGGAAAGAAAGACAAGTAAAATTACCTTAAATTTCAGACAGATATATTCAGGGACAGTACTCTGGGACCAGATCCCATGGTAAGCCCCTCAGCATGGTGGGGGACTAGAGTGGCTTTGTGCCTCCTGAACTTTAGTTAACTTTAGGGTAGGAACGGGCTTTGATGTAGGTTAACACAACACTCCAAAAGGCTGAGTAACGCTTATCACAGAGACAATCAGACTGCCTCTGAGCCTTCCTAGAGAAAGGTCAGAGTAGGAAGGACTCACACACTCAGTGCTCCTAAGGGGATAGCAGTGCTGTCCTCGTCATGTCCCCATGCTGGCACACCCCAAAGGGCTAGTAGACCCTTTGCTATCTATAACTGCGAGGGCTGGGGGGCTCATTTTGGATCCAGAGTTTGCATGTTATATCTAACGCACAGTGAAAGCTTTACTAATAACAACATTTAGATTTACCCAACACAGGAAAACACACAAATGTATAGACCTGAAACAGAAGCAATATTCTATAAAAGAAATTTGGCTTCTCACCTGATTCATTTTTATTGCAGATCCAGTCAGGCTAATGTGGGCCAAATTAAGAACAGGAAATCCTTTTCCTAGTTTATCTTTGGAAAGGACAAATATAAATACTTTTGAATGTAATAATAAAATGCACTTCAGAAGCATCTTTCTCAAGGAACTCAATGTGTTTGCAATTTCCCTTCAACTAGCCACCCTTGAGCCTCTCAAGGGAGCAAAAAACCCTGTGAAAAGGTAGCATCTAAACCTCTTACAGTCTCTCAGCCGTCTGACACTGCCTTTTTTCCTCTCCAGTTATCTGCCCCTCAAGATCTGGTTTGTGCTGCTTCCCACTCTGCATTACTCTCCATCTTCCTTTCAATTTCTTCTCTACTTGATCCTCTCATCCTTTTGGCTCCTCTTATTCTCATCTATTCCTACTTTTCTGGATCAAGCCTCAGCTCTATTCCTATTTGCTTTTCCATACATCTGACTTGCATCCTGCCCTTTCATTCTCTCCTCATTGGTAGCTCACTTCTTTTGTTAGCAGTACCCTCATCTCTGTTCACCTGAGAGGCACCTTCTGTTACTCTTCCACCTGCTTCTTTCCACCATCATCCCTTTCTTCATCATCCCTCATTACCTGTATCCTACTGAACTGATTTCTACTCTGTCCTGCCTGTGGCAGCAGGTGAGGCATGAAGGCAGAGAGAGGTGATAAAGTCAGAGATGTTATTACCCAAGGCCCAGAGGTGTAAGCGTGCTTCTGCACTTCCTCGGTTTGGGCCAATCTCTGCCCATGGCTTGACTCTCTGTCAGGATGAGACTCAAACATGTCTCAGCTCTGCTGCCACACTGCATTCAGGGAAAATGAAACCCAAGCCCAGTGTTTGAAAGGGAGACAAGACTTGTTCTGTCCCAGCCCCTGATCTACATGGCTGAATGACCAGGATCAAAGTCCAGCACAGAGTAAACCTGTCCTGGTGTCACCAAATGAACAGAAGACCTCACACAACAAAGTCTTTAAAGCTGGGCACTCCCTTTTATGGTTTCAGTCTTGCTTTCCCCCCAGCTGTGCTCAGAACTAGCTACAATCCTTACCATTGATTACTGGGATTACTACTCTCCGTAAAGCATCTGACAGAAAATTCTCCACCACTGACTTCTGCTGTGTGGGGAAAAGCACATTTCATGATTATTGCCCGATGCCTATGGGTTTGCAGCTTGACAAGGAAGATGAGTGTTAGAACTGAAGTGACATGCAAAAAGATCAGAACAGAGCTTGGCAGAGAAAATCTCAGGCAAAAAAAAAGACATGTTTTGGTTTAAGTTGAAAAGAGGTGTCCATTTTCTCACAATTAGTTAAATTGAAGGATTTTTTCTTTTCTGTATGTTAAATACCTGGGATGAACCTTAACTTTAGGAATTAAATATGTTCAACCTCATTTCAGCTGGCAGACTCAGTTGTCATATGTGAACTGTTCTCTGGGTGGCAAGAACTGCCTTGTTCTGGTGCTCTGTCTTACACCACTCTGATTAGTCTCTTCCTCCCTTCACCTAAAGGTATTGGTTGGGCTGAGCTGCTGCAGAGTCTCTCTGATTAATTCTCAGTCTACAGTGAAGGATCTAAGTAGTGGCATCATGTTTCTTTTATTCCTTATTTTTTTAGTCCTGTTTTTATGTTATTTGGTTGAAGTAATTTGAGATAATTTATGATACGGAGCTTAAGCCTGACTTTGTATTCACTTCAGCTTTTAAACATACTCAGTCCAGCTGTGACTTCTGCCTGAACCCAGGTAGACTCCATAACATTTTGAGCCTCTGATGAAAAAAACAAAACAACACTCTAAGAGGTATTTCCTCTTACTAGAAAGTAAAAGAAAAACATAGCATATACTATTTCAAAGCAGAAAGAGCAGTGGCAGATGATATCCCCAAGACAGACCAATAATTGTTCAGCAACAAGTTCAGAAGTATTTCTTTTATCTCTGAAGGGCTCAGCTACTTATCCCAGGCACTGAAACCATCAGCTTACCTCAGGGAAACCAAGACTGGAGTGCAGTAGGGAGAACTGGAACCTGAAGAGAAGAAGTAAAAGAAGAGGATTCACTATAAAAGATGAAGGTACAACTTATGCACACTGCTTGGAGATTCATTTGTGGAAATTCATACTGATTTCATGCTGATTCACACATGTAACTTTGCCAAAGACTCTTCAGTTCCCAACAGCTTTTAACTAAAACTGGCACAACTGCAAATGAGTTATAGAATCACTGGGATCTTTCTGGTACTAATCTCCTCTTACAGTCATGTGTAGTTCTGGGCTGTAACTGTAAGACTTGGAAAATCAATTTTTCCTGGAATTGTTATTTCTCCAATGGCTGAACTACACATTCCTCAAATATGCATTGTGATTTGAATTAACTCACATCCTTTCCTAACTTTTTCCACTGATGCCTGTAATGCATCCTCAGATCATTGTAAACATAATCCTGGAGAAAAACAAAGTTTTGAAGAACAGAAGAACACAATCCTGTGTCAAAAGCTCTAAGTGAGTGGCACCATTACTTCTTAAACTTAAACTGACAGGCTCTGATCATTTTAAGTCCTCTTTTTCCATTAAAAAGATCCAGTGACAAATACTAAGAAAAGGCTGCTTATATTTTTCTTTAATGAAATTGTAATAGATTAAAAAATATATTCTGGAATTCAGCTTGGAGTATAGAGCTAACAAGAAGAGACACTGATGTGGGCATGTGGGCTACCTCTCTGAAAGTCTGCACTTCCATCCACCTGGTGCATTTATGGAGAAAGGGGCTGTAAACCCAGCCCAGCTCAAAGTGCTAATAAAATTTTTCTAAGACAGCTGGGAATAATCATAAATGTAGATATACACAAAAGTAGCAAGATCTGAGAGAAATTTAAAAAGCTTTGAGCTTTGATTCAAACTGCAGACCCCTTTCCAGTCTCATTTGTTTGATGGCATGGTGTCTGCTGCTGGAGTGTGTGCTGTGCAGTCTCACTTTTTCCTTCCCCTCATGTGAAGGCACACAGAGAGCTAGTGCAGGGTTTGCACTCCAGCAGTTCTGTTTATGATGCTCAGACTTGGCATGGCAGCAACATTTAGTGAGTTTTAAATAAACTACTCCAACATCAGCACAGACTGAAACAGATGCCTTTATGAATTGAATGTTGTCACCTGGAAAGGTATTTAACCTACAGAAAGGGAAAGTATTACAAGAGACACGGTTATTCCACAATATTATTATATTTCATCTGAAAGATTTAAACCAACCAGTTGAAAGTATCTTAAGAGTTTCTGTGAGAAAGAAGGTAAGAAAGAAAGTTCTTTTTGTCATGGTGAAACAACCACTGTCAGGCCGACACAATGAGTTCTGTTGTGTCCTAATGTTGAGAGCATTGATGTCGCTTTCTAAATTTTTCTTGGTTACCTCTTCAGAAGTAATGAGATAATCAGCTTCTCTTTGGTTATTGTCACATTGGCTCTGGTACTGGCTGTCTGCAGAGAAAAAAACAAAACAGTCTTGTGTGACTGTGTACACAAATAGATACTGTCTCAGAAACAGGCACAAATGTAATTGCTTTTTTGATGGAAACACAATGTCTAAACTTTTTATGTGGCCAATACATGTAGATAGTGAAATAATTTGTGAATTTACTGATTTCTGCCAGCAACTGAGATTGTGTGAGCAAAATGATAACACTGCTCTGATTGGTTCCTTATCATTAGGATCATTTAAGTCCTTGCATGGCTGACCTAACTGGTTCACTTGTAACCTCATGAAAAGATGTCTGGGGACACACTGAATGACTTTATAACAACGAGGTTAGGAAGAATGGGCATCAGAAAATAACATTTTTATATATTACAATTTATTCTTGAATAATCACTCAACTTCCCATATGGAAAAAAGGGCTTTCATAAGTAGCTCTCTGCACCTGCCTATTAAATCCATTAAATTCCACAGTATGTGGTGCATGTTTGCTCCCTCTGAAATGCAACTGAATAGCGTGCGTATTTGTGGCAGACAAATGTGCTATTTTTTGCTGATCTCTATGATTTTCAAAGGACCTGGAAGATTACTGTGTGATTTGTTCAGCCCCAGCACTGAATGTTATCTTCTAGCTCATTTTACTTACTAGGTTCCCTGTAAAGATGTACTGGGTGGTTGAATTTGGCAGAGCAGCAGACACTTCTACAGAGCCAGTAATCTGTAGGACACATCTGTCTGCGTTTAAACTGACTGCAGGCGGTGATGTGGCCATCAGCTTCAGCAGCACTGGGCACGCTGCTGCCTGACTCAGGGACATCTGTGGAGGTTCAAGGAGGGAAAAAACCTTAGAGTGCAGAGTTAAGCTTTTCTTAAGCTACAGTTTCTGTAGCTGCATCATAATCAGGTGTTACATACCGATCCTCTTGTAATCAAGCAATATTAAATATACTTCATTTGAATTACAACAATTGAAATGACAAATTTAGTAGTGCATATACTTTGAGTTTCAGAAATGATAAAACAAATGGTGACATTTTAAACCCACTGATATTAGACATACATAAAGAAGCAATTGTTGTTGTTCCTGAGGTTGTTCCTGAAAAAGGTATTTCAAGAGAAGGAGATTAGTATGATAAGAAATGAGGGAAATGAGTGATTCCAGTAAAAAAATAATCACTTTGGCAATATAAAGTATTTGGAAAAGTGATAGCTTGCAAAAGAGCAAATCTTTTGAAAAGTAGAGAAACTCCTAAAGGACAAAACTTCTGTTTGCAATAACACAGATTCTAAATTTCATCATCTTACAGAAAATGTTACCATATTTTTACAGCAACGCATAGTATCTTGATTTCTTGCATCACATGTATAGACTCATGACTATTATTTCCCACTGTATATAAACTCCAGTAGTCAAAAACCAGGAGTCTTTGCTGAAGTCAGGCTACCAATAGCAGAGATACCATTACCTTGAACAGGAATAAAAGGGGACTGATCTCACAGATGGCTACCACTTATTCTTTATAACTATTTCAAAGACTGAGAGCAAATCCAGAACTTAGAGGGGTAGAGAATAACTAATGTGTAGTATGATACAGTTAGGAAGAGTTGTCATGGGGTGGACATGTATGTTTGAATCTTGCACTAATCATAAACCAGTTTTCTTGTCTCCTCCAAACATTTTCAAATGAGAGCACACAGATAATATCCATAAGGAGCATTAGATACTGCTTTTTCTTAAAAGGCTGTACAAGTAAAAGTACTCACCTCAGAGACAAAATATTTGAGTAGGGAGGTATTTAAGCTGAAGGTAGTAGCAAGCTGTAAACAAATAAAATAAATCAGATCATCATTATATTAGCCTGAAAATTATGTTTTCCTTGGAAAAAAAACCCCAAACAATATATCCTGTTTATTTTAGTTTTAGATAATCCATGCTTTGATTTAGTATTTCCTTGCCCGAGAATGATTCCTAAGGAACCCTCAATGCTCTGTGGGACAAAAGAGAGATAGATTTCTAATGGACTTGATTCAGAAGCACGTACCAGTGAACAACCATTATTCTTTGAAGGAACAGACATGATATCCTACCTTTGAGACTTTCTCAGATGAAATATACTGCATATGTCAGAGGCAAGGACTCAAAAATCTCATCTGCTCCTTTGCTGCTAACCACTGTGATGATGTTTGTTAGTGCCATTCATGTCACCAGCTTCCATAAAGACCCTCTTAGCATTGCTTCAGTTAGCAGAACTTGTTGGAAACTCTGACTACAAATGCCAGTGTGGAAACTGGCATTTCTGAGAGGTCTTGTAAGTCCTTCAACCACAGCTGAAAGCTTAGTTTCTTTGTGCCTGCTTCTTGCCTCATCCTGCTGCTCCATTAAGTCTAAGGATTTATTCTAGCTCTCAACATAGCCAATACATCTGTTGTGGGCCTCTGTGCAGCAGACTGCGGCTTCAGTACACTTTGTCTTGTCTTGCCCTTTCCTGTGTTTAGTCCATGCAGAGAAAAGCTTTTTTTTTCGTTCTTTTTGCTGCTCCCAGCACACCAACTCCATGATGTTCATATCTGTCATTCCTTGCATAAAGCTGCCAAGAAGTTCAGACTTACGTCTGAGGGGGACTTGAACAATTTTAAATTATGACATACAGAATGAATGTCATAAATCCCTCCTACAAGTGGTAGAAGTGTGACCCAAATCTGTGTGAAATGGCAAAGATAACGTGTTAGTCTCCTTTGCTGACCTGACTATCCATACTGCCGATATTTGTAATCCTATTACATGCAAATTATACTCACCTCTTCGGAGATGGTGATGTTAAAGGCCCCTGCTTTGTAGTAAGCCAGTGAAGCAGACTTTAGAAAATAATTGGAGACTCCCAGGTATATCATGGAATCACCCTGGTTTGGGAGAGCAAATGGAGCTGGCACAAAGGGAGGGTCTGTGTGATTACCTACTGGATAGACTGTGCCCTGCAAAAAAAATCATTATCAAGTGTTTTTAGTTGAAACATTTGTATCTGTGAGAATGCTTTAGCACTGGTTGAACAGGAAGAATTCTTCCTAATCTGAAGAAAAACTGGACATTAAAGAAACCATGAACTAAGCAATTAAGTTTGTGCTATGCCCTAAAAATCAGCAAATTCAGGTTCTTCTAAAAAAATTACAGGAATCAAAGAAAATATGGGTGCTGTACTTTCAAAGTTTGCATTTGATCATTCAAGCGAGTATTCTGAACAGCAGTTACAAGACACACAGACACAAAATAATTATCTAGACTGCAGTTTTCTTTCTCTTGTAGCAAAGACACATTTGTTAATTTAATGTTAAGGTTGACATTTCAAGAAAATCTTCAGGCATACCCCAAAAGCACTGGAAGTTGCTTACGACAGGGATACACAAAGGAGCCTTTTATATCACCTAACTTTTAGCCCTGGCCCAGCTGCCAGTCCTCCAAGACTGGTGGTCTTTGGTGCTGCACAGGTAGGGGACCTTGATTCAGGTATGCTAAGAAAATAACTATTAAAATTGAGAGGGTAGGTGAGTTCAGGCCATGTAAGGAAAGTAATACAGATAGCAAATAATGTAATTACTGACACTGTGAAGGTTAATAGCTGGAAGATTCAACAGGAAAAACACTGACACGGGAAGGTATAAAACCCTAAGAAAAAAAGCTGAAAGTTAGAAGATGACAATCAACCTGTTCCAAGGAGCACCAAGACCAGTAACTTCCTTGACTGACTTAGAATGAGTCATCCGGTGTCCCAGTGGGATGTCCACATGTTAAAGCTTAGCCTGTAAATTGTAGATAGCTACAGTAGCTAATTACTTAGTTCTTTTAAGCTATGTATATCCTGCTTGCAAAGAGTTTTTTGTGGGTGGTGAAAGTTGCCTGAACAAAATACTGTGATGAGAGTTTCAACCACAGCTCGGGCAAATCTTTCTTAATTGAAGTCAGTTCTGAGAGCCATTGGGATGCTTTGAATTACAAGGACTGTTGAAAGTGCTGGGAAAGCTGGGTGTTGCTGAGATATCTCTTGCCAACAGAGGTGAAAAACAGATAAGACAGGAACTGCTACGTGCTGCTCAAGGACTGTCTGTGAGGAGTCTTCTTTTTGGGTGTGACCTGTACTTATACAAGATGCTGAGTCATCTCAAAACAAATGCTTTGGACTGCAATCACACTGGTAGCCATCACAGATTATGTATCACTGCTAACAGGAGGAACACCAAGCAGCAATGCAAGAGCTGTGTATCTAAAGAACACTTTTAAGCTGTTTGTAAAGCCCCTTTGAAGGGTTTCAACTCTGAATTAATTTAATTCTAAATAATAGCTTTGGTTAATTAACAAATGCAGTTAATTTATTAACTAAACAATTGCATTTGGTCTCAAAATAACTCCTGACCAAAATCCCCAAATCTCTTACTGCTTTTCTAAGTAAATACTGGAGAGGTTCAGTAAGACTGGAGTGAAAGAAAATTAATCAACTCAAAAGAGAATCAGAAAAGTGTTGGAAAGCACACTGATATTAAAGACAAATTACCTTCAAATCCAAGTTAATGTGTGATTTGAAGACTGCTGGAGAGCTAACTAGGGAATAGTCTACTTGTGCAAAGGCGTCAATCTGGCTTAAGACTAGAAGAATGATGGACAAAACCAAAACAGACATTATTACAAAAACATATCACAAACTGTTATTGCTTAGTTAAAGGCAAAGACATTATAGAAATGATGACTCTGAAGAAGAATAATGGTGGGAGAAGGAAGAAGATGATAAAAAAAGAGACATTGTTATAAGGGAATTGGTAAGACTATTCCCTCTGGAAAAGTCACTGATACCTCCTGGTTTAGGCCTTGTTCCCCTGCTGTTCACAGCTGCAGAATACACCTTGCACAAGTCTCTCCCATGCAGTGAAAGATCTAGGACAGAGTCTTCTTTTTTGTTACGTATTTGCACAAGAGAAATAAACCCTCCTGTATGATAAGTGAAGTACTGGTAAATACTACTAAATACTTTGGAAGATGACATTAGCACATTTTTCTGCTAATTGAAGTTGAAGAAACTGGATGTTTTTTCACAACAATTGAGGGCACTTTATTGTCAATATGATTGAAGGCTTCTTCTGAAAGGCACTCAGATGCAGATTCAGTCTGATTGTTATTATGTTCTGCATAAGAAAATGTTCTTGATGACTATGATTTTCAGTAATACTTGCCACTGCAAGTGGCACATGGCACATGGCAATTACAGGTCATTTTAGGAAAAATAAATGTCTACTTATGCTGCTTCTGAATAGCAGAGCAGATAATAGAAATATCCACAATGAAAAGTGAAGAGTGTGTGTTTGGGAACAAACTCTATGACCTGAATTATATTAGTTACAGGAATCAAGCTAATTTGAATTGAGAAAAACAAAAAATATTTTTAATCTCGGGGGGGGACACACTGACGATAACAATAAAAGAAAACCTGTGGCATTGATTACAGCAGTGAAAATCTTATATTTATATGCCTTTTGAACACAGACTGTATTCATGTCTCTGCAAGAGTGACACAGGAATTGTTACTGGTGGGAAAAGAAACATGCTCAGTGTGACAATGTCTTCCTACACCATCTTGTTACCTCACTGAACACGAGTCTTATGTTCACAGTACAAAGAACACAAAGGATCAAGATGAAAATGCTTATCTTGGAAATCTAAGGAAATAACACAGCTCACCTACAACAGACTGAAAGATTACAGGTGACTTGCTATGGGCACAGAAGAAATCTGAATAGTTTATATAAAGTGCATGCAAGAGATTTCTAGGGTGGAACACGGAAGAGGTTAAGGTACAGAACAATGGCTGTATTTTTATTCCTTCACTTTTTTTGGTGCCATGAACACAGAAATAGTTTGGATTCTAATAAAAAAGGGTACAATTTAAGCGCTATGAAAATTATTTAACAAAAAGCTGTTATCAACAACTCACCCTTATGCTTTCTAAGTGTTGCATCCACCATTTGGATTTTGTGTTTGATATTGAGGCATAGCTATATGAAGAGAGACACAACTCAGTAATGTAAGGCCTGTATTTTAACTCCTCCCTTGACTATCTGAAGCCATCCTTGCAAACTTACATTTTTATCCAATTTGGTGTGAATAGGCTTCTCAAGATAACCAGATAGAAAGCTGTAGATCCAGCTGGAGGAAAGGAAATTAACATAGTGGCTTTTTTACCATGCGTTGAATCTTTGAAAAATAAAATCTGGCAGACAGGGACATCAATGGCATTTATATTAACGAGAAGCAATTACAGCAATATAGCAGGCTGAAAAGTTGAGTATTTTTATTAATTTGAGTCTCAGACAAATGTTAGGGGGTCTTAGTCTCCAAAGGGCTATATAGAAGGCAATCTGTATAGTTGTGGATGTTCATGTTAACATGTTGATAAACAATGCTCAATTAGCCACATTTTGTCTATGAGTAAGAAAAAAACCTCTAGAAAATCAAAATAAGAACTATAAGCATTGTTTCATATTCTCTTTTGAAAGCTTTATTCTCAAATTGTAGGTCAGCTTGTCAAAAGGCTTAATCAGTCTAGACCACTTTTGTATCTGCAAACTCCCATTTGCAATCTTGTACTCTTTCATATGGTCAAATGTCAGTGCTTTCATATTCAGTATGTCCAGTCAGCTCAACTGCAGAAAGAAGTGCAGATTAACCACACTTCACACACTCAGCAAAGGAGTCTGGTTTTGAAAACAGAACATTAAAAATCCACTTTCAGAGCCTTCAATAGTTAATCATATCCTGTAACTGGATCCCTAGAAATCAAATTTTGAAAAGTGTCCCTTATGCTACAAACCCTGCCACTTTCCAAAGAGTAATTAGAAAAATTGCTGTACGTACCTGGATCTTCCACTTAACTTGACTTTTACAGTATCAATGCTCAGCTGGCAATTGTGTAGCAATGTGGACAAGTGGCCTGTGCTATCCCGTGACACTTTGAAGATAATGGAAATAAACAGTCCTGAGATGGACACAGTAATTTCTCCTTTGCCTTTGCTGCTTGGACAAAAAAAGTCAAACTCAGTCAATAAAACATCTGCTGTAAGGGAACAGTTTAAGAAACTGCCTGTAAATCAAGTTTGAAAGAACTGCTTGCTTCTGTTATCTAGAATGAAGAATGGGCTTTCTAGGGATTAAAGTAGATTAGGGACATGCCTGGCATTCAAAAAGAGATTATATGCATATGTTTCCAGGACATGAATTTTCCTGTTGTTCAGTATTTGACAAGTTTATAAAAATGTCACAGTTTCACAGCAGCACAAGACAGTCCAGTCCTTCATGAAAGTCTCTGGAACTGCAACAGCAGAAGCCAGTTAGCTAATAAATATATTATCCAAGTGTTATCAACTTTGTAATTGCTCCACTTTCCTCTTTCCTGTAACAATTGTCAGTAACTCTTTTAAATGTATATATTTTTTTATCCTGCCCCAAACCAATTTATTCTCCTTTCTGTAAAAATCCTCTAAGACCCTCAACAAAAATATCTTTCTACCTAAATTCCAACAAATTTAGCTATTAGGCCTATGGTTAGTAGTTGTAGAAGCTCTAGACCAGCCAAGGAGGATAGAAAGTGAAATGAATGTTAGAATAACCTTATAAAAACCTCATTTATTGTAACAGAACTGACACTAAACACATAACTTTTCACCCTTTCATCTTGACTACTTGGGTTTTCTTTTCCAGACATTTCATTTCTACAGTGGTGGCACCATACTACAGAGAAAGAGCCGTGTCCAGTGTGAAGCTCAAACCATGAGTCTCTCCTCTTTCCTCCTAATTTGTTTTAGTCAAAGCAAAATATCCCTGGAAAAAGTTGTAATCCCAAAAGATAAATTTTTACCCGAACCATAGACTGCCCTGGCCCAAACTAATGTCTAGTATTGCCAGTCACAAAATCCATCCTACCACCATTGCCATTTTAAAACTCCTGTTTCAGGTCATATATGTTCATTAAGTGGCTATGTAGAGGAAGCACCACTCTTCAGATCCTCATTTTCCAGTCCCTAACCAAGCCACCATCCGAGAAGCCATTAGGAAAAACATTTTCCCAAGGAGGGTTGTGAGTACTGGCACAAGTTACTTGGAAAGATTGTTGTGTCATCATCCTTGTCTAAAAAACATCTCTAATGAGCTGACCTGATCTAGTCTGGTGACTGCTGTTTTGAGTAGGAGGCTGGGCAAAACTGCTTCTAGAGATCCTTCCAACCTAGATTTACTCATCCTTCAGTGACAGGGACCATTGCAAAAGGATCTCAGCCCTCCTCCCCTTTTGGGCTACATGAGAGGTGGGGACCAACCCAGCTACCTAGGTCTTTTGTTCCTGCATCCTTATATGTGCTCCTCTTCAGAAGGAATCCTGATTCCTTGAGGTAGGGTCACAGCTCTAGGCCTTCAGGAGCAATGAACCTGCCAGGAGGTTTTATGACTGGCAGAGAGCTCTGGGACATACTGGAGAGAAGGACTACAGTAAGAGCTGGAAATGCACTAGAGCTGAAATGAATCACACTTTTACAATTAAAAAGCTGTGATAAGACCCATCTTACTGATCCTGGAAGCAGCCCAGGAGTGGTGGTTTGTCAATGGTCTCACTTGGAAAGTTCATTTTCAGCTGGCCCCTCTTAGTCTGCTATTCTGAAAGCAACATGTAGGACTAGAAAATGGAGCAGATGAAGACGTAGGGCATATTCTAGATCTGTCTAAACCTACAGTCATTCACAAAATATCACATTGAACAAAGCAGCACAGATTAGTCCTTCAAAAAGGCAAGAAAACCCCTTCACACGCTAAACTCCACCAAAGCCAGCTTTGACCACCTCCACCACAATGTGTTCTGTCAAATCATGCATAACAGCTCCCTGACTCCCTTGCTGTCTGTGAAGTCTTCGGTGTTTAATACATCTGCAGTGTCTCCAGATTATGCCCAGGTCCTTATCCTCAGCAAGAGCAAGAGGTGGCTTCAGTGTTTAGGAACAGCTGATTTGCCCTGATGAACACAGTCTCCTTTTCCTCACAATAAGCGGTATGCCAGAATTAAAAACAGAGAGGCTGGGAGCACAGTGACAGCAGTTTACAGCCACCAGTCTCACTGATACTGAATGCAGAACTGCATGTCCATGCTCCTCTGAAATCAGGACATGCTGTGAAACTTCGCAGCCTAATGATCCATCTTGCTGTGCTATCTGGCTCACAATACAGCAACACCTACTGCTGTTACCAGTTGCTCTATGAACCCAAATCGTAGAGATTAGCACCTTGCAAACTTTCTGATATACCAGAAGTTTTAGCCCTCCCACACTCCCAAGAAATGCAAGACTATTGTATTAAAATTCTGTGGGAAAAATGCTGAGATAAGAAAAAGTGGAAAACCCAGTATGCAATCATGTCATTAAAGACAATCTCATACTACACAGGCTTATGAAGATAAGTCAGTTTTCCATAGTGACCTAAATTTTGGACTTTCTGAAGTTCTGAATGTTTGGCATTGTGACAATCCCCTTCTTTTAATAGGAGCTCTTTGGAAGGCAATATACACTGTACCAGCACATGGATAAGTAGCTATAGAGTCAACCTTCTAGATACACTGTACAAAGAAAGTAACAAATGTTGGCCATTGCAAACTCTGTGGTCCTGACTATTCATGTAATATCATGTCTGCACAAATTGAGCATGCTAACAGATCTGATCCTTTCCAAAGAGGAAACCTGTGGGGTTGAATAATTAAAAAACAAACAAACAAACAAACAAACCACCAACATTAGTTGTCACAGGATTTTTCCTTCTTAAAAAGTTTATTCAAATAGAATGTTCTTAAACTGCTGTTAAGTGATACAGCATGTCTGACCTGAAAAATAATTACCCCGTATATGTCCCAGAACGGCCCCCTCCCACCTGCAATTCCCTGTCCAATACTTACAGCAGCCATGCGTTCATTCTCCAGTCTGCACTGATTGTAGCAGAAGCCCGTGACACTGACAGGCAAATGCCAGTGCCAGGAATAAAAGAAGCAGAAGTTTCTGGGAAATCTACAGCATTAATTCTAAGCCTACAGAATACAGAAATGGGGATTATTAGACTGCAGGCCAAAAGAGTAAGAAGGACTCCTGATCACTGAAAACCCTTCCACTATAAAAGGCAAAGTCTATGTTACAGTAAAAGAATTTCTCAGAAATGACCGACCCTTCTATATTTTTAGGAAAGAAAGACACTTGTACCATTATACTTCACAGCATCCTTGGAAAAAGAATCCTTGATACCTGACCAGGCATTCTGTTGTGGTTTTTTCCTCCCCAAACAAAAACCACTCCTTGGGAGAAAAAAAAACCTCCTTAAAGTACAATCCCCTTGCTGGGAAAAAAAAAATCTGTGTTTAATCCCACATGCCACATCTATAAATAAATCCAGGTTGTCTGAATTCTGCATTTGCTGAAGAGTATCAAAGTTTTTGTTTTTACATTCTGCTTCACATTCTTGCCTAAGCAAAGGGTTCTGGAGAGCATCCATTTTTCTAAACAAAATCTTACTTGAATATTTCCCTCCCAAAACAAATGTTTCTGATAATCAAGGATATTATCTTGCAAATGGATGTGTTGAATTGAGCTGAACATTGTAAAGATATCAGCTGTAATCTTATCATGTATTATACATTCCTCATTGTTTCTTGATATCTGGCAGAGATCTCTGAAACAATTGTCTTTAATCTGCTTTCCCTGGGGCAGAAGGCACCAACTACCCTTACTTAAAATGACCATAATTTTCCAATAACATCTTGGGCAGTAATTCGGCCTTTAGTTGTCTTGTTTGCAGTGAGCTAAAATCAGATTATCCACTGGGATATCGGCCAATTTCAAGAACTATGGTTGGGGGAATGAATTTAGGTTTTGAAGATCATATAATAATTTAGGTTGGAATGGGACCTCAGGAGATTTTTCTGGTTCAACCTCCTACTCAAAGCTGGGACAAATCAGGGCCTTGGCCCACCTGAGTCTTGAACAAGTCCAAGGATGCAGATTCCCCAGCCTTTTCAGCCTTTGTTCTGGTGCTCCCTAGCATTTTTTCCTACCTTCTCTACTTTTCTTGATGTAGCATGTCTTTCTGCCCACCACCCTTTCACTGTGTGCCCCCAGGAGAATCTGGCTCCATATTCTCTATAATCAACACCCAGCAGACAGTGGAAGACATGCAGTAAGACACAGGCACCTCCACCCCCACAGTCTCCTCTTCTCCAGCCTTTCTGAACACAACTCTCTCAGACGTGCAGGGATTAAGGCACAAGGACAGCATAGCAAGGATGGTATAACAATCACCAGAGAGCAGGATATTAGGAAAGGGATGCAGGCCCTATCCAGCAGAAAGTACATGAAGTTTCTCAGAGTGGTATTTCTCCCTCTGGGTAACTTGCAAAGAAGTAAAATGCTACTGAACAGCACATTGGAAGGTGGGATTGAAGGCTGTAGAAAAACCTGGTTTCATATTAGTCTCCATATTTGGAGAACTTGTAGGAAACTCTATAAAACTATTTCTTTACTGGCTGCTCCTGGTACAAAGATTTTCCTTTGCAGTTAGTAGGTGTCGAGTACTATCCAGTCAAAATGGTGATTTACCATTGTAAATTCATCCAAAAAGCTTCAGCAGAAGTCATCTTCACAGAATCACAGAATCACAGAATCACAGAATGGGTCAGGTTGGAAGGAACCACAGTGGGTCATCTGGTCCAACCTCCCTGCTCAAGCAGGGTCATCCTTAGAGCACATTGCACAGGATTGCATTCAGACAGTTCTGGAATATCTCCAGTGAGGGAGACTCCACAACTTCTCTGGGCAATCTGTTCCAGTGTGCGGTCACCTGCCACATAAGCCCAGATACACCAAAAGCTCGTTTCAGAGTGTAGTAGAACAAGTACTTTTAGAACAAGTCAGTGTTTGGGCAGTGGAAGCAGAATTAGATAAACCATTAGAATTGTATGCTGAACAAAACAGTGGCTACATAATTATTACTATGTGGTAATAATAAACTGCTTAATCCTAAAACTTTGAAAACTATTTCCTTTACTTACCTGGAAATGACATAGTTGACCTTAACAACTGACAAACTCTCCTGCCCACTCCAGCTTGGGAAGGTCTCTTTCAATACTGCTTGCTTCACGAGCTCCATCCCAATCCTCCTGCCTACAAGGGGACATAGGAAAACACATGCCTTGCAGATTGGATTCTGGCACCCAAAGGTCCAGATATACTGCCAAATAATTTAATCATCACTTCTAACACAGTTCTTGAAACACTTTGATTCTATGATCCTTATCTAGATCTCCTTCCAACTACGTATATATATGCATTTACAACTTCTCTTAGCCTCACATACAAACCATTCAACCCAAGATCAAAAATATCTGTTAGGATCATCTTGTCCCTGAGTTGTATTTCACCTTCTAGAACTCCTGTCAGATTTCTGAAACTGTTATATTTCCTTCACTTCACTCACAGTGTGGATAGCCTTGGAAAATTCTTGGTCATCACCTTTACCTCAGATTGTCTCATACCTGTTGGATGAAAAAGCTGGTTATAAAGTAGCAAGGTTACTTCTATATGTAGTGTTTACTTATGGAAAAAGCGTGATATATGCATCTGAAATGCTGGTATGTCAAATGCAGAACTATCTGGATTGTTGCTTGTGTACAGGAAGTTGTTTGAGGTTGAAAGACAATAATTTTAAATGTTTTCTTCCTATTTCTTTCACAGTACATGTATTTTGCCCCTGCACCTTAACCAAAGCCTGTAACAGATCTCTGACTTATTTCCTTACCTTCTTCCCTTGCTTAAAGGAACCCATACTTTCTAAAATGTTTCAATGCTACTTGTGCAATGATAAGATGCACAGACCCTATTATGACCAAACAGAGCAACTTTAAATTCCAGATTCCTTGTGTCTTCCTTTTTTTTTTTCTCATCTTTGATTAAGACAAAACTGAAATTTTAATACTGAATGATATCCTGCTTTCAGATGTTTTTACCATGAATTTCTTTAGCTTTTGGCCTCACAATTGCTGACTAGAAAATATCTTGATTTTTTTCTCCACTAGGCTCCATAGCATTAAAAAAGCAAAGAACTGAAATTTGTGATAACTTGACACTGGAATACCTTTTCATAAAATGCATCTTTTATGAAGAAGTAAGTTATGATTCCCTGGGAATTCCTGTCTCCAAAGCAAAATATGGGCTCTCACTGAAATAACTTAAAGCTCTCTTAGAACTGTCAGTGAAGTCAGCCAGTGATCCCAGGTGGAATTCCTCTCAAGGTTCTTGCAGCAGGCAAGAAGCACGCAGGCAGGATCTATGGCCTCAGCCTTCAAATCTCGCATTAAGGGAGAGGACATGTCAGGCACCAAGCTCTTCAAATATGAGAAATACCTCTGGGAGGAGCTCTGCTAATGCCTGTTCTTACTACTAATGCAGGGGTGTGCCAACTTAGTCTGTTCATTCAGTGCTTGGGAGCCATCCTAATCCTCACAAAAACTGCTGGGCTCACACTGAGAAACATCAGGCTGAATTCTCATTTCTAAAGGCATGAGAGATCCCTAGGAAGCAAGGGAGGTCAGTACTGGTTTGGGTGACTGATGTTTGCCCTGCACTTTTCAACTTCTCAAAAGCCTTTAAAACAATGTTCATACAATAAAATAAGTGGACCTGATCCTCACTTTCATCTTGAAGATATAAACCCCGAGCTTATACTTTTCATCTCACAAGTCCATTGTTTACCTGTCAGCATGTTCAGTACATAAATAATGATTAATCCTTAGCATGACCCAGCCTTTGTTGAATTTGCACCTTGCTAACCTTTATTATTAGTATTAATTCTGCAAACAATTGAAATTTTACCACATGCTCTCCACACTCATGGAGTAAGTCTTAGGTAAGAGACAGTGAAAGTTAGCGTGAATAGAAAGACAAAGGAAAATATATTGTGGAAAATGCCAATATTCTGCTTCAGGGACAGAATTACGGTGGTCACTAGATTTTTTTTGGAAGAATGGCACATGCAGGTGCTATGCCATGCCAAATGGAGGAATGAGAGTAGAGGTGGCCATGTGGCTGTTCCAAGATTGTAAGCTTTTTGTCCCAATTGTGTCTTACTATCTTCAATTAAATATTGCCCTTTTAGTTTTGACATTTTTTTAAAAAGGAGCACTTATATGGCTGTCTAATTATGGTTCTTAAAAAGTATATCAATATGAAGAATGTAGTAGAAAGACAGTTGGACTGTAGGAGAATGCAGTCACTAATAAAAGATAAATTCACACCTGGGATACACAAAAAAAAAAAAAAGGAAATAAGTGAGAGAAGAGACAAAGAGTATTCCCGGTGTGAGGTGACAAAAGGAATTTACTTCAATATCTAAGAAGCTAGTTCCTACACTGAACCTTTATTAAGAAACTATATTCTGTATATAGAGTATTTATGATAAATTAACTTCTGGCAATGTTAGACATACCATAGTCCAGACCCTTCTGAGTAATCCTCACTTTAAGACCAGGATTAGCCTCAAGCCGCAAGGACAGCCAACAGAGCAGGAAAAAATACCACATCTTTAGCATCTTCTCACCTTTGTCACAGGGATCTGTGAACAACATTTATGATACAAATATTTTCATAAATGATGCATACCATGAATTGCAAAAAATCTGTATCCATGACTTCCCTCAGTGAAACTGGGACAAGGGTGGATAGGCAAGTGAGGTTTAGCCTATGATCTTATTGCACGGAGCAGTCAGTGTGGGAGCAGGCACAGATTTCTGAGTCCTTGGATATCACTTTGGCAGGTATTAGCTGTTGGTGAGACTGAATGGTTCTGCTCCACTACTCTACCCTTTCCCCACACCATTGTCTTCGTTGTTTAATGTCTGTTCTCCTGCAGAATGAACATTACACAGGAATAGAGGAAGGTGTCCTAGCACGAGCCTGGAGCAGTGCAAAGCGAGACTGTGAGCCATTGAGTGCTGGGATGTAACCACACAATGCAGATTCACAAAAGCTGAGAAAAATTGTGTCTTTCTGTGACACATTCCAGTACAAAAGTACAGGTTTTTTGTTCAAAATTCTTGCATTCATCCCGATATTCCTACCAATGACAGCCACTGCTCAATATCCTAGAAATAACAATACTGTTTCTCAAAGACCACGTCAAGTCTTCTCAGTGCTGCATTACAAAAGTGTTTATTAGGGACCTACAGGAACTCTACTCTGGCCTTACCATGGAGGGGAGTGGCACATCCTTTTCTGGATGTGCATGTCTTATTGGGATCATGGTACCTGCCTACATACAAAACCATATGAATTCATAAGTAGCAAAAGGTCTTGCTAGTTTCCCAGGTATTGCAGCCTATAGAGTCATTCCTGGATTTCTAATAAGTATTATGTTGTCTTGGACAATCTATTCCATAATCTGCCAGAACACATGTAAATTAAATTAAAACAAATAAAACCCCTCTCCTCCCCCAAAAAACTCAGACCCTATCACCCTTTGGTAGTCTTACTTCTTGGTGTTGTAATTAATATTATCAGGTCAGACTCTAAATGGTTGAAAATCTGTGTTCTGCTCAGTAACTCATTAAAAACTGCTCTTTGGTGGTTTCTACACTGTAAGATTGAAAAAATGTATTTTCAATATTGCCCTGATATGGGTTCTCTGAGGAATCCTTACAAAGTTATACCAAGATACTATGTAAGAAAAAGTGTTTTCAGGGAAAAAACATTCTGAAAACATAATCCACACTGAGACAAATTTTGAAAAAGCACCCTTTCATTGGTCATTCCATCTCTAGTTCTTATGCCTTTTTGGTTTTGTCTATTTTAAGCAACTCAAAATAAGCACTTTAAGGTAGCAATATAATATCATGTACAACAGCCTGCTGAAGTCACAAAACTTAAACTCTTTCCAAAAACTGTCATAGCTTTTCCTGCAAACATGCCACCTTCAATCCTGATTAAATAGGATCAATTAAAAATCAGTGTAAAACCAGAAAGATGGATTTTTCTATCATTAAAGTACATAGGTATTTCCTAGATATTTATCCAGCAGGATTGCTAGAAGCATTGATGCAGATGAGGTACGTCACTCCCATTGCATTTCATTCACACTGAGGAACAGAAAATAGCAATCTTGGTCACTACTGTGCTTTGTACTTGTACTTTGATATGTTCTTGTTTGGATCTTAAATGGATGTTGAGTGAGATGCTGAAAGAACAAACAACGGAACTGCCATGGGAATAAAAGGCAGTACCATTTCATATTGCTTACTCACACCAACAAGCTTTATTTTTGCACTCCAAGGCTGATATTCTTGGCTTCATCCAAGCCACGAGCCTCTCTCCGATTCCAGGATCAATTGTACAGGGTCAGTCAGATGACTGAGGCAGACAGAGCTGAGAAGAAGGAACTTGTCAGCTGCCTGATAGACTAAATGAGAGCTGCCAATTGCATTGCCAAGGACAATAGATGTCAGACAAATTGCCCTGACATTTATCTTCAGTAACTGAGCAGGCATGGACCAATTTCTGTATGTAAATAATTATCTTAATTCTTTTGTTTTCTCAGAGATAGCGTATTCAAGTACTTGAAGCAGAGAAAACAGATGAAGTCCTTTGTTACAGTTTGTGTACCTGTCTCACCCTAATGAAGTACTCTGCCTACCCATCTGTAGATACATCTAGTTACTCCTTTGTGAACAGTCTATAAAAACTTTAAATAAAACTTGCAATAAAGATTACAGCTGAAATCCACCTAGGAACTTAAGCAAGCTCCTGAAGTAAAAAAAAAAACACAAAAAACCAAACCAGAAACCCCAAAACCACACAAACAAAAAATCCCACTATAGTTGTCTTGTAGAGGTTTAACACAGCCATAAAAACACACTATCTTAAACTGACCATCCTCTGAAATACAATAGAGTATCTTTAAAACAGAATTTTGTTCTTATCTTGCCTTGGTCTTGCACAAAACTCTCTAATCTGTAGCCCACAGAAGAATTTTTTTCCCTTTGAAAAATTTGGTAACCCTGGTAGTTAACAAACCCAAGACAAACAATAGCAAATATAGTGTCTACCCAACCTGAAGTCCAGAAAGAGCACTTTAGTTTCCAAAATATCTCTGCTGTCATCACAGAACTGGGACTCGATTTTTCAGTTTCTCCCTTGTTCCATTGTCTCTAGTTACTCTGCAGCATGTTCAAGAACAGGTAGGGTTTCTGCAGCTCACTCAACAATGTCACAGCAAGAAGGACTCAATAGCCTCAGGATTTTAACCCTTCCCACACACTGATATTCCATATGGAAAATTACCTCTTGAGGGAAAAGGAATACAAAGTTAATATGGTTGATAGGAGAGATATATTGGAAGGAATGCTTAAAGAAAACAGCATTGACACAGACAGGAGTTTGCTAAATGACATAAAAGCAGATGATGTCTCTGCACAGCTACTGGAAATATCCCCAGAATGAGAAAAACTCCAGTAAGTTCCTGTTCATGGTAACCTCCTTTCAGTGTGGAAAGCAATGCTATCCACTGCCCAGCTCATGAGACAGCCCATAATGTAGCTCAATGAACTCTTCCAACAGAATCCACAGGGGACAATGGCCACCCCTGCCCCCACAGGTTGTATCTGTGAGTTTGTCTGGGACACCCCCTGATTTTTCAGAGGCTTTGCAAAAGCTTTGTGTTACCACAGCTTTTCCTGAGCATGGCTTGACTACTGATGCCCTTCATAAAGGCTTTCAAAACCTTGGAGCAGGATTGCCAGAGAACTATTAATCTGTGTCAGGCTGCAAAATAAATAGCATAGCTGCAATGCCTACACAGAGTCCATTAACAATGGATAACAATGTTGGGAGGCAGTTGTCTGATGAGCTGATGGAAAAAACCATAGTCACTGTTTGGATCCATTGAGTTAATTTTGCTGACCTCTGTAACTGCCCTATCCTTGCACCTGAGCCAGGACTACAAGGTTCATTTTTACCAAAGTCCACTTAGTGAAACAAAAATCAGTGTCCTTGTTCTAGCGCTGCCCTCACAGCTAAGAACTGTAAGGATGCACTTAAGCTGGTTCCCAAGAGACAGTAGAAGAGTAGGATATATTGAGACCTTGAGCAGAAATGCAGCAGGCATTATTTGTCTGGAATCTGAATTGCCCAGATTCAGACCCGAGTCCATCATTTGCATAGTTATGTTCTAAACTCCCTTCTCTCCCAGTCGTTTGGCTCACTCTTAGAGTCTTGTCCAACCATTCTGTTACTTTCATGGAGCTGACAATAGCATGAGGAACTCTCTCAGCCTCGGCAGCCACCACCCTGGTTTCACACAAATTGCAGTCCTTTGAGATTCCTAGAAGGTGGATGCAGTAACCTCCTTAGGAAAAACCTGAGCTGCTTTTTACTACCCAGAGAAATGTGATTTTGGTCTGCTAGTGCAGAGATATCAAACTCTGATCTTGGAGTGCACACAACTCCAGCAATTCAATACTGTAAATATGTAAATCTAAGAAAATGCAGTTGTAGCTAAAAAGATCTGAAGCAATCTGGCGAACTCCAGAAAACCCACTGAAAGGTCCTTTGCTCCCTGTGATCAAGATTTGAATCAAAAACAGAGCAGTTAAGAGCTACATGAGCAAACTCCAGACGCTGCTTAAGGGTCATCTGTATTCAACCAAGCTGAGATGGTGTAAAGCAGAGTTCCTCTAAATGTATTGGCTATAGGGCATCAACACAAGGGGCTTTAAAATACCTTTTAGGAGCAAAGCTGACCACTAGCAAGCTGCAAGAAGTTAGGAGGTTCTCTCCACTAGCTTTGATTTGACCCTCCTCCTCCACTGGCACCCTTAAAATGCCACTTCAGACTTTCACAGATCTCCTGATGATACTCCAGCCTTCATACCCTTCTTCTCATTCCCCCCTCTTTCACAGGTTTAACATATACACACATACATATTTACTTATATGTATTATACAATACATGCTTTGTAGTGGCAAATACATAAAGAAAATAATGGAAAAGGTCCACAGCTTTATTACCACATTCATCTTTCAGGAAAAAAAAGATTTCCATGATGTATATAACTGAACCAGAGAGACCTTTACTCTTTTTAGTTCTCCTCTGCCACAGGACTAGGTCAACAAGACTACAGCTTTAAGTTTCAGTGTTCTCAAGAGAATCCACTAGGGCTATCAGTAGGATTTTACTGCTTTGGTGGAACGGGTTCTATTGCTTGTGTTTCACACTGACCATGTAGGAAAGAAAAATTCTCAATAAAATACTTTGAGTAGAGAAAACACAATGTCTTTAACAACCATTCTAAGCTACTGACGAAGAGCTTTCTTTTGTCACGATACTGTGTATTATCTTAAGGAATTACTTAAAAATCATTCACAAATTCTGATAAGAGTGAACTATGCTGAAAGTCAAAATTCTTCTCTACACAACCATTTTTTCAAAGTTTTAAGCACACAGGTTTCCTGTACTATTTTGCATGTGCCCTTCTCAGCCTGAGGGCAATGTCATATATGGCCATTGAAAGTCTTCTGTCTGTTGACTGAGACAAAATGAAAATGGTGGAGAAAAACTGTAACTCATCAAATAATAGCCCTTTCTTCTAGAATGATGTGTGAGGGAAAAAAATAATGATGGCATTGAGTCATTTGAAATTTTCCAGACTTGAAAGCTGAGGAAAACGTTTTAGCCTTTTGTCTTAATTGTCTCCTAGGTTTTCCTGTTTAAGAGTGCTGTGTGCAAAACATGTCTAAACCTTACATTATGGCATGACTCATAAAATTCAAAGGAAAAATTCACAGAATGGCAGCTGAAATGCTCACTTGTAACTCGTGTAGTGGTTACCTAACAATGACTGTAGTCAGCCACTGAGAAACGGAACCATTTTATGCCACACAATCACTTGAGCTTGTGCAAGTTACTGAAACGGTGGTTCTGCTGGCAGCATCACAACTGTAGCCAGGGACATTTCCCGAAGAGGGGAAGCCTCCTCCACCCTTCCAAAAGAGCATAGACTAAAATGCCCTGGAGCCAGTGGGATAACAGGAGGTGACTGGGACAGGGATAACTCTGAAGAATGAAACACAGCAGAACATTTATGGCCAATGGAAAGTGGTTGAGGCAGGAGCATGACTCACTTTGGATTCAACCCTCTTCAAGAGAGGGCAAAGCAGCGTTTCTGACAGGCATGATCCTTTCTACTCTTCTTGACAATTTCATTCTCATCCCCCTCTGCTCCATCAACCCCCTTTTCTGGATTTATCCAGGATGTGACCCCATTTGATGACAACTGACGAAGCACTCCTCCAAAAATGGGGGTGGCAAAGGGTGCAGGTTCTCAGGAAATTACTTGTTTTAATGTTTGGTACTGAGGGCCTGATAAGTTACACCGAGCTGATTGCAATGAGCATCAGCTCTTCCATTGCTCAGTGAGTGGTGTTCCACCTCAGTAGACTCCTTGCCTTTCCTTTCATCACCTTTCCACTGAGGAATTTATTGACATGTTGAAAAAAAGATGATGGCTGCCCTTCAGAATCATAGAATCAGCCAGGTTGGAAAGGACCTCTGAGATCCTCAAGTCCAACCCTTGATCCACTACCACCGCAGTTAATAGACTATGGCACTAAGTGCCACATCCAGTCTCTTCTTAAATTCTTCAGGGATGGAGAATCCACCACTTCCCTGGGCAGCCCATTCCAATGCCATTCTTTAGTTTGAGATGTATCTGACAGTGAACTCTAAAATGAAAATTTAGCAACCACATTTTCCTGGGTTGGATGATCGCATTCAGACGGCGTAAAGGAGATTTCACCTGTAGCCTAAAAAAGAATTTTTGATGTTTCAGTGTCCTTTTTCTCACTGGCTCCCTAAGTGCTGAAAGGACACAGGTAGGGTTAAGCAATGTGAACAGGGCCCTAATAAGCAGTTGTATTTTGTGATAGTTGTGCAACCTAGGTCTTTGGGTTTCTCTTATTATTTTAGTATAGTACTTCTAGAAAGTATCCAGATTTCCTGCACCTCAGATTTCTTGTATTATTCTTTGTATGGAGACATGTAAGTAAATTTTATCATTAGAAAGAAAGCCAAGATGATCTGAGAATATGCATTTTTCCAAGTAACCTCTGAATTCGCTGCTTTTTGAAATTCAGCGTGAATTTAAGTGAAAACTTATATTATACCTTTTACATTATTCCACCAATCAACACAAGACTTAGTAGTAAGTACTAGTACTACTACTAGTACTCCAGTAGTAGAGTGTTTATTTCCAGATAGAGCTGAGAGTACTTTTCGTAGAGATGCAAGATGCATGGAGGGGCTTTTTTCCCAAGTTTGACAGGTGACCTAAAGCCAGTAAACTTTCTGTTTGTACCACTTAATACCTCTGGTGAGATTTTGTGACCAAAGCTGTTGTAGCACCCCTTCTGAGATAACAATTCAGTAGTCTGGTCTAGAAAAGTCAGGTTCCCTTAAAAGACTAAACACTCTCGGGGAGCATCCTCCTTCAGCCCTTCCCCTTGTGCAGTTCCACGAGCCTCACCAATGGCTTGACACGCAGCCAGTCCAGGTTTTCACTGGCCTTTTTGGCTTCAGAACAATTTAGAAAGGATATTGAGGTGCTGGAGCACATCCAAAGGGCAACGAGGTTGGTGATGGGACTGGAAGGCAAGTCCCATGAGGAGCAGCTGCGGGAGCTGGGGCTGTTTAGCCTGGAGAGGAGGAGGCTCAGGGGAGACCTCATCACTCTCTACAACTACCTGAGGGGAGGTTGTTGCCAGGTGGGGGTTGGTCTCTTCTCCCAGGCAATTAGCAGTAGGACAAGAGGGCACTGGCTTAAGCTGTGCCAGGGGAGGTTTAGGTTGGATATTAGGAAGAAGTTCTACTCAGAAAGAGTGACTGGACATTGGAATGGGCTGCCTAGGGAGGTGGTGGAGCCACTGTCCATGGAGGTGTTTAAGAAGAGACTGGACATGGCACTTAATACCATGGTCTAGCACACAAGGTGGTGGTCAGGGGTTTCCAACCTAGTTGATTCTGTAACACCACCTGACCCGGTGTTACACTGAGGAGGACGAGGGCAGCCGGGGCGCAGGGACCACTCCCAGCAGAGGCTCATCCCCCCGCCGGGCAGGGGCGGAGCCGGACGGAGCCGTACGGAGCGGTGCCGAGGGGCAGCGCCGGGACTGCACCGGCAGCGATGGCGGCTCCGCCCACACCGCCTGAGGGGGCGCGCGCGCAGCCGAACGCCCAACCGTCGATCGCGGCCGGGCGGGGCCGCCGCCGCCGCGCAGGTCAGAGCGCGGCACGCCGAGGTAGCGATCGGGGGCGGGGCCGGGGCCGGGCTGAGGCGGCGCCGCGACAACCAAAACAACGGCGCGGCCCGGCCCGGCAGCCCTTGCGCCCGCGCCCCGCCGCCACCACTGCCGCCACTGCCGCCGCCGCTCGGCGGGGCCCGCTCGGGGCGCGAGGGGGGAGCGGAGCCCCCCCCATCCCCCGGTGGTGCGGCCGCCGCGATGAAGCTCCGCGTGCGGCTGCAGAAGCGAACGGCGGCCCTGGAGCTGCCGGGGGCGGGGCCAACGCTGGGGGAGCTGCGCGCGCAGCTGCGCGCTGCCCTGCTGCCCGCCTGGGGGTACAGGTACCGTGCGGGCCAAACCATTGGGGGGGCTGGGGGGGGGCGGCGGGGCCGTACCACGCGGGGCGGGGGGCGAGGGTATGTCTGCCCCTGATGCCCCCCGGGCGCAGTGCTGCCCCCTGCCGGGCGGGCGCGGCCGTGCCGGGGAGCGCGTCCCGGGGGATCAAAGCCTTCCCGGTCCGAGGGATGAAAGCCTTGCCGGTTCGAGGGATTAAAGCCTTCCCAGTCTGAGGGATCAAAGCCTTCCCGGTCTGAGGGATTTTCTCCGCGCACGGGGACGGGCTGCCCCGGCTCCGGCAGCGCCTGGGACGCGTGCTGCTTCGCGGCGGGTCGCTGCGGAACGGGAGAGCAAAACTTCGGGGGTGCTCGGCTGCGAAATGCCGATCCACGGCTGAGTCAGAGCTGACTCGGATTCGTGCGTGGCCCTTATGTTACACAGGGGGTGCAGGGTGTCAGTGTTACAGTTCCCTCAGGCTTGCTGGAGAGGCCCTGGGTTTTAATTTCCTAAACGTTCTGTGTGTGAAGAACTCACGGCGTCTTCTGTAGGAAAGTGAAGTCTGCAGAACCAATTTAAGAATCGCCTACAAAAGGTTTTTTTTCTGGCGGTGGCTGAAGGGTTTGTACCGCAAACCTCTAATTAGGTCCGATGTACTGGTGTTTCACTGGTGATTCACGTGTGTCGTGGGCAGGAGGAATCTGAAGTTGCTGCTTGTCTTGCTACAGTGGGTGTGTGTTTTATAGCTGAAGCTGCTTCCCTGCTAACCAGTTTCGTTTCTATTTTTTTTTTCATACGTGTGTGCCCTGAAGCATCTTTTCTTATTACCCTAATTTGTGACTACCATCCTGTAGTTCAGCTGCTGATCTTTGAAAGTAATGTTTTGCTTCATGAGGAAGCAAGATGGTGGAGTCTTCAATGCTATTTATTTTTGAATAATCTCAGCCACTAGTTCATTTAAATCTTGTTTCACTGGGTGTAATATCTTCGAATTTGAAGGGCACTTGTTTGCTTTTGTTTGTAACTTTTTAATGAGAAATTTCTGTAAATGAAGTTTTATCTACCAAGCAGCTTTGGCCACTTAAAATGTACCTGGAGAGAAACATGGGGGAAATAATTTCACACGTGTTTTTCATCCTCACTCCTTCTCTAATATATAGCTCATTATTAATGGATTAAACCCCATGGCATGGTACTGTTGTAATACGGAATATGCATTTCTAATTATAGAATCATGGAGTCATTAAGGTTGGAAAAGACCTCCAGGAGCACCAAGTCCAACCTTTGTCTGATCACCACCATGTCAACTGAACCACAGCACTAAGTGGCACATCCAGTCATATACCTCTGTGTGCAGCCAACAGTGTTTCCTTACTTTTTTTTTTTTTAAATTTATTTATTTTTCAGTTCTGATACCAAGTTTGCAATAACACTGAACAGAAAAGATGCTCTCACAGAGGATCAGAAGACCTTAGCTTCGTACGGGATTGTTTCTGGTGATTTGATATGCTTGCTACTAGAAGAAGCAGATGGACAACCCAGCCTACCTCCTCCTCCTTCAACTCCTACTCCTCCTCCTCCTCCCCCACTTCAGAATGGTCGTGAACCGTCCACCTTGACCCCCAGCAACAGTGAGGCAAACAGTCCAAAAGAAGATGGGCAGAATGAGCAATCTGACAACCAGAAAGCTCAGCTGGAAGTTCAAAAGAGTGATGAGAGGGTAAGTAGGTGAGAATTGTCCTGTACAGCACAAAGCAATAAAGAAGGTATGTTTTTGTGTCAGTTGCTGTACTCTATAGGAGAGAGTCTCTTCAGAATATTTGGCACTTAATACCTGTCTGATGTATATCCAGTTATTTGAATGGAAATTTGTCTCTCTTCATTGTATATTACCTGTGGCACAGAAGTTTATTTAGAGGTCCGAAAGTGTTTCAGGTCTGACGTTTTTACAGGAGTGAATGTTTTTGCTGGAACATGCACTTTTTCTAAGGAAATTAGAATTGTGTTTCTTGCCTGCCTCAGTGGTGTCTTCTTGAGGAAACTGATTCTAGGTACTGAGCAGATGTAACAGCCACTGCCTGTTGGAATCAGGCTCTTTTTCTTTTCCGCTTTCATGACCCTTCCCTTTCTACTTTTTTATTTTTGTAATGTGTCTGTGTAGTTTTGTCAGTTAACTTAATAACATGGTGTGATTTTTGTAGAAGAAAGGAAGCTACAATAAAGCCACACTCCTCCTCAAGTGACAGCAGATGCACTCCATGGACTTTTTTTGCCTGCTGTTTAGGCCTGTTGTGCTTGTTGGCAGTCCCAGTTACCATTTTGGTTACTTGCCATGCTGTTGGCTAAGTTAAAATTAACGATGATACTACAGTGATTAAATTATTCCTGTACATATTGCAAAATTCAGATACTGAAGGCTTAATATAGTAGTATCATGTTGTCTTCGATTTGTATATGAAATAAAATGACAGACCCTTTAATGAAGGTCTGGTATTATAAAGATTAAAAAAATACAGAGGCTGTCTATATAATCCCAGTCTCCATCTGGAACACTGGAAGATGGAGTGTAATGAATCTTCTTGTATGTACAACTTGTATGGGAAATTATGGGAAATGGAATAAGCAAAATGTTGATGTATATAGAGGTGTAATTTTCTGAACAAAGTTATGTTTTGCTTTCTCCTGAAGGCAGGATCCAGCCTAGAATTTCCTTCTGGATTAGTCCCAGAAGATGTTGACCTGGAAGAAGGTACAGGCTCCTATCCCTCGGAACCCATGCTGTGCAGTGAAGCTGCTGATGGTGAAATACCCCATTCCTTGGAGATGCTCTACCTTTCTGCTGAGTGTACCAGTGCCACTGATGCCTTGATAGTTCTGGTTCATCTGCTCATGATGGAGACAGGCTATGTACCTCAGGTAGGTAGGTGCATAAGCAAACAGAAATTTCTTGGTCAGTGTGAGAAAGCTTTGGAATATCATGGGAGTGTGTAATGCAAGATCCGTCTGAGGACCTGCTTCTGCATTGTATGTGTCAGTTGGCAGCAGGGGCTGCTGAAGTTCCAGCTTCTCTAATTTCCCTGACTAGTAATTCTTCGGGCTAAAGACTAGAGCAGCTTTTAGGTGCAAGAGAGGAGGCCTGTCCCTGTGTTTCTTTTGGTCCTCAGCCTCCCTGGGACCCAGCTGATAAGCTTCTGTTTCTGCTTTATGCTCTTGAGCATTTGTAGATGTGCTTAAATTGTAGCACTTCTTCAAAGTACTGCCTTAAGTGTCAGTGTCATCTCAATGATAGCCCGCTAAGTGGTGCTTAGCAAGGCTTAGGTCTACCAAAATATTGTCTCCAATTCAATAGGAACTTGAGCTAAGTGTTAAGTTAGGCTTTGGTTCCACTAATCTGAAGAGATGTTGTACTTGAGCACCTGTGGCAGTACCTCTGTACAATGTATGAATTCACTTTTCCCCTTTACATTTGCATTATGTATTTACTGATAAGTGACCGAACATAAAGAAAAAGATTTGATGTGAGGAAAGGTGTTTAAATTCCCATCTTTTTTTCTTGCAGTGAGGCTAACTAAGCTCGTGTGTGTCTGGTTGACCATTACCAGTTTAATAAATCCGCTAAATTCCTTGCATCCCCATAACTTGAAATACTACCTGAAGAATAAGTTTGCCACTGGGAAGAAAGTTTGTTTATGTCAGTGAGCAGGCTTGGAAGTAGGGAAGATGATTAAGATGAAAGAAACTAACTTGTAGTTATGTCATATCCCCCCCTGGGATTTCATCTGAGCCTTTTCATACTGAAGTTGAAAGAAACTGTTAGTTGACTCAAGTTTTTGAAATAACTTCAAACTATGATTATTAAAACCCTGTCAAATATTGTAAGTTCACAGAAAACATCCAACAGCATGGGTTTTTTTGCAGCAAATTAACATACGTGCAGGAGCTATCAGAATGCTGGAATGGGTGACAGAATGAAGTATGTGTCTCAAAGAAATAGCTGTGACTGATCACTGAACAACCTTCCCTGTCAGGACAAAAAATTACTGAACTTCACCCCTTTTGGGGAAAATAGTGTATAGTCACACATATTCATAATCACTGTGTCATCGTGTGCATTAGGAATGAACTAAGAGTTGAATTGCAAACATCATTCTGCAATTTCCTAACTTTTCTAAACCTTTTTTTCTAAAACTTTTCCTAACCTTTTCTCACCCCTCAGCATTGGTACACTGCTAAAGTGTGACAGTGTGTTACTTCTTTGCATTTTTAGGGGACAGAAGCCAAGGCAGTCTCCATGCCAGAGAAGTGGAGGGGCAGTGGTGTTTATAAGCTACAGTACACACATCCCCTTTGTGAGGAAGGTTCTGCTGGCTTGACTTGTGTGCCTCTGGGAGATCTTGTTGCTATTAATGGTAAGTCAGTCAGATTTTTATCCTGGATGCACATTGCTAAGTATCACCATTGTTTAGCAAGAGAAAACTTAAATGCAATTTTGTGAGCTGTGTTCTGAGCTACACCTTTATTGCTTGGGTTGCTGAGGTGCAGGAGATGCCACTTCCAGATGCTGAATACTCATGGCATTTCTGGTCTGTTCTATTAACTGCTTCTCTCCCTCTAATTATAACAGATCAATCCTTAGGAGATTCAGCTGGTCTTTTCATGGCAATGTTTTAGAAATCTTTCTTGTCTCATTTCATAAGGACTTTGTCTGCTCTAGTACAGTATTGTTGTGTCTTGTCTTATGTTCTTTGCAAGACTTAAAACTTCCAGACTATGTATTCTTTAGCTCTGATGTATAATCTTTTCTGTAGTATGCTAATTGTGGTCTCAAAAATTGTATTTAGTTTAAGCCATTCAGTCCAGAAAAAGTACAGAAGTCTAATTTTTTGAAGCAACTTCCATATCACTTGATGGCTTCTATTGAGATTTGTCTTTTTTTCCTTTCTGTTCTTTATTTTATTTAGCATTTGAGTAATTCCACATTTTTTCAGAAACAATATTAAATTGGGACTTGGCTCTAATTTCAGGATATCTTTAATTAAATTTTTTATGTTTCTATGTAAAACTTGTAACTGATTTTGCCAATTTGTATTAGCACATATGTTTTCTCAGAACCTGTACATAATATGATCAGATGTTTTAACCAAGTTGGGTTAAGGTTAGATTTAGGACAGTGTTATAACTGCCATGCATAGAGTGTTCATAAAGTAAACTTGAGTTTTCTCTAATTAGCATTTCTTTAACGATTTGGTTATAATAATGGCTCTCTGTATACATCTTTTAGCTGTGTTACATCTCTTGTGATAGAATTGTTGAAGGTAGTGCTTAGTTGCTGCTTTGCTATTTTAAGTGCCTTTTTTTTAAAAAAAGTTTTTATTTGTCTACCTGCTTGCTAGTTGGGTACTTTCCTTGTGGGATCTGGTAAGGGAGGAAAGTAAAATACCTCCAAAGAGTAAAGCAGTAATGAAGCGGTCTTTGTCATCTCTCAGCATGTCTTAAGTTTTGAAGTGTCTTTTTTTCTTATATTTGCAGCAACATTAAAAATCAACAATGAGATTAAAAGCGTTAAGAGAATCCAGCTATTGCCAGCATCCTTTGTTTGCTTTCAGGACCCAGGTATGATTGAACTATGATACTCATACTAAACTGGAAAGTAAAAGAGTGGTACAGTGGGTAAAGATATGCTTTAGTAGAGCACCAAATAGGTACAGAAGAGCAAAAAAGGATAAAAATGTTTTTATACCATTTAGGTTAGTCATAACTTTGTGGTAAAAGGAATCCAGATTGTAGCCATTTACTCAAGTTTTGTTAAAACAAATTGTATTTCTTGGATTAACAGTGTAAGGAAAGAACCTTGCAAGGTCCAGTTTATCCTTTGGCCCCTGTGCCTGTTATTTATGAGGTCCTAAGCATATGTGTGGATCTCTGGGACAGCAATGCTGGAAAATACCCCCTTTCTGCCTGGCAGCTCAGGACTTCAGAGGCTGGTGGTACCTACATTCGTGTTGTGGCACTGTAATTGTTAAGTTCTTTTTGTCAGAAAACGTGCTGACCACATAGGTTTCTTCAGAGTGCCAAAATTAGGGGGAAAACTAAGTCAAATAAACAGGGAGGGGCAGATTGATGTGGATCCTTGTGAGCACAGACCTGACTAGCCTTTTGTTCTCTGAAGTAGATGAGCTGTTTTACTGGCAGTTGAGGCTGACTCAGTGTCCTACACTATGTTCTGGGTAGTCCCAGTCACTGGTGTGTAAGTCTAATCGAAAGGATTTAGAAGAACTGAGTGCTGAAATGTGTCCAGTATAACAGCAGAGCCTTCTGGCTTGTCTTTCTTCAGAGAACAGAATGGATAACCACTTCTGTCAGAAAAATGTCAGAAAAATGACTATTTCAGGCATTTAGAACACGTTACACAAGTGCTTTTAAGGCCAAAGGGAAAGCTGAGCCTGACCGTTGAAATGGTCTCTAGTTTGTCAGTGGTGGTTTGCAGGATGGTTACACTGTAGCTGCAGAGCTGCTCCCATCCAGATCACAAGCAGATTAGAGTTCTGTTTACAAGACAGCTGTAACTCTTATATAAAATTTCTGCCTTATAAACTTTTGAAGTTAAGCTTTTTACCTCTCTTCTTTGATAGAGAAGGTTGCAGGTGTTTACAAAGACCTTCAGAAGTTATCCCGTCTCTTTAAAGACCAGCTGGTTTACTCTCTCCTGGCTGCTGCCCGACAAGGTGAGAGAAAATACTTACATTAGAGATGATACTTAATTTTTGAGGATGGAAGGGAGAGGGTCTATCAAAAGCCTTGATGGAAAAGTGTTAGAAACAGCTGCTCAGTGATGAATATATAAAGAGTAAGCATAAAGTAATGTATATGTTCTAAAGAAATTATCGTGATCTTTGTTACTGAGAAAATATTAATATAATTCTTGTTTTAATTTTTGATTGCCCTACCCTCAGTTCAGAGACTGAAATGGAGTGGCTGTTTTTCACGCTTAATGATGAGAAAATCATACCACAATAATTTTGTAGCAGTAGCTCTATAGTTTTGATCTATTTCTTTGTCAATAATAATAATAATAATAATGGCCAGTCTTCGCAAGCGAAGATCCGGGGAAGGTCTTTCCACCTTCCAGCCTGCGCATTGGATTTTTTAGGTGAGACACAGTGTGCGCGGAACTGAGCCCACCCTTTAATCCTAAGGTTCATCTGCCGGGGCCAAGCGAGCTTGGACGGTGGCAGCGAGGTCCTTAGGACGTAGGTGGATTGCCTTTAAGGGCTAACGAGCCCCACCTGCCCGGGAGTGGCCCTGACTGGGAATCGAACTCGGGTCTCCGCGGTGATAGCGCCGCGCCTTTACCACTAGACCACCAGGGGCTCCATTTCTTTGTCAAAACAGAAAAATTTATATAGTATCATATTTGGAAGTCTAAACTTAGTAATGATCTTGTCAGTAACTGGTCATTGAGGGCTTGGAAAGGATGGTGGGAAGTAACCTGTGCTGGTGTTTGTGAGGCAGTAGGAAGCCAGGCTGTCTCTGCATAGTTACTGCTGTAAAAGGTCTCAGCTTTGTATTCTGAAGACCATTCAATGGAATTGCCTGTAGACTTTAGTGCAGGAAGGTTTTATGTGAAACATGTGCTCTGTATTTAATGTGTATTTCGCAGACTCATGAAATTGGGCAGGTCTTTTTTTCTTTACCTATTCCTTTGTTCTGTAGCCTATAAACATAGCGTTGTATGTTTGTAGTGTTTCTTAGGCATAGTGGTCAGTATAAAGTGCCATTTACCCTATTTCGTGCACTCTGTAGGTGTACTTAGGGTTGCAGGAGATCAGTTCTGCATGAAGTCACCTCACAGTAGTTGCTGAGAAAACTGGTGTAACTTGGGTATGAAGGGGAGAGGATTTAAGGGAAAGATTACAATGTTTTCTTTCTTTCAGGGCCTTTAGAGATAAACCCCACATCACTTAAGTAATGCTTCTGTTTTCTTCACTGTGTAGCTCTGAACTTGCCAGATGTGTTTGGGTTAGTGGTCCTTCCTCTTGAGCTCAAGCTTCGGATTTTCAGACTTCTGGATGTCCGTTCACTCATCTCTCTCTCTGCTGTTTGCCGTGATCTTTACACAGCTTCAAATGACCAGCTTCTGTGGAGGTTTATGTATCTGCGGGATTTCCGAGGTAATGTCGAGGCACATCTTTCTCTGATTACTTCTCATGTTAACAGAGGGATTAGGTGTGGCAGATTTTGATAAGAGGCAATCAGTAATGATATTTAAACACTCTTGAGTAAACGCAGTACAGTTGGCCAGCTGTAATTCACTGGATGCAGTTTGAAGCCAGGAAAATTGCTGACAATCTTCTGAGGCATTACTGGTGGACCGTGTGGTTCTTCCCATTGCATGGTGCAGGCCTTCCTTGTTTTTATCTGTTTCCTTTGCTACCTTGGTGTATTGGCTATTGCAGATATTAAGAGGTGGAGGGAGGATATATTCCTGCTACAGTTTCTCACACAGGATTGAAGAAACAAAGGTAGTCAAGAGAAGTGCTGTCAGAAGGCAAAGGTGGGGACAGTATTTCTGGGATTTCTCTATTTGCTCAGTAACGTTTGGAGATAATGCTTTACACAGAATGAGTGTGCAAGTAGATTGCCTATTAAATGGTCTTGGAGCTTTGTATTTTTTAAGATGCATTATCTTTACGAAAAGATGTATTGACCAAAAAGTGTTTTTCCTGTCTTGATTATCCTGCAACTTCTGATGAACTCTGAGCACCTGTGGCACAAATGCTACTTGCTTTTCTTAATTTTTTTGCTTCTCTTTTTAGATCCCATTGTAAGGTCTCGTGATACAGACTGGAAAGAAGTAGGTGGCTTTTTTATATAATCTCTCTGAGATGAGTCTAATTTGAAAATTAACCATAGACTTCGGGAGGCAGTAACTTTGAGTTAAATTTTAGTTTAAAAGTACGGTGTTCTGTGTATGCATGTTGGTCAGAGTAGGGGAAAGCAGCATCAACGAGTTACATGGTGTGTGCCTGAATTGTGGGTTAGAGATCTTCCAAAGATGCTGTGTGTGGTCTTTGGCAAGCAGGAGAGTTGCTGCTCTGGGTTTTCAGACTGGTGAGGAGCACTTTTTTGAGAAGTGCCATAAAACTGAATGCAGCTGCTGAAGCTGGAACACTTACAGAGCTTTAAATTGCCTTCTTTTTCTGTCTGCAGCTATACAAGAAAAAGTTGAAACAGAAGAAGGAGGCCCTGAGATGGAGGCACATGATGTTTCTGCCCCCTATACCTCATCCAATCCCCTTTCATCCCAACCCATTCTATCCTAATCCCTTTCCTCCCAACCCCTTCCCATCAAACCCAATCTATCCCCCAATGATCATTGGTGGAGAATATGATGAGAGACCAACACTTCCGTATGTTGGAGACCCAATTAACTCACTCATTCCCGGCCAGGGAGAAGCACCAGGGCAGTTTCCTCCATTCAGACCACACTTTGACCCCATTGGTTCCTTGCCTGGAGCAAACCCTACGCTTCCAGGACGAGCTGGTCCCAGTGACAGGTTTCCACCCAGACCCAGCCGGGGCCGCCCCATGGACATTCGCCGTGCGTTCATTTGATTGCGGCTTTTTCCTGCAGTGAGTTTTCTAGTCGCTGAGCTTGCTTCCTAACTGCAGGAGATTGCAAATCCCAGGCACTAACACCTGCCTTCTCTTCAGATTGTGTCAAGAACGCGTGTGCATGGTAGTGTTCCGGCCACAAAGGCTGGGTTTGTTTTGTGCTCTGGTAGTGCTGTACCACCTGGCACTCAGGTCTGTTTCACAAAGAGCTACGACTTAGAGCAGTTTGTTCTCCCTCCCCTCCTCCTTGCCCTTAGTCGTCTGTGAAGTGCTACTTACAGACCAGAAGGATACCGGCCAAATACTTGCTGCATCAGATAAAGAGCACTTTAAATACAAACCGTACACTTGTCTGTCTTATTTGAAGTGTTTTACTAAATTGCCAGGAGAAATGATGTTGTTTAAAATCTACTGGGTTAATTAATAATCTTTATTAACAAAAAAGTTACCGTGTACCACATAAAACAGGATGCTACCACTGTCATGGTAGATGTGTGTTCATGGAAATTTTTGAATATGTTGTTTCCCTTTTCCTGTAATGTTTTATTAGGTAAAAAGCATTTTTGTATTGTTACTTTTAATGCACAAAGAATACAGGGAAGGAATTTTCTTCACAATGGAAATATTAGAACACAAATTAATTCAGTTTACAAACAACTGAGTAAAGTCATGCTACAGTGCAACTCAGAAGTCTAAACAGAAGCAGAGCAACTTTACAAAGAATCAGCAGCAAAACTTTTATCTTTCTCCATGACTTTACAAATAAGGATCTGTAGTACATGGCTGCATTTACTGTGTGTGAACTAAAAGTGGTGCAGAAATGCATCTTTTCTCCCTATCTGACTTAAGGAATTAAATAGGCTGACCTGGTTGCAGTAGAAATGGGGTCACAACAACATAAGAAGCAGAATTCTCACTTCAGTAAATTCCATTTAATTCCATTACTTAAGTATCAGATTATATCTTGCCAAAAAGAAATGTGTTGTAGCATGTTATGAGCACCTTTCCAGTATTGTCTTATTAACAAATGAGCAACTAACAAGACCACTGCTGAAGTCTCCTGATGAGATCTGCAGGCTGTCGCTGGAGCTCAATTAAAGGAAGACCAGAATGACTAAACTTTGCTAGAACTTCTAATTCCTTACATATTTTTTAAGAGGATTGATCTCAGTGTTTCTATAAATGTAAATGGTACTGATGACTGTTGTGACAACTGATAACTATTTTCTAAAACCTTTTTGAAATTCCAACAGTGGAAATGGAATGGCATTTCCTGTTAAATACAAGCTATTTAATCAGTAATACTTGTGTGCTTTTTCAGGTGATATTTCAGTGATTCATCTTCTTGTTTTGTATAAAATCAGCTGACTTCAGTAGGGTCAGGAAGTTTTGCCTAGTAAAATATAATACTTTATTTTGTTGTCAAAAGTTGTATTGCTTCTTTCTTCTCTTTCTACTTCACAGCAATGGTTTCCCTTCAATACCAAGATTATCCTTTACTTTTAACATTTACCTGCAGTGGTTGAATTGTCTTGTTCCAAAAGAATTTTCACAAGTGAAATTTATAGTTAGACCTCTGTAAAGAAGCTTATAGTGCTTCTTTATATTCCTCTGACTATAAAAAGGAAAAGGGAAATCTACACTGCACTGGTCTTGCCCCATCTTGTCCTTGTGAGGAGTGCTTCAGCAATGAATACATAATATTCAGATAAGGTTATACAAATTATTTTATCAGATAAAGCTGTAACTTACCCTTTTTGTTTTCGGGTTTTTTTTTTTCAAGTTATTTCTGGGAACAATGATTTCCATGCACGTGAGATAAGTCAGTTTTGTGGTGCCAGTGGTACTCGCGCGCCCAGTGCCTTGATGACAGTCATGGGGCTTACCCTGCTGGCAGGCTGTGTCCCTCTCTGGAATTGGGCTCTGTCTGCCATGATGACAGTCATGAAGTTATACTTCTGCCAGGCTGATGCCAGAGGTTCAGTTCATCCTGGATTTTGTCATTTGAATGTGTTTTTTTGAAGAGATGAGCTCAGCCTTTTTACACATACACCACTAAGGGACCTGAAGATGTTCCTCCCCCTTTTTGTTGTCCTTCACAGTGTAGTAAAGGTATTGTGAGCCAAACGTAAAGGAACCCGACTTACCCGGAACTGTCAAGTTCCTTGAAGAGGAGTTCCTGTTATTCATAAAACAGGATATGAAATATAAAGTGAATATCTTGGGACCAACAGTATAAAATTAGAAGACAAAACAGAGGAAATACTTTAAAACTAGCTGCTTGCTTTGTTTATTTGCCAGCTCCCAAGTCAAGTGTATGATTCCTGTTGCAAACTTTTAAAAAGAGAAATCACAAAAGATGAAATGCCTGAAGATGGGCATTTCTTACCTGTACTGTTCGTCAGTACCCAGCACTGTTAACATTGCTGCTAACAGTCACTTGGAAATAAGGAACTATTATCCTTGGCTATTCTATTTATTGTTTTATCTTACTCATGAAACTTAGAACCAACCAGATGTGGAGCAGTTGAGCCATACACAGGGTGTAAAGTCTTATGCACCTGCTTGTGGTTAGTGGAAGACAGTCAAACTGCTGTTCTTCTGGACCTTAGCTTGCCTGGGAATGTAAATGACATTTCTCTTGAAATACCACACCTAGCTATGACACGACAATCAAGATGTTTCTCAGTTTGTATCTAAACAGCAAAATGTAAAATAGTTTTCCTGGTGGTGGATATGGGTGGGTGTCATAGCTGTGTCCCGGCTCCTTCTTGGGTTGGATCCAAACACACAAACCTACTCATGTTTCCTGGCTTCCATATGAAGAAAATGAAAGCAAGCAAGACAAAAGAAAGCTCTGACCAGGTGCTCACACAGTTTTCACAGCTGTGTGAGAAAGATCCCAAAGCATGCTGTGGGGCTTGTGTGCCCTGTGGTTTAAATGTAGCTTCTATTTACCAGTTTTTCTATTGCCTTCTTACTGCCCCTAACTCCAGCTGTTACATTTAGGTACCTAAATACCTCTTGGGTATACCTTACTTTTCCATCCATATAAATGGAGAATACCCCTTGTATTTCCTCTGTCTCGTTGTTGGAGTGTAGGGAGTTTGGAGTAGAAACCTGGTATCAAAGGTGAGAACCTGAGGTTAGGATGATGCATTTGTGAATCTCCTGCTAGCCACAAGATCATAGTTGTAGACTTGAGGTGTACTGTTGGGACATTCATAGGACACAACATAGATTTTCATCCTTTTAACTTAGGAAATCAGCTGACTGTTTTCATTAAAGCACTTCTGTGAATAAAAATGAAGATGCTTTTCAGGAACTATGGGAGTAAGTAAGATAAGCTGAGAGTGCCTATTGCTCGTACTTGTAACTAGGAGGAGGAGAGATGCAATTCTGTTTGCTCCTGGAAAGGTGACAGCTGGTAAGAGATTTGAGTCACTGCTGGGTATCAAGTCAGCAGTGCTATCCTGTTACTGTGGTGCATTGGAGGACAGCCCTACTGTGTTCAAATGTGGCATCAGAAATGATCCAGCTGTTGTGGTTTCAGTGATGAACTGGGGTCGATTTATGGGGCCGTGTCACACTAGTCGCTAGTTACTTTTTTTGTATATGTTGTGTTGGTAAGGGAGACATAAAGAGTTTCAGGGGATAGAGCAGTTGAGGATTCTGGCAGTAAACTTTTATTTCTGACTCTGCGTCTCTGGTGACTATTTAGTAGGGAAAGGCATAAACCATGCTGAGGGAAGTGTTACAGAAGGAAATCCTCTCCCACCAGCGTTGTATTACCTCTTCTCCATATAGTGGAGCCTGTTAATCTGCTATTCTTGCCAGTGGGACCATGCTTGCTCAAACCCATTTGTCACTCTTTTATTGCTCCTGGAGACTCCAAAACACCAGGGACTGGTTTTTTTTTTTTTTTCCTCAGACAATGACATATATTTATGATGCTACGTTGTAAACTGCTTAGCAAACCTTGAAGGACAACAGAGAGCTGGGGAAGAAAATAACAACAGAAACAAATCATCAGAGAGTAAGGTGGTCTTGTAATACTGGCACTTGAGTTATAAATCATTGATCCAGATGTGTCTCTTGAGAGACTTCCAACCTGGAAAAGCTATGCTGTTACTTGCCATTATATGTGCAAAGACCTGCTCAGGGGTAGGTCATACAAGGTCCAGATGACTGCATTGGATTTAGATGTTCATTACAGGTGCTATGCAGGAAGGATTTCCATGTTTGGCTTTATTCCCACCAGTGAATCATAAGATCCGAGATGGCAAATGCAGCTGTTGCTGTTGCTCTTTTGGGGATCTCCTGGTTTAAATGATAGCAAAGATCTGTGCCACTGGCTCAAATATTTTTCTAACTTAAAACTTACTGACCTCCCTGGGCATTCCTGAGTATCATCATGGTGAACTTGCTAAGGGAAGCACAAAGCCAAGTCTGACCTTGAAGCTGTATTTTGAGGAGGTGGGACAAGGACTGGTACCTGCATTAGCTATGTTATAACCAGAGCTCACAGAGTGCAAGGGGGTTCTCAGCTGGCAGAAATAGCTATAAATACATGGATTTACCCAGGGTGGGTTTTTGCAGTCATGAACATAGCTTGTGTAATTCCTCAGTTTTGTGATGTCCAAGTTCATGGGCACATCCACAGCTTCATTCAGTGTTGCAGGCTTAGAGAAAAAGCACACTGGCAAAGATCTGTCTGTGGGTTCTCTGGAAGAATAATTCTTAGGGGTGGTCAGGGAGAACTAATACTGATTGTATTAGTCCTACTTGTGGCAATCCCATACATGCCTTCCCATGGCTTGGTGTCTCTGGATGGAGCCAGCTCATTTTATTTGCAAAGTATAATTTTCCTCTTCTGTTGCAGGTTTGCCACCTTGCATTCATTTTGCAGTCACCCCAGCAAAGTCAGTGGGAGTTCAAGGAGGGAGACAGGATTTCACTCCATCTCTCTGTCCATTCAGTATTATGGAACACTCAGCACACAAGTATGTGCACTTCATCAGCTCTGCTATTAATTAAGCATGTTCCTGAGGGACATACTTAGCCAGATGTGACCAAGTCACCAAAGTGCTTGGAGTTTAGCTGGGTTTTGTCTGGAATTTGTGTGAACTGTGAATGTGAACTCTGATGTTTTCAGGGGCAGGGGAAGAAGTTGTTTTTTGTGTGGAAGACCCATTTCTCAGGTTATTTTTGAGCTAAGGCTACAAGGTTAGAACATGATGTTTTTCTCTCAGAACTTGGGAATAGTGTGCAGGGGACATAAATGCAAGTCATGAAACAGAGATGTCTTATCTGCTGTGAGCAGAGAGATCTGGAATAAACCAGGAGTCCATCTGGATGACCTGCTCATGTGATCTTTGGCGCTTACTGATGCCTGGTACCATATTTAACTTGAACGTAGTTTTGATCTGAGAAGTGACCTTTTATGAAGTTGGTATCACAAAGTTCCACAGTTCACTGTATTTCCATGCTCAAACATGCTCACTTTGTCAGTCAATGAATACTTACTTATTCTTGACTCTGCCTTTGCATATATGTTTCTGAAAGAAGCCCATGTTTTTTAGGTTGACCTTAACAAGAATTCAGTAATTGGAAGTTAGCAATTGTATTGACTATGTACAAATCAAAATAAAACCCAGTTTGCACTGTCATAACTGTGTTGACTCCACAGATGTTAGCAAGAGTAAAATTTGCTTTACAACTCAGTCATTTGAACAGATCTGATTATGCACAAAAAACAATGTAGTGACACTTATGCAGTCACTTTTCAGATAATTAGAATATTTTCTTTGTATTAAAACAACTGTAGTTTTCTAAATTCCCTTTACCCAGGTGGTAGTTGTAAGTTGTTGGGTTCCACTGAGTGTGTTCCAGGATGACATCAGGTATGCTATTATGTAGAGTGAGGGCTGACAAAAGCACAGATCCAGGTGCAGAACTGTTAATCGGAAAAGAGGCTAGCAAATGATTTCCTCAGATTGCGGATGGTCTCAGCTTTTGCTTCATCTTCGCTGGCATTTCCCCGCTGAGGTGATTCAGATATGCTGAAGGTGTTTGTCAGGGACTGCGATTTGCTGAAATGGAAAACAGAGTTCTGGCTCAGCAGGAGAAGGTGGTAATTCAAAGCTGGTTACTGAGGCTTTGTGTTCCATCACACAGACAAATTAAAGAATAAAAGGAGAGGTTAGCAAGGATAATATCCATGTGCTAAGACATCCAAGAATGGGGAGTTGGGAGAGGATGCGACATGGGCAAGTGGCTCAATCCAGACTGGTGAGAGTTGATGAAAACATCTGACTAAAAGTATGCAACTGCCATTTGGTGCGGCTGTTGTGAGGAACCATTAAGTAATTTCACTACTAATGCAGAAGAATGGATTCATACTGGGCGTCACAAGTCTCTCATAAGCTGTACCAGCTGAATGATGGCCCTGTCCTTTGAGCTGTGAGAGCACAAGAGGTTTATCAGGTTGGTAGCCATGTCACCTGCAATGTGTGCTGTTGCCTGCCCTCCCTGGCCTGTGTGCTCTGACTCTCAGCTCTATAATGCAGGTCTTTTGGCTGGCCACAATGCTCCTGCTGGGTATGTACCTGCTAGTGTTTAACTTCAGGACTTTGCTTTTAAAGTAAATCTCCCAATTTTCCCTGCTACCGCACTTAGGCACTGAGTGGTTTCTTCTGGTCAGGTATCCACCACAAGATCAGACTTGGAAAACTAAGTACCTGAAATATGTATAGTGTGGTGACTGCATCCTTAACACCAACATTTTGATCCTTAAGTACACTTCTTTTGGTTTGCCTTGCTAATGTAAACATCATCACTGAAAGCCTATTCCAGAATAGCACTCCTCTGATTCTTAGAAATTGTCTTCTCATTCCTAGCCTATATTTTTTGGCTGCTACCAAAGATCCACGATAATTCATCGGTGTGTGCTGCTCCAGTAGAGCACTTCAACATACAGTCACCATCTGGAGTTTCATATATAAGAGTAGGGTCACTTCCACTTCCCCTTACCCCCCCGACCCTTTTTGCTACCAACTGCAAAAAATTGCCCAGTAAAGAAGATGTGTGACTCCTGCATTCAGGGAATAGTGAAGGAATGATTCCTGTTGAGCTTTCTGTGCAATATTGTGTTGTTTACAGCCTGTAAGGAGTGTACACTCTACTGGGAAGGCAGTGGCTGTGTTGATATGGCCAGGGCAGAGCACATGATTAATAATGAGCACAAGAACAAGAGGAAGAATGTGAATTTTTAGCAATGATGTCAAATACAACTTGTTCTTCCTGACAATAGGTCAGTGGTGGCCTGTTATGCCCAGGGGTATTTATATATACCTCTGAAGTCACTCACAGTTATGCAGGCCTTTGTCCCTGGGGACTACTGCCTGACAACAGGTGATATGTTCTTCCTGTCAGCTCAGGCTATCTACAGATAGCAGCAGGTTATCAGAGCACTTACTTCAGGTGTGGGTGTGGGACAGCTTGCTGTTTGGATGTTTCCGTCGGGCTTGGCTGGCTTGGAGCCCGGCCTTGGGCAGGAGGTCTAGGCTGCTGTGGAGGGAATGTGCCTGCCTTGGGAGCCTGGACTGGAGAGGACCCAGTTGCTGATCGGACTTGCTGTGGAGATCCAGGTGACCTTTGCTGTTGAGGGGAAGTGGACAGAGGACTCTGGGGCTGCTGTCCTTGAGGAGAGAGCCGCTGCTGTGGAGGTGCGTTTGTTCTTGTAGGCTGAGATCCTTGTGGCTGGCGTGGGCCACCTGAAAGGGACATGTAGACATAAATGTGAGAAAGTGCATGCGATGGACAACAAGCATGAAACATCTACACAGAAGAACAGGTTTTGCTAAGGGGGAAGACTCTTCAGTTTAGTTTCATGGGGAAGAATGAGGAAAAAACTGTCTTATAGGCTTAAAATTGGTGTCATGCCCTCTTTTATAGAGTTGTCCCTTTCTCTACCTCCACTCTCCCTGAAGGGGAGAAGCCCCTCCACTCTCCCTTAAGGGAGTCACTTCGACCTGTTTTACCCTTCCATGTATCTGGTATTTCTTTTTCTCGGTAAACACATCTTGGAGAACCAACTGTGCCGGAAGTGAAAGCTGACACAGCTGGTTTGGGTCAGCAGTCCCTTCACGGACCCAGCAGTTTGATGTGAGATACTCCATCCTATCACTATCCATGCTGGAACTGTGTTCTGGGTGGCTTCAGCTGCACTGGTAGCAGACTCTCTGAAGAGGAAGTGGAAAACAATTGGATGTGACATGAGAAATTGCTGGACATGACAGACAACACTGTGAGAACCTGACAAAAGTTACAGATAGTGTTGTGAGGGCTGGCTGGGTTTCACAGGTGGTATGGGGAGTTATGTGAGAAAAAACTTCACAGAGATTTGAAAGGGAGTACTGGAGACAGACGGGGAGCAGTGTCCTGCAAAGCTCATATCAGTAATAGTATGTTATGCCAAGATTACATAGATGCATTTCACATCATAAATACTAGATTTTGAATGCAGCAAAACTGTGACCAATGAGGAAAAGATAATTAGAGGTGGGTGTTAATTTGGTAGGAGGTTAGAGTGGAGAAAGGAAGGGATAAAGGTGGCAAAAATGAGGGTCTAATCAGTTATGTGAATTGAGTGGTTGGTGTGGCCTGGGTATCCCTGCGGCAGCCCTGTGCTTCATCACCTCAGTGTAAATCAGGAGAATAACCCAAACCTGTTGTTCTGGCCAAGCTACAGAAGTCAAACCTGATACTGCTGTCAGGAGGAGCTGGGAGTATACTCTTGCTGACATGGGAACACCTGGACAGATGGACCAAGGATCCTGATATCCCCACACTGGTGTCTGTTCCAGCCCTGACAACACTCCCCATCACTTCTTAACACTTGTAGCCACTACAGCTTTGTGCAATCACAAATATACTCCATGCCCAGAATCCTGCTCTGGTGCCAGTGCAAGTGGCCTCATTTTGGTGAGCCAAGTCCTACCAAGAATATCAACTGGATCTGGTATCCAATATTCATCCCACTTTTAGAGCTGCTGTGAAATATGACAGTGTCTGCTTTAGCAGCACTCTGAATTTGCTGCCTGCTTGACAGCAAATTGGAAACTGAGTGAAACCTTTGTCCTGATAGCTTTTGTTCAGAAGGCTAACTTACAGGACTCACAGTCATCACTGTCATGGGAATCAAAGAACTTGTACCTTGGGGAGGAGGCCGTGGTTGTGACAGCTGTCCAAGTGGAGGTCCAGTCTGAGATTTCATTGACACTGGCTGAACTTGTGGAGGCTAGAGGAAAAAAAAGCCATTCCAGTTAATACAGAGTCCCTAAAGAGAAGCCCTGAGGTAATACAGGAACTGTAGAGTCATGAAGTGTTCCTTAAATACACACAGACACACATGCAGCATCTGGCTGGTAAAATCTCATGGGACTAAAATGGAGAGGTGAGTAATAAAGAACATAGAACTTGTTTGCTCACAGGGAATAACAATGAAGTTACAGTTTAGAATGTTTTTTAGGCAGTCAGGAATTACCAAATGTATCTGGCTGGAGGGGGTCTCTCAGTCCCATCTCCCATTTTGGACAGTCGCCAGCACCAGATGTTCCAAAGAAAGGAGGGATGAACCATGGAAATGTCTATGGAATAATCATCTCTTTACCCTAAGGGGTCTCCTCTTGATTGCTAATAAGCAAGGGCCAGCTTCAACCCTGAAACATGAAGCTTATTATCTGCTCTGCAAAATCTTTGCAACAGTTCCAGATATTTTGTTTTGATATTTATACCCAGGCCCTTTGAGTCTTGCTCAGCTCTCAGCCTCACTGTCTTTCCCATTTCTTGTCTCCATTGCTTTGTTCTGAGTTTTGAGACTAGTTCTCACAACCTGCCCCTGCTAGACCATTCATTATTTTGCAAACCTTCACTGCCCTCTTTCTCATTCACCTCCTTTCTAAAGCCAAGAGACTGAATCCCTTCAGTCCCTCCATGGGAATGTTTCCAAGCCCCTAATTGTTTTCATCACCAACTTCTCTTTCCCAGCTTTGTGATTCCTTCTGCAGATGCCAGAGGTGGGTCTGCTTACATTTTTCCAGATGAAGCAATATCTGGGTTGTCTGTATACATTGCTTGCTCGTTTCTCCTGCATCCTGATTTCCTGCTTTTCCCTTGTCAACACAAGCATTGGCTGAGCAATGGTTTTCATTAGCCTGTATGCGACAAAGTCTTTCTCGAGGGAATGCCTGGTGCCACTTGAAAGATCTGCAGATTGTTTATGCTCTGCCTCTCTCTACCCCCAGTTTAGCTTACCATTCAGTCTTCCATATGGAGTTTCATTTGCTGTTATTGTGCCTTAACATACATGGCTCTGTCAGATGTTCTTCACTGCCATTCCCGGTTCTGACTAGCGCAAATAGTTTGGTGCCATCTGCTCTTTCTTCTCTCTCACTGTTTAGTCTTTTTGACAGATATTTTAATAAACAGATTAAGCAACACAGAAAAGCTGCACAAAGGGCCAGTCCAAAGTTAACAAAAGTCTGAGTAATCCTATTGCACAAAACTGTTTATGAAAGCAGGGGAAGCTGGAGACAGATAGGCTGGTACATGCCGGATTATTTACATGGAGAGTATCGTGATAAAAGGGTCTTCAAGGCTCCTGGAAGGTCAGGAGAATGAGCTAAGTGATTCTGGAAATAGGAAGAAAGGTTTCATAGTTGGAAACATTGAAATTAGTTTCAACTGACTAACATAAATGTGATGAGGTTGCCAGCCCATCTTTTACACTATTTATCTAGGACTTGCAAATGGATGAGGGAGGAAAATCTGGGAATTTTCCATTCATGGCTTCTAGTCCTACATAGCGTGGGACACTATGTAGGTGTTGGTGGAAATTTATTATCTTAATACTGTGAGACATCGTAATGCTATGAGACATCATGATTAGACCAGCTGAAGAAAAGGACCTAAATCTCATATTCACCTCTACAGCCTTTCCCTATGGCCAGTCAAGGCACCTCAGAGATGAAAACAAAACAGGCTTTTGAGGCTCAAAGATGAAGGGGTGAGAACCAGCTCAAGGTCTTCTGCCTTTGGAAGAGAAATTGTGAGGCGAAAGGTTGGTGGTGGATCAGAGAGGCAAGGCAAGAACTGTAGCTGTAACCATGAAACCAAGTTTCAAGTTGTAGGCATGAAAACTAATTTGTCCTGGGCTCAACCAACCCATTTTTCAACATCCCTGAAGTATCCCCTCTGCTATCTGTTTGGAAGAATTAAAATCTCTCATATCTATGTCTTGGAGGTCAGCTTCTGCTCCACAATAAAACTTTGCCTTTTACCCCTCTCTGCTTTCTTTCTTTAATAGCTCTTGTCTATTACCTTGCCTAAGGCTTTTTTTTTTTTGACTAGCTACATTATTTTGACTAATTGCTTGTTATGAAAGAATTCTCAAAGAAATGAGAGGAAAAGAATCAAAAGGAAATCAATGGGACATTTTTTCTTTGTAAAAAACTAATGTAAATATGTGTAGGTATTAAGCTGTGGTTCTGTTGGTTTATTAGTCTTCTGTATTCCTCTTTAAATTCTGATTTGAGATAATTCATGAGGTCTATGGTTTGTCTAAATTTTTCTAAATTACTCTTACAACTTTTAAAACACATATTTTGTATTTGTTGGCCAACAATCCTCTGGAGCACTAACTGTTTCTAATGATATTGCATAGTTTTTTTTGGCAGCTTAGTCACTTCCTAATTTCAGTTCATTGGACATAGCCATCTGGGGCTGGGGGCTTAAGAGTTTTAAAAAATATTAGTCATCACTGATTTAATAATTGTTTTTGTTCTCTTCCCTGTCATTCTCATCAGGAAAAACTATAAGTAGATAAAAAAGTTTCCCGCTTTCAGCATTTAAATTTACTAGAGTAACAACACTGTCCCTGTTGCCTTCCTTTTCTCCCTTAACTTTGGATGATCCATAGAGCCCACCAATTCTTTGGTAGGGTTCCGTTTTCTGTTGAACTCTTGTTTCATTCTTCCCTCTATCTGCTCTTTCAAAATCAATTTCTATCCTTTTTACGTTTCCTTTTATTACTTGTATGATGCTGCATAAAGATCTTCTTAAATGTCAAATTTCCAAATTTGAAAGATTTTTTCCCCCCCATTTGTCTTGAATGTCCTCTTTGTCACTTATCTCTACAAGTTTATTTCCTACATTCTTGGATCAGGAGCCAATCAGAATGTATATATGCATACTGGAAAACAATGGTCTCTCAAATAGCATCCATACAGTTTTACTTTTAATGCTAGGGAGTTGATTAATTTTCTTTTTTAACTGCTTGTGTCGTACCCTTGCTTTCTGATATTGCATCTGTCCCTTAGACATCAAACCTAATGGTACATATCAACTTTCTGAATTTGTACTTGGGTGTTTCTTAAGGCAATGTCAAGGTGTTCTTTCCTCCCTCTGAGTTGCTGTCCCACTGTACTATTTGATTTGCTTCTTGATAGCTGTAGTCTCACATTGTTATGGCTTGTTCCTTCTTCCATCTCTGCCAAAGCTGTGCACTCTGTTTCATAATTTCTCAGTTTTTCTGGATCCAGAGACTAGTATAGAGAGGTCAAATTGTATAGGTATTCTCTTCATACCCATAGGGTGTCCAAGAATTCATATTGCTATATATTCAGTACTGCTGTCCTTATTTTCAGAATTGCTATTTTTCTTCATTTTGTGGAAGTTTTCACTTGTATCTCTAGTTCTGCATCTCACTGGCCTCGTATTTAATTATTTCTCTCTGCACATTTCTAACTGTTATAACACTATGTCAGTAATTGTGTTGTGTGCAGTTTCTGCAGTGTTTGTGGCACCAAGCTCTTTCTCTACAGCAAAACACTCTAGTTAACATGCTTGTGGCTTTGATTTCCTTGATTATATATACAGATATTTTTAGGTTGTATTCCTGATGAAAACACTTTTCTTATTTGACTCTTCTATTTGACATCCTATCCCTCCAAGACCATTTGTTTTGTTCTTATTTTGGCCCTATTTTAGGTCTGTTGTAATCCAATCCAATACTGTACCAGTATATTAAGGACACAGAAAACAGATGCATCTGTCCATGTTCTCAGTTTCTGTTGGTTTCTCCTTACTCTCAGTTCATACACTCTATATCTTGGCTGTTTCAGATGGCAGTTCATGGTTCCTCTTCGGCCAGAGTAAATGCTGTCCCTTCTGTATCACTTTCCCTGCCTCAGAGCATTTTTAGTGTCTATTAGATGTCTACTCCTTCACTCTAGCTAAAACCTGGAATCACCCTGAATACCCTTCATGTGGGGACCTGGTTTAGCAGGAGCAGACTGTCATCTGACAAAGGCAGAGCACCGTAAAGTGCCTTCTCCTGATCTCAAGTGGAAATGAAAATTTTACCAATGCGTTGCAATCAGTTCTATCCCTCAACCTTTTTACTCTCCTGTCTTTTCTGTTGTACAGATTTGTTGTCCTCAAACCTTTATGCTTGGCCCCCTGCTAGGTACTGAAAGAGGCATAGCACATACACCTGGATAAACAGGTTGTGTTGTGGTGTGTTTTATTTGCATGGAACTGCCACTGGGAAATGCAGCACTAAAATTAGGTACATTTGAAACTCAAAATAGTGTACACAAGAAGCACTAAGGGGCCAGTTTAAATGCAAAAGGGACAGTATCTTATATGAATTCAGCTTTAGTCAAGCCTCCTCCTGATGAAGGGGGCATAGGGCATCACCAATGAAGAAAGGCTGCAGTAAGCAGTGGAACAAGTCTTGGTGGAGATTCCCACTTTCTGCTCTTGAAAGCACAGATTTTCATCAGGGATGCAAAAACTGGAACGAAACCTATCCTCAGGGATGGTGTTAGATGGAAGCGAAGTTGGGCATTAGAAGAAACTCTAAAAATGTCTGATCTCAATATGAACCCATGAATTTAGCAAGTCAGAATGTCTAGATGCATGGACATGCTACTGATGTGGTGTCACACTTATATGGGAGGAGAGTAAGGGAGAGAGTTGTGTTCCTTAGGGACACCCACTTCAAAGAGTGTATGAGAGACTTCTTTGGAAGAACAGGAGTCAGTCTGCCCAATACACTCCCATATGAGACTGTTCAGCTCTCTGAGAGGTCTGACTGCCTGATACCCTCAGTGAGGAGAGAAAGAGAAAAAAAAGTTCAGGGAAATAACTTGGCCACAAGGTCTCTGTTCACTCATACCCAAGGCCTCAGCGGTGATGGTGTAGATCCAGCAGTGATGACAAGCTGAGTCATTTTGGAAACAACCAGATCAGCTATAAGCTGTCTGTCCTCTTCTACGTGCTCCCCAATCAGGGGCATTGAGCTGTCCATCACCTGCCACAGGAGACAAAAACAACAGTTAGTAAGGAGGTTTCCTGCTGGCAGATGCCTGTTTCAACTCACCTCTCACATTAACCTGTTCTGTGTCTCCACATCCTTGCCAACACCTATAGTCACCACTCTCCTCATTCTGAAACATGCTTGACTTCCCCAGGCATGGAATTTCACTTAGGGTTTTTTGGAAATAGCATGTACTTCCCCCAGCTCTCCATCTTCCTTCCCTTTACCACTTGGAAGCCAAGCCAAGACTTCTGATAGCTGGAGGCTTTCTAAATCAACTAAATACAAACTTTTTCTTTCACATGTCCTGAGGAGATGCCTCTGATGGATGAGGTCTCTCTGGTATTTTCCCACAGCATTTGGGGGTGACATTGCAGCTGAAAGGGCCACAGGAGAAGAGAAACAAAATGCACTGAAGCCCGAGGAGATGAGAGCAACAGGGACTGGAGAAAACCCGGAAACATTTGGGGTTAATCAACACAAAGCACTGCACCCTGAGAGGGGAAATAAACACCACAGATGTGTAATGAATAGGATGTCACCAAAACAGCACCCAGTGCAGGAAAGTAAACTTTTTCTCTGCTTGTTCTCTTGATATTGGCTGCAATACAACTGTTTCCCAAGCAAGTTCTGCAACTGTGCTGGGGAAAGTGGGAAGCAAGACTGTGGGGATGGGGGAAGGAAAACTGTCGAAGGGTCTTTGAGGTAAGAAATGGCCTAACAACAGTAATAACGAAAGCAGAGCAGACCCTCAGCTGTATAGCAGCCCTGAACATAATTTTCAACAGTTCATCATAAATCAAGTGCTTTGCAAGCATTAGCTAAATCCCACAGGAAGAACTGTACTATGATGAAGTTAAGGTTCAGCTGGAGTAAATATAATAGTACCAAAATAACAGGGTTGGAAGAGTTTATTTTATTTTGCTTTTATTTTTAAAGCAAACATTAAACCCCCTGAAAATGCAGAGTTAAAGGTTGCATAGCTCAAGAAAAGCACTGACTCACACTCAGATAACAGTCGGAAATGCACTCCACCCTCTCGAGGCTGCAAGAGTCCACTCTTGGAGGGAAATAGAAAGTTTTGCACCCTCATTTTTTTAGATTTAAAGAAGAGGAAATCAGTGAGGTTAGTTCACTGAGTTAGTATTCTGCTCCTTTCTTGCAGAATAATAGTTTTGATTAATTTCTATATGTGTCTTTTTTTGAACACTGGAGAAGCTACCTAGGAAGTTTTAACTGGGGTACACATGAAGAATGGGTTGATGTTTATATCCATGGCCTACTTGGCCCACGGGCTGAAAGAAGGAGGTTAGAAAATTATATGGCAGTGTTCAGCTAAATACACAATGTGGCTTTTCCTTCCAATATTCACTTAGCTGCTTTTCTGTTAACAAATGAGGTGGGGAATGTGATGTTTCCTAGCAGTGTCAGGGAACGGCCTGGGTCTCACTAGCCAAGGGCTTCTGGGGGCCCTCCAGGAGGTTCCTGTGCAGTTTTCCCTCCTGTCCAGTCCTATCTTAAAGGAAAATTTGGCAATCCCTGTTCCCGAGTGAGAGAAGAGGTCTCCCATCTCCCTGCAGTGCGCCGTGCGAGGGACCCGTGTGGCCACTAGATGATGCCGTTATCCCGCAAAGAGTCAGGCGAGCGGAGCTCCCTGATCCAACCCTCTGTGGGACTCACTGAGAGACGGCTCTGCTCAGAACACCCCAAACTCCGCATTTCGTGGAGTCATAGAATGGTTTGGGTTGGAAGGAACCTTTAAAGGCCGTCTAGTCCAATAGCCCTGCAATGAGCAGAAACATCTTCAAATAAATCAGATTCTTCTGAGCCCAATCCAGCCCAACCCTGAATGTTTCTAGGGATGGGGCATCCACCACCGCTCCGAGCAACCTGTGCCAGTGCTTCACCACCCACATTGTAAAAAGATGTCTTCCTTGTATCCAATCTAGATGTACCCTCTTTTAGTTTAAAATCACTACCATTTGTCCTATTGCAACAGACCTGCTAAAAAGTTTGTTCTTATCTCTCTTATGGGCCCGCTTTATGTACTGTAAGGTGCTATAAGATCTCCCCAGATCCTTCTCTTCTCCAGGCTGAACAACCCAACTCTCTCAGCCTGTCTTCATAGGAGAGGTGCTCCAGCCCTCAGATCACCTTGACAGCCCTCCTTTGGATCTGCTCCAACAGGTCCATTTCTTTACTGTGTAGAAGCCCCCAGAGCTGATTTCCCCATCTTAAGGACTGCTCTTCCCCATTTCTGTGGCTAAAGTGCCTGGAGAGCAAGGGAAGATGGTGCTTTATAAACCAAAGGCACCAGGAGGAATGAACTGGTCCCACATGAACCAATGAAGGTTCACCAGGTATGACACTATCTGCTGTCCTGCAGTATACTTCTGGCAGGGGAATATGAGATGTGGAGGACAGAATATAGAGGATTGAACAGTCAAATGCACAAGGAAAGGCCTTTGAAAATGGCAGTGGTTTCTTTGGCACATACTGGTTACCACTGAACTGAAAAAATCACGAGATGTCACCTTGCCTGTCCTCTGGAAAAGGGAAATTGGTCTGGAGCTGGGCAGATACAAAAGCTAGTATTGAAATAAATCAAAGACTGAGAAGAATACACGAATCACAGACAGACTGCACTCATCTGTTCCTGGCCAATTACAGAACAGCTGGGCAAGACAAGAAGATGTTGGCACATATGGACCCGGCCTTGTAACTGCCCAAGGTCAGTGGCTGCTCCTGATGCAGCTGCTGTTGCCTGATAAGGTGTATGAGGGGTGATGGGAAGTGGCCAGGCAGAGAAGAGACTCAGGAAAACACCATCCCAGTTCTCCCCCTTTGCATCTCTGATGCTGGAGCCTGAGGGCTGGGCTTGTTATTCCACTCTCTGATGTGCAAGAGTGGAGTGTTAGGTGATTTCTAGGGAAGGAAGGAAGGAAACTGATGATTAGACATATCAAAAGAAAGGATAGGCAGTGCTGAATTGGTGGGCAGGGCTCCTTGCAGGGCAGCAAGGAGCATGACTAGTAACACAGTTTAGTTGTATGGTGGGTAGGGCTTAGCTTATTCTTCCAGGAGGAAGAATAAATCACATGGACCATTTCACTTGCCCTCTACTTACTTCATATTTTTCAGTACAGCAGAGATGTAGAAATAGATTAGATTAGATTAGATTAGTTTACCCAAAAAATAAGGAGATTATTAAACCATACATGTTGCTGAGCTCTTTTGAGAATCTAGCTGCTAACACTGGTACAGAATTTGCACTGTTTCGATGATCTGGCCTTCTGATCAAGTGCTGGCCTTCTGATCAAGTGCAATTATGTTGAATATTCCCTCAAAGTGACAAAGTTCTTTAAAGCAGAGAAAAAAAAGAATTACCAGCATTTACTAATAAATCCATAATCTGTTTCAATATGAGCCATGAAAATGGTACTTAAATGTGCTAATGTTTTGAAGGCCAGTAATGTCACAGATTCTGCTGTTTGCCATGGGAAAAGAAAAGAAGGTGAAGTTCAAGAGAGAGCAAATACCATGAGTGCAAGATTACTCTTGTGCTATGCTGATCACTCATCTGTCTTAATCTGATTCTGTTTGCAACAAACCATTGTGATGAATCTCAGTTCATAGAACTGCCTGTCACTACCTCTGTGAGTCTTTCTTGAAGAACTACTTTGCACTATGAAAATTAAATTAATTACTGCCAGTGATTGCATTGTGCAAGTTCCTTATTTGTTCAGCCCATTTAGGCGTGCTTTCTTGTAAAATGTCACAGCACACTGTTCCTTCTTACCAAGAAAATACAACTGTCACACTGTCAGATAACTTTTTTTCTCCCAGTGTCAGAAGAAAAAAGCAAAACAAGGGATCAGTTTCAGACCAAGAAAAGTACTCCGGGAAGTTGGCTGGAGGCAATTAATTACTTGTCAACACGTCCCTCATATCTGCATAAAGTAGAAAAGGTGCCGGTTTGGCTTTGTTCTGCTCTTTATATTTCACTATTGTGCTCCTTTCCCGACAATGTCCATCAGCCTGGCACCTGAATGCCTGTTGGATGTTGATACATCAGGCCTGCTCAATCAGGATCTCCACTGGGATAATTCAGTATGACCCATCTGAAACTATTGTGTTTCTTCTGATTTGTGTCCCATTAGCTCCATTCCTGTTTACCTTGGTCTCAAAGAGAGGAGTATTAGCGTGCATTTCTCTGTGTGCAAGCTGCTGATGGCTGTTAGTGTGTGGATGTGCCTTTCACCCAGTCAGTCGCACACGGTGGCAGATGTGAAAACCCAGAGGCATACCCAGATGGAGGCATATAATCTTTAAGCTCAGAATTAGCCATGTGTGCACGTACATAGGCTTATGTGCAAGAATAGATGCAGGGATATGAAAACCACATCTCATGTCTGACCATGTATGGACACAGTCCAAATGCTCTTACAGTTGTCTCTAGCCAGACTGCTTTCTTGCTCTTCCTTTCCCAGCTACACAGGCAGAGAGATTTAAAAGAGCACAGCAGGGAAACAGACTGCTCTGGGGGATGCTCCTCGAGGTGCTGATGAATTGCATTCGGGAGCAGACCCATCAGTCCCAGCCCCATCAATTCAGGAAAGACAGAGGCTCGGCAGCATTCAGTTGCTGGCAGCACGCTTATATCACATGGCCTTTGACAGGTCACTGCTCCCCTCCCTGGGGAGAGCAGATGCATAATGCAGGAATGCGCAGTCACTGGAGGGCTCATGTGGTTCTCATCAGCATCCCAATCCTCAGCGGGTGGGACTGCTCTCCCATACATAGCTTTCCAGTGTGTCAGCACCCCTGCATGAAGCCATAGGCTGGCTCTGCTCATTTCCCTCAGCTGTTCTGTGTTGGTGGAGTTTACAGCAGGTCAGATGCTGTGCCTCCTTTGGTCACATACTGACAGAGGCACTTCTTACTTGCCAGATTTTCTCTCCCCAAGAGCATCTCTTCAGTTTCCACTTTGATTTTCTGGCCAGCTCTTCCGTCTCTGCCCTGTTAAGATAATCTGAATGTGCTATTTACCCAACTTCCATGTCTGCCCTCTGGCCTGGCAAGGAGCACATTGAACTTCAACTCTCAGAGCCACAGTCTGTCCAGATCTGAATACAAAATTTTGTAGTACACACTGGCCATGGTAACTTGGTGGTGCTTTGTCTTAATGGCCTGTTATTGTAGTGAATGCTATCTGGGCAAAAGATTTTAGAAAATACACTTGATGTTTTGTGTGTGTTTTTTTGTTTATTTGTTTGTTTGTTTTAAATCAGGTTGCTCCTGTTGCTTATGGAGTTTTTGCTACAGTCTCACCGTTTGTTTTCCTGTTTCAAATTAGATGCAGCTAGGATCTTTGTTAGTAGGTTCCCTTTAAAGTGATTGAAGAAGATAGGTTCGTTTAGAGAGAAACTGAGATTTTTAATGGACTAAATCACCTACTGGACCTCTGTCTGGGTAATGGGGGTAGGTTAACATGCCTACTACTATAACATCATCTAGTGCTTATATTCAGGTTGGGCTGAATATGAGAGTGTTGATGATGCTGTTGATCCCTACCAGCAGCTATGAGAGGGGTACTGGCTTTGTGAGTGCTTAGCTGGGAAGGATGTAACTTGGGTAATGGTGCACTGAGATGCACCAAAGTTTGGGGGCTGCCAGCAACACTCACAGACTGTTATGTGCTTGATAAGAAGGCAGTTTCACATCTGCACCCATGCAGATAAGCTTCTGCTCTCTGGGGATTTATCAGGCTGGAAGGCTGGGGTGGCCAAGCACTCTGAGGCTCTCCGTTTTCTTTCACAGTCCACACCGAGAAATGAAGGCACTTCAGCCCTAACACCTTGCTGCATATCTGCCAGTTTGGCTGGGACTGTTAATCAGTTTTTTACACATCGGTGGGCCACAGCTTGAGGGTACAGGTCAGCATGGAGGAGCAGAGACTGCAGGGCAGTGTAGGGGTAAGCAAGCGCGTTGGTGGGTGTGAATTCCAATGCAGCGTGTTTGCAGATACACGTCCTGAAGCAGACTCTCACTCAGGTTCCCCATGCTCTCACCTCAATGATATAGTCTTTTCCGTCTTTGCTGTGGACAGCTTTGACAGCGCAGATGTCAAGACCTCCAAACATTTCTGCACAGGCATCTGCCCAGAGTCTGTACCTGCAGAAAGCACAGAAGCATGGCCTAAGATTACCTGTCACTAGGCAGACCACCAAATACAGCCACCCACCCTGCTGCCCATAGCAACACAAAGAGATTTGGGAGCCCTTATTACAGGGCATCCTTCAAATACTTTATTGGGTCATTGCCTCCCTCTCTTGCGCAGAAGATGATGCAAAAAAAAAAATCTTGCCTAAAGTTTCCCTTCATTTCAGATTGATTCAATTCTGCCCTCAAAGCCACCTTAAAATGTTTCTTTCCCTCCTTAGTACTTACATCAGATCTCCAGTTGGTTGTCATTCAGCCAAGCTATAAATATTTAGCTCATTTACTCTCCCAGTAGTGTTGGTCCCTCAGCGTTTGTATTGGCTTTGCCTGAAAGCCCTCCATTATGCAGGCAGCTTTCTCCTGATAAGATGTCCTGCACATTGGGACTGGTATAGGATTGGAAAGTGAGTGCTGAATTTAGCTAGTAGCCATCCTCTCCCTGATCTGTAAGCCAGTGGCTCCTGCATTTTACAATTTACTTTCAGTTTTATCTTTTTACAGTCTCCTGCCTCTCTTCTATCCCCTGGGTGTTGCTCCTAGTCAGGTGGTCTCATCACATGGACCAGGCACTCTTTTGTTAGAGGGAGAGCTAAAGGCTGAAGTCCTTTTCTTTAGCCGTCTCAGGATGGAAAAGTGAGTTGGTGCCCCCTTAGCTATCCTGGTGTCAGAAGAGAAGAGGGAATGACAAGAGGCGTATTACAGGGGGACTGCATCCCCCCACTGTGGAAATGAGGAGGGAATGAGGCAGCCTGGTTTTATTTCCTGTGCAGCTGTGCTGCAGTCCTGGCCATTTAAATAAAAATAATCATCTCAGAACAGCAGATCTGTAAGCAGGACTATGACAAGATGCAGAGAGGGGAGGGAAGGCCACAGTCTCATGAAAACACTGACATTTTGCAGACCCTACAGGGACTGGGGAAAGAGCCGTTCTGGCCAAAGAACAAGTTTAAGTCCTTGAAGCCAGCCAGAGTCCCCATAGCTTGACAATATAATGATCAACTTGTGTGAACACAATGTCTCTGGGAAGAAGCAAGATTATGACTTATATGACTACTGGTGCTCTTTTATCCTTAATGAGGAGACCAAGTACGTTCACTGCAGACCTCCAAGGAAGGCAGTGTCTGAGGGGGAGTCAGAAACATAAGGAGTAGGAGAACTAGGGACCCTGTGAGCTGGGTAGGAGGCAATGCTGTGGCCCCACGTGCAGGAGCACCATTGTGGGAACCACCTCTGTTCCCGAGGGACATCTCTAGGTGTCCGGGTTCAGCAGCCAGGTTTAGGGAATGGTTTCTCATGCCAGAGACCCTGATAGCTGCATGTCTTTAGGGTTTGCTGGCCATAGGTGAGCACTGGGAAGCATCAGGGCTGCTGAGTAGTGCTATAGTAGTGCTATGGGGAAGAAGCAGTGTATTTATGCACATGCACCAGAGGTTCCATTTGCAGAGGATTTACTGCCATTTTTGTGTTACCTGAGCATGTAGATCTATTGGATTACTGTTCACTACAGTAGCTACTTCAGGTTGCTCCTGCTCATCAGAGCATTTTAGCACACTCTTACCATGTTGCATTCACTGATGACTCACAGATTTCAATGAGATTTGTTGCATTTATGGCTGGATAAGGCTAGAGTAGTAAATTGTGGTACTACATCTATAAAATGAACCTTCAAAATGCAGTGTGACAGGTTGGCAGGAATCTGGGTTTTAGTTTTACAGCACTGCAATAAGGTAATGTCTACCCTTCTCTCTATCTTCAGCTGTGTTATAAATAACCAGTATGCATCATAATGTCCAGATCCCACAGTACTATTAGGGTCTTGCCAAGTCACCTTCAGTGTCTGATCTGGGGCTTGGCTTGGCTTCCCTGTTTCACACAACTAAAAGTGCAGAAGGGACCTCAGATGATCACCTGCACAACTCTCATACCCCAAAGAGGAGACATTTCTTTAATCTGCTCTGAAAGAATACAGAGATTGCCCTTCTATATAAGCAATTGTTGCATGTTTTTCTCACTGGTTGATTATGTTTTCTTTGAATGTTCCTTTTATTGTCCTTTGGACTCTCTCCAGCTCCTTGCTATTTTTCTTCAAATGCGGTGCCCAAACATGGACAGAGTTAGAATTAACCATGATCCTGACAAATTGGAGGTGTAATCTGAAAAAATCTTAGATTCACGAGAGGTGAGTGCCTACATGTCATCTATGAAGTCTATAAATTTATGAATAATCTACTTAAATAGGATGGAGAATAAGTGATGAGAGCAAGTGACTTGATAGCAGTTCTGCAGGATAGGGTTAGGAGTTACAGCAAAGCATGTTATCATGAGTCCACAGTGTCATGGAGTTGCAGTGTTAGCAAATATCACAGTGATTTGAAGATATGGAAGTACCATCTGCAAATTTCAGTCCGTAAGATGCATAAGGGAATTCCTTCAGCTCTGTTCAGCAGTGAGAAGACCTCAGCTAAAACAGTGTCTGCTTCTGGGAGACTACAGCAAAAAAGTGCTTTCAGCAGTTTAGCTGACAGTTTTTTTCCTCTGTTAAGCAGAAGAAAAACACTTTTCTGAGTCTGCCTCTCATTAGTAATGTACTTAGAATATCTTCTTGTTACTTCTTGTTTTGTGCTTTGACCTTTCTGATTTTATCCCTACATGTTTGTGCTGGTGTGCTTGACCTCAGCATGCTGGTCTTGTTTCCTGTGGCTACATTCACCAAAGATCTAATGATTTAGCAATGTAGGTTTCTAGCTGTACTTTCAGTCTGTTCTTCAAAATAGGACAGTTTGCCTTTGTGTCCTAAGTATTTTTTAAGGAAACACTCGGTCTTTAAAACTCCTTTATCCAGCCTCCCAGGAGACCTCACTTACCAGTTCTCTCAATTAACCAAAGCCTGAAATACAATTCCTTCCTTCTAACCCAAGTATAGCTAACACTGTCTTGAAACCCTCTTCCTTACCTCTCTGTCATTGCAATCTGTTCTAGCATCGCAGAACCTGTGTTTGCCTTCCAGTTTCCAGAGATGGACGTCCTCCTAGGAAAACAAACCAAAAACATAACCTGAACATGAAAATAGAGTCCTGCTCCATCCTCACACATACTGCAGTCCTCATTCTTGACTCTGTGCTTGGACAGGAGGGGATGAGGTGAGGTTCTTCCTCCCAGAAGCCTTTCCAAATCCTTCCTGAACAACACTCCATACAGGATATGTTGTTCAGACTCATGAAAAGCTGAATGAGGAGTTAGAGAGGGAAACCTCCAAGGAATCCTGAGCACACATCAGGTTCTGTGAGTACTTTCTTTCTTTATAAATCAGACCTAGGGAGAGCTGAAATGTGTGTAGAAGATCTCTGGGATAATCACCCTTGTATTCTGCAGTGGGTAGCATCCTCTGTCCGTGGAAGACCAACTCTCAAGGCAAATATTTGCCTGAGCAGCTTCACAAATGTCAGCTCTGACATTCTATGTCTACCTAAATTTGATTTCAATTGTACTGATGTCATAGAATACATGATCATGCTGTCTTTTCACTGACCTGTCTGTGGCTCACTGTGTTTGGACTTAGAGAATTTCTACTTGTAAAATTGATGGAATTTCATTAGTTGCAGCTGATGGCTAATTTCCAAAAAAGGTACTGTTTTTGGCAAGTCCTGGGTTTCACTGTCATCCATTGGGGTGAAAATTTTCCTTTTCTTGACCTTAGGCCCAAGGCAGACCTTGAACAGCCTGCTGTGACAACGTTGTACAGATAACCTTCCACAGTGTACAAACTAGGACAAGTCAACAAGCTGACAGGATACATCCAGGGAGCACCTCCATGCAAAAGAAGATTTAGGCAGAGATTTAAGATGAGAGTATGAGATGTGGTGCAACACTTCATTGTGAGATTGTGGGAGCCCTGGCTTCCAATTCTCTCACCTTTTCAACATGATGTGCAAAAGAGACTCTGAACTTGCAAAACCATATTCAGCAGTGGGAATACTGATGTCCCCATAGACTATAAACTTGGATCATTAAAGCCAATTACCTAAGATTCCCCTTTACTCTTGTGAGAGACACCCTGGAGTGCTTTTTTTCCATTTCTCTTCTAAAGTGGTATGTATAGTTGCAGTGAAATTTAAATTTGAAGGAGTGGAGGGGCTGGCAAAGGAGCATTTACTGTGCTGATTACTGTGTTGAATAACTATGTGTTTCCATACCTCTTGCCCCTTGTTGCCTTGTTGCCTTCACTCAACATCCATTTTACTGTCCTACTTTCTAAGCGAAAAAATGGATTTCTCCTCAAGCTTTGACTGTTACAAGCCCTTTGATGGCCTGTAAGGTCAGTGTTCAACCTTCAGACTCTCTTTGTCTTTTGACATGGGATTCTTAGGATTATGTTTTTCAGCTCTGCAATGGGAAGCACCACTCTTTGCTAACATTTATTTTTAACTGAAAATTGCCCTGCAGTAGCAGATGGCATTCAGAATCCCATTAGTACTGATGGGAACTCCTGGAGTCTGATTAGCAACAAGATGATTTGACATCAGTGTTTAGAAAATGTGCCTGGGGTACCAAAGGGAAGCAGCTGTGTTGTCCCTAAGAAAATGAAACCACAGCTAGACAGTTTTACAAGGAAATTTAACATGGAAAAGCTCCCAAAATAAGAACACTGCTCTAGCCATTGGGTTCATTTGTTTGATTAATTTATGCCTACTGATCCCCAGTCAATATTGAGCATAAGACATAAAATATACCTCTCTGCTGTACTCCTAACTTTCCTGTTAGGGACCTTTGCTGTTTTGAAACTGAAAAGTTTTATTTGAAGCCCACTGGGTCAGTCACCAAATTCCTACACCAGAGCCTCTGTCAAGATCATTCCCTTCCAAGCATGTCTGAGCAGTTCAGGTGTCAACTGTGCCCCTAAACTGACAGAATCACAGAATATTCTGAGTTGGAAAGGACCCACAAGGATCATTGAGTCTAACTCTTAGCCCTGTACAGGCCCATCCCAAAGAATCAAACTATGTGCCTGAGAGCATTGTCCAAATGCTTCTTGAACTCTGACAGGCTTTGTCCTGTGACCATTTCACTGGGGACCCTCTTCCAGTGCCCAACCACCCTGTGGGTTAAGAGATTTTTTCTAATATCCAACCTAAACCTCCCCTGACACAACTTCAGGCCGTTCCCTTGGGTCCTGTCCCTGGTCACCACAGAGGAGAGATCAGTGTCTGCCCCTCCAGTTCCTCTCATGAGGAAGCTGTAGACTGCAATGAAGTCTCCCCTCAGTCCCTCCAAGCTGAACAGACCAAGTGACCTCAGCTGCTCCTCATATGGCTTCTTTTCTATTTCCCTTTTTGTATTTTATGAAGTGAAAGAGGAGACTGGAGACAAAAATCTTTCCTTAAGAATGTCCTTCTTCAAACCCCATTTTTCTCAGGGAGTGAAAGTCAAAGAGCTTCCAACCATCCTAAACATCAGGGGGCCACACAGAGTGCGGTATCTTAAAGGAAAGGACTCTAGGCTCTTAGGGATCTGTTCATCAAACAGATTTGTGACCAGGATACCTTCAGCATTGTTTAGGATAAATGGATAAATGAGCATATCAAGAGCTGTTGGTGTCCTATATTCACCATCTCTAACCTGGGCCATTTCAGTCTATAACTAGCTCTAGTTTAGACACAGTTGATGTGGTATGTGCTGCAGAGCACACTGAACTGAATTGGAGGTGACAAGGTCAGAAGTTACACTCATGAAACTAGAAAGGAAGGGTGTTACCCTTTTACTAAGAGCTGGTGGAGATATTATCCCATGCCTGCAAGTCAGCAGCCGCTGGCTTAATTCAAAGTGAACAACATTTCATGAGTCTTAACTGGAAATGACCCCCTGTTTGTCCCCAGTTCGGGTGAGAGTGGAAGCATAACTTTTGCCCCAATTTCTCCCGCAACATGAGCCATATTCATGTTTTCTCTTCGCCCGTATTATGATGGCAGTCAAATACATTTGGTGGAATTTTAGACATGTATCACATGCTGCTTATCTGCTGTTTTGAGACTGGCCCAAGGCATGGGCTAAGTAGGTGTTTGTTAGCAGTGTAAATCTGGAGTCACTACACTGAAATGAATGGGAAACTGAACTGAAGCCTTGGGTCATGGGCTGGAAGGAAGTGCATTGGACATCTGGGGCAGGGAGGAATGCATGAGTCACCCTGCAGCATCCTCCCTCTGGCAGATGCTTGTTGCAAAAGTAAACATATTCTGGAGAATTTCAGTACAGTCTTTTCTCAGAAGGAAAGGGGCTTTTAAAGTCTATATGTGTGGGTGAAGGTATCAAAATACTGGATAGATTCCATGGCTCACAGATCAAAGAAAGTAGCTTAGTATGACGCTACTGCAGATGCTGGAATTGCCTTTAGGCTGAGATTTGCTAGCATGACTAATGATTTTGAGTCTTCTATTTGGGACACCAGTGAGAGCTCTGGTATTTTGGGTGCTCTCACCTCTGTCCTTGGACATAGTATGGACTTATTTATACCATAGAAACAACTTTCTATTTTGTCTGATGCTGGGACAGAAGGAACAGTCCCTGATGGGACTGACTGTACCCCTCTCTCAAACTCACATCCATAAATGGTTATCTCAATATAAGTCAACCTTCTGGGTTAACTAGTCACTGGGTGAATTTTGCTGTTTTCTTTCTTTGCTAATAAACTTCATTTCTCATTAAGGTGTTTACTGTTCATGACTGTTTTCGTATGAAAACGTTTTTCCTTTAACAAACAATTGTTTGCACAGCTATACTCCCAAGTGGGATTAGCTCTTGGTGTGACTGCTTTCTTTCCTCAATCATCTGGTATTATTTTTGATCCCTGTATGGATGAGTGCATGGTGAGTGAATAATAAGTGAGGAGAGAATATGGTCAGGCTAACTGGGCCTTTGTTTCAGTTAGAAGCTGTTGGGGAGCAGGCTCTGGAGCCAAGGCTGGGTGTGTTGGCAGGCATAGGGAATTTTAATTGACATTTTAAACCTTCTTTCCTTTGGCCAATTTGAACTGGACTCCCTGAGATGTTAATGTAATATTAGGCAACTGTGCTATTGTTGACCTGATCAGATTAAAAATAAATTTTCTTTCATTGAGATCACATGAAGTAGGCAAGTGTTCCACAGGTCCTTCCCATGAGGAATGTGACTCAGTCATTATCTAGTTTTCTTAAATACCACTGTGCTAGGAATCCAACTGGGAATCTTAGGCAGTTACAGCTGAAAAATATGTGATTGTGTACATCTGATGATCTTGTTTAACCACATTTCAGCAGAACTACGGCCTGGAGGTTTGTAAACATGGACCCAAAACTCACAGTATTGTGGGTGTTAGGTAACATATGCAATTTATCTGGCAACCTGAAGAGTGTATTGCTGGAGATGACTACTTGTCCAGAATTTTGTGGCTGGATAAGGAGCTTCTGGAGAAGCTGTACTGTGTGGCTTTTCTCATCTACTGGTTTGCAGTAAGAAGAAACAGGTGTCTTACTGACTCATGTGGTTGCATCTCTAATTCAGCTTGGCGACTACTGAAGTTTGACTGAATGCTTGCTAATACTTTTAAACATGCCGGCATTGAGGATTGCCTTCCTGCCACCCACCTCACTACCCCACAGGGCAGGGAGGAGCTTTGGGGCACCCACAGAAATGTCTCACCTCCTTTCCCTGCTTTTCATGCCTCAAGGAGCACATATGCAACACTCCCACATAAACCCACATGCTGGCCCGTCTGTGGCCGTTTGTACCCAGTGCTGTGAGCTCCTCATGTGATTGCAGGACTGTGATGTCCAGCTGGGCAGCGGGTGGGGTGTTGCTATGGGTTGGACACTGTAGGACTCCATGAGTTTCAGCTGGCTCAATCTTTTTTATTCCCTTCCCTCCAGGTGTGAAGGGGGTGGGTTCAGGTCCCACTGGAGGGTACTTGGAGCTGGAGGATTTTGCTGGGAAAGAGGAGCCCTTCAACAACAGGATGGAGAGGTAATGGCAGAGCATAGTCGTTATAGTGGGAACTAACTGAATCTTAGAAACAGGTGGACAGAGATTTACATTCCAGATACAATGAGCTGATGGTGAGTAATGGAGAAGATGATGGGGGGATGAGGGATCTGGGTTCAGAGGTGGGAAGAGAACAGTAGGGCTATTCTTCAAGGAAATTAACTCAGCTTCCTACTGCCCAGACACCGACTCAGTCACAGCCACAGCACTGTCTCCTTCCCGTCTCGCTCTGGCACAGCCATGCACTCACATGTAAGCCTTGTAGTTGGTGCCAATTTTCTGGATTCGGATGTCATACTTGGAGTCAATGAATGGCTCGGTGGTGGCATAGGTGTTTGCCATGGCTACTATGCTGGCCATGTCCCGGAAGTCGTGCTGGTTCTCAACTTTGACCTTGATTATCAAAATCCAGTGAAAAAGAAACAAGAGCAAAAAGAACAGGAATACTTTGTGAGCAGAAGTCTCCACACCTGAATAGCACAATGTCAGCTTAACCCCACATAGACAGAGCTGAGGACAGAGCAGGGACTCTGTGATTTAAGAAAGAAGTTCCCCAGACCAACCAAACCCAGAGCAAACCAATCCCATTCTCCTTCCTCATGCACCAACCCTGGTAAACCTGGCACGAGGGAGGCAGCTGGAGCTTAACCCAAATGGCTCTTGCTAATACACATTGCTTCTATGATGCTTCAGAAAAATATTTGATCTCTTAAGGGGCATTACTTCATTCAAATGTTGGAACTGCTATTTCTCATGTTGGGATGGGTGAAAACAGAGTATTTTGGGTGGTCAGGAAATAGAAATCAATGCCAGGAAATCAACATGAGAGCTGGTTGTCTGCTACCCCTGGGCACCATGTCCCTGGCATTTCACGTTATCCCCCTCCAGTCTTTTTTGAGAATTGGTGCAGGTCTCCCAAGTGGATACAAGCTCTGAAGGAAAAGGATGTCTCTGGGGGAGCTTGTGATTCTGGGGGAGATCTGTGTGAGTGTGAGGCCATGGGCATTTATGTGGGACAGCTGCTTGGATGTTAGACTTGATTCAGACTTGGAAATGAGAGGTTAGTTGCCTATGAGCTGGAGTTTTTCTGAGAAGATGTCTTTTCACAGATCTGTATTCAGTTATGAGAAATGCTCTGTACCTTACCCCAAAATATTAAAAAAAAAAAAAAAGGAAGGAAGAAGGACCAAAAGAGTAGAAATTCTAATTATATGATCAAATATCTACAAAAGCTCATTGATTTGGACAAGCAGGTAACAAAAACATAATGGATAACTACACCTCACTCATATCTTTAATCCACAGGCTTTAGTGTGTTGGTAAAAATTTGTTTGGTGCATCAGCAAAACCTATACAAGTTCTTGTTCTTTAGGACTGGATAGATGCAGGAAGGATGGAATAATTTGTGGAAAAAAACAAGACTGTGTAAAAAAGGGTGAGCAAGTGAGTGACTTTCTTTCCATTATTACTTATACTTTGTATTTTGGTGATGCTTTGAGATCACAACTGGGGACTGCAACCCTGCTTTGCTACGTGTCCATTCACTCATGACAATTGATCAGTCTCTGCCCCAGAAGAGTTTCCCAGTTGTGTCAGTGTGTGTTAAAGGAGGGTGATGCCAGACTGTGTGGAGCCAGCTCAAGGAAACACGTGCGATGGTATTTGGTGTTTCTTCGCAAAGAACAAACAAGTGATTTTACATACCTGCCTTCAACCATGAGAGGGCAGGAGCCATCTTCACTAGAGATCAGAGGACAAGCCTGTTGCTAATCTGTTTTACTCTGTTTAGAAAGTTTTGTGTAAATGCCAGCTTACACATAGGCCAAAGGTTCAGCCACATCCTGGTGCAGAAAAGCTCTTAAAAACGGAACAGTTTTGGGGAAGGTGAAAGGTGCAACTAGTTTGACCCATGACCACTTCTAGATGCCTGAATAAAGAAAAAGACCTGGTCTTTGCTTCTCCTTATGCTGACTGCCAAATACCCCTAGTCCTCCCTCTTGCTGTGGTGAGGGCTGTGCTCTCACTGTTCAGGAACTGCCTGGGAAAGGAGCAGAGGAAGATGACAGTCATCTGTGGGGTGAGAGGGTACCAAAAGGAACAAACAAACAAACACAAAGGGGATATGTAAAAGCAACCATTACAAGGCATCCAGAAGGAGCAGCCTTGCTCTAGGCTGTGTTGCCTTCTCTGTCTGAGTGGGGGTGTTGGTGGTGTGGCAGGGCAGGGTGAGGTGGTAGGAATGCCCCAGAGGCAGTGGGAAGAAGGGAGAGGGAACCCACAGCCTGGGTTGCAAAATACCAGGGGGGAACAATGCAGGCTGTGTTGCAGCTGGGTATTTTTGTAGCACAGATAAGAGCTGCCCTGGGCTGAATGACATCAAGCAAGAGTCCCACCCAGATGACATGATTGCAGGAGGGACTGCATGGGCAGGAGGCACTGACACGGTGTTACAACATATTCTCCCAGACCCTTTTGGCAATGAGAAAATACAAAAGCCATTATATAATGACCTACTTGGAACAAGGACACTTGTGGGATCTAAAACAAAGTGTTGTGCTTGTGCAACAGATGTCTTTGGGCCTCAACTGAAATGTTTGCATCCTCAGCCCAGGAACGTTTGTCCCAGAGGCAGAGGAAGGGATGCAACTTCCCTCTCCAAATTGGAATTAGATGATATTGTTATTGCTAGAAAGGAGCTCTTCTTGGTAAATGGATTTTTTCCTCAAAAATACAGCACTAATGAAAAGAAGGGTCCATTTCTTCTTGCTCTCCATCACCCCTTCCATATGCGGAGAGAGGAAAAGCACTTGAAAGTGTTTTCTCCAGTGGGCCTGAGGATTTTTGGCTTGATTAACAAAGAGGAGGGGACTCACCAAGGACACAAAGTAAGAAGTTAAAAACAAAGAAGAAGACTCCCACAGTGCTATACCACTGCACAGTCCTCAGGAAACAGCTCTGACATCTTCCCTGGCCTGTGCCAGAGCACTCTTCCCATGGACTTTCCAGAGAAAGAAACTCACAGAGGTCCCCTTTTAGGAGATACAGAATTATTTCCCACCAGGCATCAAAATAATTACCACACCAAAGCTGAAATCTGAGCCACCATTTGTTAATTGTTAGAGCCAGCCAAATTTGACAAAATAACAGCCGTGTCCTGGGTTAACGCTGGTTTAGTCCAGGGTATGGTTATTACTTCATAAACAGGAAGCTCTCAAGTTACAGTCAAATTAGATTTATTTTCCTGCCTTATCTATCAAGTCCACCATTTTATTAGCTTTCTACTTTTAAATTTTGTATAATTCATTTCCTCCTGCCTTGTAACCATTTTAGATGTCAATAAAATATCCATTCTCCTAACAGGAGAAAAAAACCAAGACATAACCAAAGTCAGTGTGTACACAGTGTGACACCAGAGGGTATTATTTAAGAAGAAGCTATTAAAAATCATTCCAGAACAAAGTTACCAATTTTCCTAATAAGAGACAAATCTGTCTTCAAAAATGGCAGGTTGGCCAATACATGAAACTGATAAAAGAAGTTGTAAAGAGATCAACAGGAAGGCATTTCTCTCTCTCCCTCTTTTACTTTGCAATCTTCTTAGGATAAATGCTATATCCCATTAGCTGCATAGAGGAGTGCAAACAGCAAATGCAAACACAGCTCCTGCCCTGGCAGCCTGTTTGCTTAGCTGTGCTGGCTGTTTGAGCAGCAATAGACTCATTCTGGAGCCATAAGTTGCTGTTTGCTGTAGTGTTTTAGTGACCTGTTGGGAATAGTTTGGGCCAGTGTGTTGACAAATGCCTTTTCTGAGTAAGAAAGCTCCCTGGGATAGTTCCTGCTTCCCTTCTGGCTCTCTTCTCTAACCCAGGCACAGGCCAAACCCTAGCGCTTTCCCTGTTGCTGCATTGCAAAGGGGACTCTGGCTGGATCTGTGGGGACAAGCTCACACAGATGTGATCATCCCTTTGCCCTGTGGTGGCATCTTGGAAGCTGATACTACATGACCTGCTGGTGCCTGTTCCCATCCTCAGCCTGCCCAAGAAACACTGACCTTTCTGCCCTTGGCATGAGAGCTGTCCCAGTGTAGGTCAGGAGGAAACATCAGACCTTCTTTTGAGGCCTTCCTGCTAGGCAGGATTTCGTATGGGGTAAAACCCCACCATGGATATTTGCTGGACTGTCTGAGCCATACCTGAGATCTGAGTGAGCACAGGTTCCTTCAGGGAGGGATCTGGGTAGAACCTTCTGCTTTCTCTGTCTCAAGGTCCCCTAACCTACTGCATCTTGAACATTCCAGATGTTCCCAGACGCCAGGGTCCCAGAGGTACAGCACTCCTCTCTCATCTTTAGCCTAGGCACTGCAAGGTATTCCTTCACAGTCCCCTTTTGTTTTCATTAGTTATGTGGCCATGTGAAAAAATAGTCAATTAGCCAAAGTGCCATAGTTATCTTAAGCATTAAGATCTGCTAGGGCTGCCCTAGCCTTGTCTGTCTGAGCATCATCCAGTGTTAACTCTGCCTTGGAGGTTAAATATACACCACTTTGGAGATGACTTTCAGAAGCCCTTTGTGTGTCCAAATTGGGGTTAGAGAGGTTCAGCTGCAAGGTTAAGTGTTGAAGGCTGAGCTTGGCAATGTGGTGTTTAACTGAGCCTTGGTTGGCTTGTGAAAATGCACTGTCTGAGTGTTTTGCTCCAGAGGAACTGGTTTTTCTGAGTCTCTCCTTTATCCCAAATTATACTCCCCTTCTCAGAAAATACCCAATCCAACTGACACAGAATCAGTTTAAGCCTAACTTTAATCCACTTCAAAATTATAAAGACACTACAGAGTCTACATTTCCTTATTATCCTCAAACTGAAATTCCCCCCCACGTTAAAGATGATGCCTTTAATACATGAAACCTTCCTAATACAAACACCAGGTCTTGGCAGCTTTGGGCCCCAGTGCCCTGGATCAGTCACTGTTTTCTGTGTCCAGCAAAAGCTTTCAGACTGATGTGCAAGAAATGGGGATGTTTTTGCTATTTTCAAGGCAGTTGGAACCTCCTCACTCATGAGTCAGTGGGAACGCAGTGATTGGGCTGCTCTGTTGTGAATGAATGTTACATGTCAAGTCATTATTTGTCCTCTGTAAAAGAAAATATTTGTTCCTTGACAAACCGAGGCAGCCCTTTCCCCTTCCTTTCCTCTTTAGCACACTGGATTTTCAAAGCTCTCACTTTTGGAACATTCTATTTCCAGTCCCGAGAGAGACAAGGTGACGAGCTGTCCTTCCTGATAAAAACCTTGCAGTATTTTTACATTACAGAGTGGCTCTGTTTAGTTTGTGCTATATTTATACCATGGAAAAAAAAGAAGCAGAGAAGTCTTTCCCATCCAGTAAGAGAGAAAATAACTCTGACCATATTATTATGAACAACAAGTTTTTCTTCTACAATGTAATAAATTCATCTGAGCCAGAATTTGTACTGGGAAGGTATTTTCATAATTATGGGGCAGGATGGGACAGGAGGTGACTCTTAAACTGACCTAATTAGAGATGTCTAAAAATAAAGAAGTCTAGCAAAAAAAAAAAAATTAAATTAATATAAATATATATAAAGTCACATGAACAGATACTGTTTTTCCTCTCTTTGCAGATCTGGCAGTTGTTTCCTTCTCATGATCTGATCAGGAAGAGGTGAAGGGGCTCTTTGAGTGCATTTGCAGTGCTGGGCTCTGTTCCTAGGGCACTCTAGGGTCACGTTAGCACACAAATGGCAGATACTGACACACTCAGAGCTTTATTCTTTTCCATGGGTCCGGAGATCCAGAGTCGGGAAGAAGTATTATTCCTTTTTCACTGCAGTGCTCACCCTATTCAGCAGAGACCTCTAGTCACTTCTGGGGTGGGTAGGCTCAAATGGCACAATGCTTAAAAATGCCTTGACCTCTAAGGAACTGCTGGGTAAGCAACAGTTCTATTCTGCACAAGGAAGGACTTCGCCTCTCAGTGTCCATCCGCAGTGTCCCTGGAAGATTGCTTGAGTGCTGTTGATCCCATGAATCTGAGCAACTTGAGTACAAAATGAGAAAGGTCCATCTATGCTAATTCCATTGTAAACTGTTGTCTGAGCAGTATTTCTGCAGATATTTTATGTGTATTGATACTGGATAGGACCAGTAACACAGAGAGCACTTGTTATGATCTTCCAGTGCCACTGAAATATGTAGTGACCCCAGATTTTGGAAGGAGGATAACGATGGTCATAGGAGGGGCTAAGGGGCATATGTTCTGTTTTTAGATTAGAAGATTGTCTGTCTCTGGGTGAAAGCTATTACTGGTGTCTCTGTTCAAGTCAATAGAGAGGCTGTTGTCTCTGCATTTCTCAATGGAAATTTCAAAAGATGTCTTTTATTGCAAATTTGTTTTCTTCATCTCCACAGGCACCTCACACGCACACATCACTTGGCAAGAGCATTCCTTTCTCTAATAGTATACTGTTACCCCTTCTGGTTCTGACCTTGAATACTAATTGTTCCTCTTCCAAGCTAAAGACAGTTGTGATGACCCACCCTTAAGGGGAAGGCAGTCAATGGAGCCTGTTTTGTACAAGTCCTAATGTGGTTATTTTTCATTTTAGCTTTGAGGATTCTTTGTTCAACCCTCTGATTAAAAAATGTGGTGAGCGAATTTTGCGAAAATTATGTGAAAACAAACAATATGTGAAAATGAAAGTCTATTATAATTATGCTCTTTCTAGCAATTATTGCAAAATAATAAACACTCAGCACTTCTTATACTGCCAAGAGTCTTATGAAGATGAATTAGCAATAAGTATCAGGTAATCATTATAATCCCTCTGGCCTGTAACACAGAGAAACTGAAGAAAAACTGTGAAATGACACCAATCTCCCTGCAAGCCAATGGTGGAGCTCTTTGGGGAAGAGGCATTTTCTGTGTCCAGAATTTTTCTGGCTCCAGGCCACTGCCTCAGTACAAATAAAGAATAACAGTGCCTGGACTTCCCATCTTTGCTCGTTCTTCTAAGTCATGGTGCCTCCCATTACATGTGATTTTATCATTAGTAACATAAAAAATGCAAGTACTTCCTTGACAATTTCTGTTGGCAATAAGATTGCAATCTAAATGCTCACGTCCTTTGAAGCACCCGTTGCAGGTACAAATACATGGCTCGTTATCTTGGCAACATTTGTTGCAGTAAGTACTATTTTTAATACTCACATGTGTACTTTGGCTATTAGGTTGGTTATTTTATCCTTTGTTTCTCCAGTCACTGCTTTAATACAAAAGATGACCTGATGCAGGTGCTGTATTAACATTTACTTTCTTACATTGATCAAATCAAAAGCAAACCTCTCTCTTTCCATATTACGTATGTTTTAAAGCCAAAGACCTGATATTTCCTGCTATCATCTCTGCTTCTGAAGACTAAAGCAAAGGAATCCTTTAGCTCTCTATAATCTCCTTATCATCACTGGTTATTGCTTTTACATTATGATGGTTAAAGCTACAATAATGTCTCCTGGAAACTTTCCTCTTCTGAATTACTTAATTGCAGGTTTGAATTTTTTTTACCTATGGGTGTTACTTTTCTAGTATACCCATAGTTCTGCTTCTCTGTATTTCTCCTGATGTCTTCTGTGGTTTCCTTTTGTCAGTTCCACTTGGGCTTGAACCCTATTGTTTTAAACACAACATGAAACAAATTCTTGTTACTTGTCTTTTAAACCAACTGTCTTACTCTTTATTTTCTTTCTCTTTCTCTCTTCTCTTTTTGTTCTGTGCAATGAAATGCAGTGGGACTTCAAGAAAATTTAACCAGTCCCAACTTTCCTTCAGGCTGCTTGTGGCTGGGAGGGCTCAAACTAAAATCATAAGGTCAACAACTCTTGGTTCCTGTACATTCCCCATCTACTGAACAGAGCAGTGTTAAAACTCTGTGCCCAAATCCACATCCAGACCTTGCTAGTAGTCACTAATTTCATAATGGACTAATGTAAACTTGGCCTCAGATCAATTCTTTCTTCTAAGATGCTGGCTGTTAGCCTATCTTCATCTGGAATGACTTCCTACATACCCCCCTTGTACTGCTGAATACAATTGTGCCTGGAATTTGAATAGAAGCTCTCTTCCTCTGTAACTTGTGACAGCAAAAACCAACATCATTAAAGAATAAAATGGGAGAGAAAGTGAGATGTGGAAGATCATCTGATGTGTGGTGCAGAAGACAATAGCTAAATGTTCTGCTGAGAGTTTTGTCTGGAAGCGCTGTTAAGATTGGGGTACTTATCTCTGATTCTGCCCTCTTTTCTGTAGCCACTGAGGGTCCTTGGTGCATGAGACATGAAGCTCTCCCTGCATTATGGTGAAATAGCAGAGCAGTCAGAGAGATTCAGGCTTGCGGGGTCTCAAGAGAGAGGATGAGGTTTCTTCCTCCTGGTTTTTCCTGGTTAGATTTTGCTGATGAAATCCATCCTAGGGACATGTTAGTGGCTCTCTCTCTACAAGCAACTCTACGCTGTCCGCATGCACTCTAATTCAACGGCACCTTTGCCTGCTTGATGTATGCAGCACCAGGATTTTAACCAACATTTCCTGCTTATTTAAATGTTTGTTTGTTCCTTGATGCTGAAAGCCAACCCTGCCACTGGCATGGGGATCTGCGCCCACTTCCTCTCCAGCAGCTGCCATCCGGACAGGGGAGCGTTGCAACCAAAGCAAGAAAGGTTATGAGAGCTTCCATGTGCAATCCAGCAAGCCAGAAAGGGCTTCTGTTTCCAGAGCATAAGCAAACAAGCTGTACCAAGTTTAAGTTTGGTGTAACTATATATAATTTTGAGGTCAGGAGACGGTCTGTCCGCTCTGGGGAAGCACTGTGACAGGCGTATCAGTTATGAAGTTCATCTACCATTGGATTCAGAGATGATACATCAGAATTTCCTACTTCTGAGAAAATCAAGTTTTAGACAGATAGGGAATGCCTTTTTAAAAGATACAGGCAAGAAAGAGAAGACTAAAGTGTAGCAGGCATGTGCTGGCGATGCCTTACTGAGAGGGGAGCTCAGTCACCCCAAGAAACAGGGGCTGCTAATTCACTGGGGAAATAAAGATCCCAGAGAGCCTGGGAAAAACAAACAGGTCCTTCTGGGTAGTGAACTATTTTTCAGGATTCTTTGGCAGGCAACCAGCCACTCTGCTTTGTAAAGTCTTGTTCTTCCTTGCAAGGAGGGAAAAAATAACTGAAGGGTTCCCGTTTCTTGAATAAGGTCATCATAATGCACTCAAGAAGCCCAGCGCCACTGCTTCTCATTGTGAGAGCTATGGGGTGTAGCTGCATATTACAGGTGCTTGAATAAACAACATTACCACTTTCAGAAGAGGAGAAAATATATAATAGACAAGCCTAATGACTTCAGCCGAGCCAGCTTTCCCCCCACTCTTCACAACCCCCCTTCCCACACCCCAGACAGCCTCCAACCCAATACCACAGCCTGTCTCCAAGTGCGTGACAGCAGAAAAAGGTCTTTTCTCCCACAGGAAAAGCCAATGCGACCCAGATAGGCTGTGGGGAGGTTTAACCCCTTTGCTGGCTGGCCACATGCCATGTAGGATCACAGGAAGACTGTGCCACATATATATTCATTACCAGAGTGATGTATATTTTTTCTTTTACTTACCTTCCCCATTCCAGCATGAGCATGTCCTAGCTTGACCACTACAGGGAAATTCGGAGTTGTGAGCTGAAAGACAAAAGAATAAGCTCCTCGTTAGTTATTTCTTTCCAGCCACGGTGCTTTAAATAATTTTCATTTATTTAGTAGCTTTTATCCCCTTCCTTGATGCTGATAGGAAGATAAAAAGGCCAAATGAAGTTTGTCTAGGTAATAAGCAAGTGGCTCTTTACTGGGTCCCATATGATTGGAAATGGAAGCCAGGCAGAATTCCTCAGATCTTCTGCTGCATGATAGCAGTTTTCCTGCCCTGTACATATGGATGTGTGTACACTCATATGCATGTAAAGCATAGTCACATTTGCAAGCTTGAGTAACTGAACACTTTCAGATGCTGACAGCATCTGAATTGTGAGAAAGACAAGGGTTGTTTGTTCTTTACCATGCAGACTGCTTTGGCCTTAATAGTGAATGTCCCCCTCCTGTCAGAGGGAAGGCAGGGGGTGTAAGGAGGGAGAGAACTGGGGCCAACCCTTAGGTGAAACTCACAAAGTCCATCTGTCATAAAGCCTCTTCCTCTCTTCCCTCACTTCAGGAGTGGGTATAGTGAATAAAAGAAAACAAAGGGGTTGGAATCAGCAATTAAAAAAAAAAAAAGTTATATCTTCTCCCTGGCTTGTGTGGTCTTTACTCTGGGCAGGGTTCTACCACCCAAGTCATGCAAGTGCATCTTAGAGCACATGTAGGATTTTACTTGAAAAACTGCGAGTATCCTCTCTACCTTTTCTTCTCCAGTTTCATGCTCATGCAGGGTTCAATAGGAGTAATTGGCTCAGAGCTGTGAGGCTGTACTGGTAGCAAGTGCACATCAGGACTAACTAGAATAGATACACTACATCTCCCTTATGTACTGATTGGTCCATTTCTACACCTCTGCTTGGCATCCTGGTGATGTTCATCTTGTCCTGTGCTCATGATCCTTTCAATTGAAATGCTCTTTGTTCAGCACATAATCAGTTATTTTTTACTACATATTTCATTTCCTTTAAAGACACTTTTGCCTTTACTTAAATGCCTGAAGCGATGAACTCAATTCATTAAGCAGTTGACCTGGAGATCTGGCAAAGGGAGGGAGTTGAATTTTGGCAGATAAATGGGTCTCCTATTTATTGAAGTTTGAGAATAGGTAAACAAATTGTTCTTGAGCTAATTACCAATTGTCTGTATGGACAGGCAGGCACTACGCCCTAAAGATAGAACAGTGCTGCCGTCTCCATCTGTGGCAGATCACTATAAATAACAAAATTACTAATGAACACTGATATGTTTTGCTATTCAGCTGCTTATATAAAGAAATGTCACAGGACAGGGGAACAGCGAGTGCATCATGTTCTCAAGCAGCCTGTGTCACTTGTGAGGACTTTCTTCAGGTAGAAAGCTGAAGGATCATCTTCAGACCACAGAAGGGCACATAGCTGCAATAAATCACAGCCCTGTCACAGCCAGGGACCAGCACCACTGTGTCAGAAGAAGAGGCAAGAGACTGGTAGGTGGCCATCCTGAAGCCAAATAGTTAAGCATATGTCCAGGCACATGAGTTTGTGCTCTATTTCCCCTTCACCTCTCTAATTCGTTGTAAGAGTCTGAAACTTAATTTGCTGCTGGCATAAATGAATCAAATGAAGGACTGCACCTGAGGCTTACTGAAGATAGGGCTATGGGTGGACCATGCCAGGCCTTTAATGCTGGAAGATGAAAGGTAACCTAGTAGTTAGGGCACACACCTGCTCAGGCTCTGGGAGACATGGCTCACTTCCCAGTTCTCTCATCTATACCCCATGCCACCTGTTTGAGCATTTGCAAGCCCTGGCCTCTGTTCCCTGTTTGTGAGCAGAGGCAGCAGCTGTTCCTACGGCACAGGAAAAGCAAACTGCATACTGTGAGCCTGCCTGATACCCTGGCAAGGAGGCCAAAGAAGTGTGCAGCATAGATAATGTTCTATCACCAGCTCAAAGCAGACAGAGGCAGGAAGCAATGTCTCTACTGCCCTGTTTGTGTACCCTGTGCACAAGTGTTGCTGAGGGAGCCTGGCTCGGGCATGAGGCCTGGGAGTGGGAAGCATCTGTTTTCCTGTATACATGCAAAGAAAGTCTGGGATCCAATAAACAACTCAAGTTTACTGTTAATCTGCAAAATACCACCGGCGATGACAACGCGCAGCTCAAACTTCTCCCTTTCTCTTTGCTTCTTGGAAACATGAGTTCAGCTTTCTTAGTAAGGCTTGGTCTCATACCCCTTGGTAGGGGTGACCAGCTGGTGCCTAGAGCATGTTGGGATCACACACAGTTTGCCCTGGCATAGTGTGTGGGGCTTGGGGTGAGACACAGATCCAGACATGTGATAGCCTCACTGGGAAAGCTGTGGCTCCAGAGTGGAAGAATCTGCCTCTGCCACCGAAACCCCACCAAATTTCCACATACATGAACGTGCCTTATGGAAGAATAAATTAGAGGCCACAGCACATACACTAAGCTGCATTATATAATGAGTTTATCTAGTGACAGTGGAGTGCCCTTAACCTGTGCTGAAGTTGTGTAATCAAAAGCTCTCTGTAGTCCACAGGACTAAATTAACCAGTGTCCACAACCACCCGATAAGAGAGTTGGGAAACCCTTGCTGAAATGGTGGAAGTGGGCTGAACTCCACTGCAGTCAATGGGGATGCTTCTAGCTTCCACCAGAGTCTTGCTGGGACTCGAGTCCCATTTTTGTTGCTAATAAGGAGGCCAGCCAGCATACTTGGCAAGCACCTAGATGGGTAGGGAAGGCGAAGGAAGGGAGAATGTATTATACACACAACTATGACACAATTCACACACACACGTGGTGAGAAGTTCTGAGGGTGACTGAAGCCACCACAAGGGCAGAACCCTGAGATGAGTATTTACACATACTTAGTCATAAATATCTACTCACATTTCCTGGAAGAAGATTATTATAATCACAGGATAGCACCACATTTTAATAAAAAAAGCGTGATTTTACTGAAATAAAGCAAAGAAATATGTCTGTGCCTTTGTGTTTGTTTATGTGTTGTAAGGGCTCTTTTCTCCTGGAAAAATAGTGAAAAACATTTTGATGATTTTAAAATGTGCATGAACGGTTGACAGGACTGTTATAGATGATGCCTGCAGGTTTTGGGATGCCTGCAGGTTTTAGTGCTGTAGCTAGCTCAGTAATCAGATGCAGGGTGTTAGATCATATGCATAATTTAATCCCTGGAATTACAATTACAAATATTGTCTCACAAAACCTTTGAGATTGCAAGGTTTACACATGGTCTAGAGCTTGGTGTATGTAGAGGCCTGTTAAGAGTCAAACAGGAATTTGAATCCTGAACTAGGAACTCATCAAAACCATCTTTGGTAGCAGTGAAGGTAAAATCATGAAGTTATTTCCAACTTACATTAATGGCTCAAAGTATACCATTTTAAGGGCTGATTTTAAGGGCTCTGCTCTGTGTGTAGTGTCACTGCAAAGATCACTTGGCAGTTATCAGTTTTGGCACTGGTGTGTAAAAGTGGGTGCTGGTATGCATACGTTAGCCTTTATTTGAAAACATGTGGCTGTAAACTATGACACTTTCCCCTTTACCCTCTGCCCTTCCTTTCCAACAAGTAATGAGGTTTTCAATACTTCTTGTAAATTTATTAGTATTTTTTCTACTTATTGCTGGTGGAACAGTAGAACAGAGTTGTATTTAAATTGGTCAGAAGGGAGGAATCTTAGAAAGGCAGTGTTCAAAGCCAGGTTGGACAAGGCCTTGATCAGCCTGGTCTAGTGGGAGGTATCCCTGCCCATGGCAGGGTGGGTGGGACTGGCTGATCTTTAAGGTCCATTCCAACCCCTTAACATTCTATGATTCTATGAAATCTGATCTAACCCCTAAATACAATGCTTTCCACTCTTTTGTTTCACTGAGGCCCTCAAGGGAGATGCTGATCTTAAGTCTGTGATTTTGTGTACTGTCCTGTTGTCCATGAACAGTGCAGAAGGTCCCTTGGTTTCCATCTGCTATATTTAGTTTTTTGCACTAGTTCACACTATCTCATCTTATACCATGAACTTCCAGTTTCTACTATTCTTTCTTCCACAAAACCCTTCCAATCAATGCTAAAATGAATAGTTCAGGCTGCAATTACATCATGGATAATATTAGGAAGGCATATGGGGAGGTGGGAGATGGAGTCATTAAAACTTTGGTCTCTTGGCATCAGTATTGTGTTTCCACAGCATCTAGGGTTCTGAACTGGGCCAGAAGGCCCCATAGGACAAGGTATTGTAATTTTTGCTTCACCCTTCCCCCAGAAGTAATATTATAAATTTTTCAAGCTTTCATACTCTAAACCTGATCTTTCTGTTTATTTAGCTGCCTTTACTTGTATAATGACAAAGTCTGTTTTCTGGGTGGGTACTAAATGGATGATGGGAATGTTGTTCAGGCACTTGAGAGCTAAATGTTGAAAGTAATGTGTGTGGCACTTCCCCTGGTGTCAGTTAAGTTGGAGGAGCAGTGAACATATAATTTCCTGTAAAAGCAAGCAAGCTGATTCAAAACTACAGGAAAATACTGATGTAATGGCATGATGTAATTTTGTTTATTGAGCTATCTTACTAAAATCCCAAGATGAAGAGGAGCACTTGCCAGCCTTGCCAGGCACAGAAAAATTAGGGATGTATAGTGAAATACAGAGGAGAAGTAGTGCTCTTTATTTTTCACTTACTGGCTAGTGGCTGTATTCACCAACGGCATGCATCATGGCTCACCCGGTGGATCAGGACTGTGACCCATGGAGGTTTGTGGTAGCCAATGACTGGGACAGACAAGTCCTTCTCCTCTGCTGTTTACCAGATGAGAAATAGTGTAGGGAACAACAAGCAATGATAGAAGAGCATGTTGAACAATAGCAGTTGCCAGCAGAAATATCTGTGCTCTATTAAAGACGTGTGGGATGGATTCCTTTAAAACACACACCTGTGTACTGATTACTGTATTATAATTAGAGCACA